CCTTTTCGTGATTCAACCAAGCATTCTCATGCCAAATTCATCAGCAGACATTTATTTGAAAAGCCTAACTTTCCTCAAGTTCCGCCACTTTCCTTTTGCGTAGAGTCAGCACGTTTTGGCGGCACCGTGCCAATAATGAGCAATTGAGTGGAGGCGAATTAAAAATAATTTGCGGCGCAGCCGCCGGCGAAAAGGTGCGGGCGTTAAAGTTTCCAATTAATAGTTTATCGTTGGGAGCTGCGTGCGGCGAAAAAGCAATATCGCGCGTTACATTGTAGTGAGCTCCGCTGATAAGTGGAAGCAGAAAGAATACAAATCACAATGGGCTCCGCTTGAGAGCCCAGAGCAGATCAGGTGACGTCACCTGAGAGCCCTCAGGCTATTGCACGACTCGATCAAGTCGCTGCCCTGACTATAGCTCACTGACTTACTGACTGACTGACTTGGTCTTTCCTATGATGGTCTGCATAGCTTAAGTGGAAATGATTATTATGGGAAAAGACTGTGACTCCGTGCCCTGTTTAGCTACCCTGATGTCCAGATTATTGAAGAATATTATGATAATTTCACATTTAAATTTATAATAAATCTTTAGTGTAAAAAAATTATAATAATGGCTCTGAGACACTCGGACAGATAGAGATTTGTGCTAGAACAAAATTATTCCAATTCCTATTGAAAGGTTGAATAAGTTAAAAATATTTAATAGATAAAATAAAATTCTTAAAATTTTCTTCTGAGCCATGGAGGTATAAAAAAAGACCAAAAAAATAAAATACAATATTAAATTTACAAATATTATTAAAATTTAAAAAATAATGATAAAATTTTAATAAAATAAATTTAATTAGCTGTTATACCCGTAATATTTTTTATATAAAATATGTAATATATGATTATTTTAATGTTTGTGATCTGCATTTTACTTGTCGATACAATTGTAGGTCTTGATACCATAAAGCCTTTTCAGGGATTAGCACACCAGAGGATAATATCATTACATCAGACGGACGGTCTGACAAATGCACTCTCGGCTGTTGTGTGGCATTTAGGAAACACACTTGACTCTCTGCTCTGCTAATGCATAATGATACACACTCAAATAATGTATAAAACGCTCTCGAGTATACCACAGCATCATTGTGAAATCAATAATTGGCCCTGACTTATAGGATATTTCGAAATATATATCAGTTTTGCCGGCGGAAACCAAGCACGAAATTGAAACCAGGCAGAAATTCACACACTTTATATATTAAACCTGTTAATTTAAATTAATTATTTTTCATATCATAGCTATTGGCGAAAGAAAGTTATTTATTTTGCTTGTGATTATTTTTTTTATCTGAATACGAATTTCTGTTTTTTTTTTCTTTTTAAATATTTGACATTTCACCTTTCTACAATAAATAATTCAGGCAGCCTAATTAATACGTTTTGTAAGTAAAGCTTTTATCCTTGATTACCTACGCGCTGATTACGATTTTAATTGCATATATACTTAAAGCTCATACAAACTATGCACTTTGTCCCTTTTTGTAGGTCACAATTTTCCCTTCCAGTTGGTTCTTTTCAAAGCTGCAGCCGATCTTTTCAAAATTAATAATAGCACACCGCGGAGTGTATTATGTATGAAACAAAGCGCGCAGACAGCACTTGGATGTAGAAATCAGCAGCGATCCTGTAGCCGACTGATCTATTTCGATAAGGCTCACTCCGTCCACATCATTATTTTATAATGGAATAAAAAGAGCCGCCGTCTCGAACATTAAAAGCAGCACACACACATTTATTCTCTCTTAAAACAAACGCTCGTGAATTAAGTAGACGAGAGAATAATATATAATGCAGCGCGGGATGAAAAGTTCGCTGCTTGTACACTTTGTACAATGCATATAGATATTTAGCTCGCACAGGCGAAGATAGATAAGTAATTAATTCTCTCTTGAGCAGCTACAGCAGTGGCGGCAGGAGAAAGTTTTGCTACGAGAGAGACTCGTAATACATTAATGTGCTTTTTATTGGAGCTCTTCTCATTATTATTTTTTTTTTTTTGCTCTCCCGCTGCATGCAGCAGCTCCATAGCTTGTTATTATTTTTATTGCTAAGCATCTCATTACTTTATCATTGCGGATCACACACGGATTTCAATATGTACGTCCAGACCGTTTGCAGAGAGCTAATTTTGCAAGACTTGAGAGACGCCGCTGTCATTATATCAAGACGCGAAGAACCGCGCGTTGCCGCAACCAGAGACGATTTTGCATGTAGCTGCAGCAAAATGAGATCGTTCTAATTGAATGCAATTTTCATCGATGCCACATCAAAGAGGTCGATTAGCTTTGTCTCAATGTTGGTGCTGCTGTGGAAAAATGTAAATTGCGCACTTTCCTCTTTATATTGTAGCAAAATGCAGTTTCTATATAACTGCAATTTATATTGCTCATCTTGAATGTCGTAACACTTTTGAAAAATAAAAACTTAAAAAAAAAATACACTGACGAGCAACAACAATTTTTTTATCAAGAGAAATTTTCTCTAAAAAAGTGTCCCTGTAGTGTTTTTTATTTTTTTTTTTTTTTTGGGAGATTAGGAATGTTGAAGTTTGCCCCAAATAAGCTTTATTAGGAAATCCCTTTGGTACTTTTGAGCCGGATTTCCAAAATTCGTGTTAATGAATGACCATAGGAAACCTGAGTAAATAGCCCTTTGTGAAAAAACCGGCTCGAGTGCCTTATTCTTATAAGACAAAAAGTGCCCAAGCAAACAAATTAAGAGGCGCGTTTGGCAATTATTTATTTTCACATTTTTTGCCCCTCTCGCGAAAACAAAGATCTGACACCAAAAACCACAACTTGTTTGCCGTGGTAATGGAGTTTGCCGGTCATTTTCCACCTAATGTGTTGGATGCAAAACGCATTAGCACGGCGAGAGCTGAATTTTGTGCACCGAAAGGCGCTTTTTTGCTCTCGCAACAATGCAACTCTGGCGTATGATTTTTTCTGACAGGGGATTGTTTGCAGAGTGCGCCGAGCGGGTACCGTAAGAAAAGTGTCATTAGAGAAGTGGCCAGACACCTGATTACTCCAATTATCGCAGCTGCAGGGGGCAAATACCTTCGGCGATCGCCTGCTCGGATGGTTTTTCGCGCGGGGCTTCCTTGCGGAATTTCATTCTGCTCGTGCCTTTATGGGCTGTGGGAGAATCTTTTCGCTATTTTCTCTTCCTCTGCGGCTCAGGTTTCCACTCGTGTAGCTCTATTATACTTGATTGCTGGACATTAATAATATGAATAATGTCCCGTGCATGTGCATTTTCTGTGTGAAATCTGACTCTGTTCTGTGTGTTCTACGTTGCAGTACCAATGAGTGTAAAAACAATGTCAAGTAACGACCCACACATGCGTTCCAAATTCTTGTGAATATGGTCAAATTAAAATATTTATTTATTAAAAAAAACATATGTAATAACATTCAAATGTTCTCATCTTCTTTAAATTATTGCTGCTGGAGAGTTCAATTGACTATAAATTTTCTCAAAATAAATAATTTATTCTTGCGAAAATTTACTAGCGCGGAGCTGACACCAGGGTGTATTTATCAGCTCATTGCAATAGGTTGTGTTAGTTAAATCCATTATTTATATTGGCGCAAAAATTTATTGACCTGCCACTTGAGCTATAAAATTTTAATGATTTGCTCGTGAGTAGAGCATACATTTGCAATTATAATTCTATGAAAAGTACGTAGAGCAAATGAAAGAATAAGTTCGCAACGCCAACACGTTTCCTTTGTTTTTCATTTTGATGTTCATACCCGGTTAAAAATATTATCACTAATCAAATATATTTTAATAAAACTATTTAATTCTACCAGCATTGTGGCAAAATTGGTCAATGCGAAATTGTTAAAAACTCTATAAAAAATTAAACTTAAATTTGAAATAAGATAATCAATTTTAGTGATAATTATTTACAATTTAAGAATACAACTTTTTAGCTCTAAAAAATTATACAAAATGCCAAACTAAAAATAATTATATTATTATATTACTTCAAAATTTTCTTTAAGTGATGAGTTGGAACAAATAGTTTAGATTATACATGATGGATTCATGATCTGAGAAAAATGTTGTTTGAACTTTTTTTGAAGTGAAAAAAGTAGAACAAGTACTTAGCTCATCTATAGAGAGCTGATTGTAAGAACTGGTATAAAGATTTTATTTATACATTAATCATTATTCACTTGCGCACGGCTATAATAATCCTTTTGCAGAAATATTTAATAGAGCTTCTTCTGATGAACGCATTTTGCGTCTACAAGTTGAGGCCACTCCTGGGAGCAGGCTAATAAAATTGCACATAAATCACTGAACCTATTATCGGAACAGCTGCACTTTGATTAATGTTTGCGCCAAAGAGAGCAACGAGAAAAAGCATAAAAAGCAGCGGAATGCGCGTTAGTCAGCCAGTAAATTACACGCCAAATTTGCAGCAACGGCAGCAGTGCATTCTTGTCAGTGAAGAGAGGAATGATAATCACTTTAGATCGCTAAGCAACTCGCCCAGGAAATATTACATCAATCTTAATTTTTTCTCTTGAACTTCTTTTTTTTAGTGAAAAAAAAAACGGGACTATCAGGCAAGTAGAGTTAAACTTAAATTTACACTTTTTTTATATATTTGAAATTTGAAATAAATAATAATTATATACTGTAAAATAAAAATAAAAAATTATATTATAAATAAATAATATTAATATAGTATAATTAAATTGTAAAAGTTATACTTCGTCGATAATTATTGGGTTTTGCTAAAAATAAAAACTCATTTAAAATAAAATTTTAAAATTAATTGAAAATAAAAGTAATATCATAAAAAATTGTAAAAATGCAATAATGCTAAAGTACAAATTTGTTCCAGCAAAAAAAAAAGTAAAAATTCAGAATAAATGCTCCATCTGTACGGAAAATTATTGAACTAACGATGCGTTCGCTTTACAAATAGCAGCTGGACGGACCGGCGTCTGTTTCTGAATTTCTTCGTTCTTGATGTTTAATTAGCATTATCATTTAGCATAGGCATTTTTATCATTTTTTAAACAGCGTTCCTACTCATTTATATTTGAAGTTTGAGGAATCATTATGTCTGAAAATTACCAAATTCGCCCGGCGAAAAAAGACGACTGTGCCGAAATAAAAAGATTGATACAGGTACGCGATTTAATTAATTCATTTAATTATTTTTTTTTTCCTATTTTTACTTACACGATATTTTTCCCTCAAAAAGACCGATTGTTAAGTTTGCTAAAAATTTTAATTGTTATAATAAATCTCACCTTGCAACAGGAATTGGCTGACTTTGAAAAACACCCTGATGGACCAAAGCTTTCAGTTGAAGGTATTTATAATTATAATATTATTAAAGCGCGCATAATGTATGATTCAATAAAAAAAACGTCTTTATACACAGACAATTCTTATTATTATTATAATATAATTTATGGCCTTGGTAATTTTCAGTAATTTTATTACTTATTATTCATTCAGACTTTTAGTGTTTTGTAAAATTTTAGAATATTTTTTATTCTTTCAAATTTATTTTAGATTTGCAACGGGATGGCTTTGAGAGTGACCCTCCAAAATACCGATGCATCGTGGTTGAAAACAACACAATTGGTGCCGACGGCTCCCTTTGCGGTTACGCGATTTACTTCCAGACTTACTCCACCTGGGAAGGGTCAGCGCTGAGGTTGGAGGACATTTACGTGTCTCCTGCACACCGCAGAAACGGACTTGGCAGGATCCTGCTTGCTCATATTGCAAAGGTCAGCTACTTTTTTTTAAACCAATGAAATTTTTTAAATTTCAATTGAACTTAACAGGAGGCTGAAGATGAGGGATTCTGCCGAATTGACTTTTCCGTCTTGTCGTGGAACCCGGCGTCTGCTTTTTACAAATTGCTTGGCGCGCACAACATCACCGACCTGGAACAGTGGGCCATGTGGAGATTCGAGAAGGACACCATCCACGAACTGGCCGAGAGGGCACGAAACTAAATTTTTCTCAAGGGCACAAAGACTGTAGGTTTTTTTTAGGACTGAGTGAGAATTTTTTAAATAGTGGAATTTGAGCGACTGATTAAAAAACCTTCAGGAGACCGAGAAATTTATAGTTTATATACAAAATGCAATAAAATTTTGGCTTAAATAATAAAAATACCAAATTCTTTTCATTATAAATTACCTTGAATCATGTGTCCGGTACTTATTATTATATTCTTTAACTAAATTCATATTTTTTAACTTTTTTGATCAACATTCCAGATCTTTCCCATCTGTAATTCATGAATTCGTATATACAGACAAAAAATATCAGACTGTCAAACCTTGAATATTACTTTTAATATAATAATTGTACCGTCTTAATTGACTTGCATCGTGAAAACTCGCTCTACGGCACATTTTGAGGGCGCGCGCGTGTGCTTTCCTTCAAGACTTGGGACAGGATACGAAAAAAAGTAATTTGCGACTGGTCTTCCTTTGCCCTGGGCGAGGAACTCGCGTCCGTCACCCGCACACTCCAATCGTCTTTTTGGTAACAGGCACACGCCGTTAAATATTAATATACATTTTTTTGCACCTCAATGGCGCTTTTCAGATCTGGCTTTAAGACCCGCGAGCGAATTAGCATCCTTTGGCAGAGCAATTTCAAGGAGAAAATTAAAAGCAGCTTTGAAAGGCGAAAATTATTTGCAAACGTTTAGCTCTCTCATTTAAAAAGGTGCAAAATGACTTGCCGGAAATATTAAAGTATGATTCAAATTTCATTTTAAAAATATTTTATAAGGACGCCAGTAGCGTGCATTTCTTAATTTGTGCAGCTGCCAGGGCTGAATAAAGACAACATTATTTCTGTCCTCAATGATTTTGTCCTTGACTGACAATTTGGGCTATTTTGTTTAACAAGCGGTCCCAGTTAATTACGAAAAGCAAGTGCCCTGTAATTGAAAAGGCTCCACCCTCAAAGAATTTGTTTTTATCTCTGGATCATATTGCGGGTTATAAAACGAAAAAGCCGTCACTACCGGGTGTCAGTTTGTGGCGACCATGAGCTCCGTACCGCTTATTAGAACAGCTCGCAAGGAGGATTGCAAAGAAATCCAGCGCCTAATTCAGGTACTCTTAATTGCAACTTGTCAAATCAAACGGCTCATTTTTTATAGGAACTCGCCACTTACGAAAAATTTCCGCACGCCCCGAAACTGAAAGTCGAAGGTAATTTGAAATCATTTGTCAGTTAAATAAGCATACAAAAAATATTCTTAGATCTTGAACGGGATGGATTTGAAAGCAGCCCTCCGAAGTTCAAGTGCTTTGTGGCAGAAAACCCAGATAATGAGGAGGAATTGTGCGGATATGCAATGTATTATCCAACTTATTCCGCTTGGGATGGAAAGGCGATCCGACTCGAGGACCTTTTTGTGGCTCCTGAAGGCAGAGGAACGGGTCTGGGAAAAAGACTTTTTAGTCTTGTGGCAAAAGTATAAATTTAAAATGGTCAATCCATCGAGAACGATTCTCATTATAAATTTCAGGAGGCCTTGGAAGGCAATTATTGCAGGGTTGAGTTCACAGCTCTGGGATGGAATCAGGCTGCTGGTTTTTATACGCATCTTGGTGCAGAAAATACCACAAGCAGTGAAGACAGAAATGTCTGGCGTCTTTACCGGAGCGGTATGGAAAAGCTCTTGGAAAATTCCAATTTGAATTGAAAATATTCCTCTATGGAATAAGAAAAATTTCACATGGAATGTATTTTATTGTATTAAACGATAGTAAAAAATGTAACAAAAAAAGTTCCCACTGGAATTTATTTTCCTTTTTACTAACTTATTTTTTTTTTTTTTATTGATTTTGTCATTTTCCTTGATATATCCATATATCCAGCACGAATCTGACCCTGGAGGACAACCTGTAGATAATCTATCAGGTTACGGTTCTGAACTGCAGTTTTTTTTTATTTTTTACTTGACACAATTTATGCACACTTGCTGGTCTTCTTGCCAGGCTCACATGTGAAGTTTTCTTGGCACTCCGGCCTAAGCTATAAAAAATACGCTCTTAACAAATTATGTAAAAAGATATTGTGCCAGATTTCTATTTCCAAAACATAATTTTTATCTTAAAAATATATGAAAATTGCTTTATGAGGTATTTTTGCAAAATGTTTGCCGTTTTCTTTGTTATGCAACCGCCAGTGAGTGTCCAAGTGTGTTTCAATGTGTCCTGCCAAAATGTGTTTCTTAATTCGACTTTCTGCAAATCAGTTAACGGAGTTGTATGTTGGTTGGATGTCTCCACTACTTATCTTTTCAAGTGTACAATTAAAGTTGGAATCCAGACTAGGCGAGTACCTGATAATTTTTTGCGATCAGTGCCTTTGGCAGAGCAATTTCAAAGGCATAAATTTTCAAACAAATAGATCTCATATTTATACAACACCTTTCAAATTTCACATCTAAAATGTTTTCAAAAAACATTAGCAACGTGTAATAATTTGTGCAGCTGGCAGGGCTGGATAAAGAAAATAATTAATTTGAACTCCACACTTGAATTTCGCAAAAGTTGATTTTTTTAACACAACGTTGCCGGATCATCCAACACTTATCGCTCTTATAAATTGACAACTCCGTCACTATACCGGGTGTTAGTTTATGCGACAATGAGCTCCATACCAATTGTTAGAACTGCTCGCAAGGAGGATTGCAAAGAAATCCGCCGCCTAATTCAGGTACATACTCTTAATTGCGATTTGTCAAATTGAAAGGTGCTCATTTTTTAGGAACTGGCCGATTATGAAAATTTTCCGCAAGCTCCAAAATTGAAAGTCCAAGGTAATTTCAAGATAAATCATCCATATGGAAAGTCAACTAATCATAAATAATAATAGATCTTGAACGGGATGGATTTGAAAGCAGCATTCCCATGTTCAAGTGCTTTGTGGCAGAAATCCCAAATAATGAGGATAAATTGTGCGGATTTGCAATGTATTCTCCCTCTTATTCCTCCTGGGTTGGAAAGACAATTCAACTTGAGGACCTTTATGTGTCTCCCGAATTCAGAGGAACGGGGCTGGGAAAAAGACTATTCAGTCTTGTGACAAAAGTTAATCCTTAAAAAATATTCATTTCAACCACTGATTCTCATTGTATATTGCAGGAGGCCTATGAGGGCAATTATTCCAGGGTTGAGTTCACAGTCTTTGCATGGAATAAGGCAACTGATTTTTATACACACCTCGGTGCAATAAATACCACAAACAGCGAAGACAGACATGTCTGGCGTCTTTACCGGAGCGGAATTGAAAAGCTCGTGGAAGATTCCAATTTAAATTGAAAATACTCCTTTTGAAAGAACAATTAACATGGAATGCAATTTATTGTCTCACACCCCAATAAACAATATGTAACAAAAAAGTTCCCGCTGGAATGTGTATTTTCCTGTTTTAATTTCTACTAACCTATTTTTTATTCATTTTGTCCTTTTCCTTGATCCAACACGAATCTGCCCCTGGAGGACAGCCTGGGTACTCTTTCAGGTTGGGATCCTCAACTGCAGTTTTTGGCTCTACACAAGCACACCTGCTGGTCTTCTTGCCAGGCTCGTGAAGTGTTCGTGGCACTCCGGCCCAAGCTCGGTCGACTCCACCACTTTTGGTTGTGCACCAGACCCGAGTGCCCTTTTCTTTCTTCCACTCCACATTGCAAGGTGGATATCTTTAAGAAGAGAATAATTTTCTTAATTTTGCTTTTCTCCACAACTAGAAAGAGGTCTCAGCCAGCAAAGGGTTTAAACTTTTTTTTCTGCGCCAAATTCTGCGGCCATTACTCTTGGGCAGGCTTATTTTTTTTTACTTAATTTTATTTTCTCCTACTAATTTTTTTTTCAGCTCCAGCTGATTGGCTCAGACCTCTATAATAATTAAAAACACTAACAACCAGATAAAAAAATGATACCTTTTCCACAAATTTTTTGGTTTTCTATGGCAGGAGCGAATTAAAAAAATAAAATCAAATAAACAGAGCAGCACTCACCTTCTTTTTTCAGCGCCTTCTGCAACCTCTTCGTCTTCAGCAGCTTTCAGCTTTTGGTAAAAGTCCTCCATCTCCCGAGTTTTCCTTCCTTTGGAGTCGTAAAACCGGCCAATCAACTTGCCCACGTATCTGTAGTCGTTCTTGTAGAACTCGACCCATTTCCACAACCCCTGGATGTCTTTGTTTGAAAGGCCAGTTAGATCATCAGTCAGGCCATTCTCGCTGAAGTCCCCACTCACAAATGCTCGAGATCCATCTTTTCCGGTGAAAAAATGATAGCTGCAGCCTGGCCCGTAATGATCCTTGCCTTTAAATAAATTATTAAGCATACTAATTAATTAAAAATTTGCTTATTTACCGGCTGAAACGTCAAAAACGCTTCCTAGGATTGCAACATACAATCCTTTGCTACCTTCACTTCCATCATACTGGGCCAATTCTGCTTTCGTCATGAGCAGCTTGGCAGTGTTCTTATGCATTTTGGCTGGACTTTGGAATTCTGGCTTCTGCTTTGCATAGTGCTCATCTTCTCGCTCATACCTGAGATCAATGCCGGTATTTTGGTAGACAAAGGCAGCAGTCTATGTGATATTATTCAATTTAAGTCCTTTCTTTTCTTAGAAAAATTATATATACCTTGTCGTAAAAGTGGCATACGGCTTTGTACGCATCTCTAGTGTACCCAAGACCTCTACCCAGAAGAGACGGGATGATGAAAGGGTTGTACTGATGGATGCCCACAGACAGAACGATGACAAATACAGATATCGCTGTGCCACTACCCATGTTGTAATTATCTTCTAAAATCTGCTGACATCAGACTCTCGTCCGTCCGCAGTCTACCTGGTCTGAAATTTTTTAAATAGATAATCAATATCTCTAATTCTCTATCAAAATTACATATTAGATAGGATGCATATCAGATAATGACGTTTATGCAAATATGAAAAACATAAAAATAATCTGACTTTTGTTTTACATTATCATTTTAAGTTTCCATTCACTTCAGAAAGGAAGTTTAATCTTTATTGTTCTTACCAGTTTGGCCTATGAATTATAAACATGAGGCAATCAGCATTATTTTTGCTTTTGCCGACTCAGAAAAAATTTATAAAATGTTGCGATTGTCTTTTTATCAAAAGTCTCGCTCGCCCTGCCGTTCTTCGTTGTTGTTGTCGCGAAGGGGGCGGGGTCGACGATGGGAGGAAAGGAAGGGGTGGAAGGGGGATGTAAACAAAACAAAAACAAACAAGAAAGAAAAAAAACAGCAGCATGGCCCTGACGGCAAGACTTCGGCCTGGCTGGTTTTTGCAAAAGAATTTTGCAAAAAACATTTTTTCTACTCGTTTTGAACGTACGCTGCACTCAAGCGTTGCCGAGCTCCTTAAAAATGATGTCAAAGGAATAGTCACAGTCAAGGTACATATGTATTATAATTCGTATATCAATTCTCATGATCATGAAAGAAATGCCAATTTTATTAATTTTCCTGTTGCATCACTTTTTCAATCAGTTTGACATCATTGAATTTTTTTCAGGGCTGGGTCAAGAACATACGGAAGATGAAAGGAGTTCTTTTCGTGGACATCAACGATGGGTCTGGTTCGGAAAAACTGCAGGTTGTGGTTCCGAAAGAAATGAAGCCGGAAAACCTGGGATTTGGAGCGTCCGTGGAGGCGTCTGGAATAATTTCACTTAATTCGTACAATATGAAGGAGATAAAAGCCGAGCACTTTCAACTGATCGGTGCTTGTGGTGATCCAAAGTCTGGTTACCCTTTTGCTGCAAAGGAACGTTACTCGGATGATTACGTCCGACAATATCTTCACCTTAGGTAACATCAAAATTCTCTCTATATATTTTGGAATAAACCGTTTAAAGTTCTAAATTAACAGACCTCGACACCCATCATTTGCAAGTATTTTGAGACTACGCGATGCTGCCATGAGAGGACTGCACAATATTTTAGGCGAAATGGGCTACATCTGTGTGAATACGCCAATTTTGACTTCCAATGACTGCGAAGGTGCCGGTGAAGTGTTTAAAGTTCAGCCTCTCAATCAGGAACATCTCAAAACATTGCGAAAACACGGAGTGCCAAGCGAAGAAGCGTACTTTAACTGTGAAGCATTTTTGACTGTGTCTGGTCAACTTCAACTGGAAGCTGCAGCCATGTAAATTAATCAAATGAGCAAAATATTTCTCAACATTATAATCTCTATTTAATTTTAGTGGTCTTGGTAAAGTTTATACTTTCGGACCTGTTTTCCGAGCAGAAAATTCAAAATCAAGACTCCATCTCTCAGAGTTCTACATGTTGGAAGCAGAAATTGCATTTAGCTCAAATTTGGAAGACTCCATTGATTTAACAGAGAAGTTGATTAAAGGCGTTACCAGTAAATTATTAAAATCGCGCCGCAGCGACCTTGAATTTTTGAGCAGCTATTCACAGTGCGACCTCCTTGTATGCTTATAAATTTGTTTTTAAATCGCATAATAATTTTATTCCTTGTGTGCACAGAAGCGACTTGAAGGAATTGCTAATGGTCCAGCATTTCCAAGACTGACGTACGATGAGGCTGCAAAGATAATTCAGAAACACGAGGGTGAATTCACAGTAAAGTTGTTACCTGGTGAAAACCTTAAGAAGGAGCATGAACTATTCTTAAGCAATTATGCTCTAAAAGAAATGAACCAGGACCTTGTGTTTGTAACTCACTGGCCTGCTGATATCAAGCCATTTTATATGAAGCAAAATGAAAACAATCAGGTTTGTAATTTATTTTATTAAAACTGCTTGTTATTTCATTATTTTGCGATTATAGGCATTGGCATTTGACTTGTTAGGCCCTATTTGTGGTGAGCTTTGCGGAGGGAGCGTTCGTGAGCCGAACGTCCAGGTTTTGGAAGACCGTTTATTAAAAATCTTTGGCAGTAAAGAAGCCCTAAAGAATCTTGATTGGTACTTGGATATAAGAAGGTTTATCTTAAATATTTATCTTTAATTGGAATTCAATGAAAATCTTCTGACAGAAATGGCAATGTTCCGACGTCAGGATTCGGCATTGGATTCGAGAGACTTTTGCAATGCGTGCTAGGCGTCCCTAACATTAAAGACGTTCTTCCATTTCCACGAGGGCCCCATAATTTGAAAATGTAGCAAGGTAATATATTAAAAAAAAATCAGGTTTACAACGTTTATTAAAAGCAATAAAAGTTGGCACCAACTTTTGTTACAAAATTTTTCATGTCGTCACAAAATGAGTCGGGACCACAAATGAGCACTCGGCACTTAGTTGCATTTTCGATTGCATTTTGAATGTCAATTTCTTCGATTCTTCTTCTCACTACTTTTTCTCCCCAATCTGGCTCTCCTTCGTCAGACGTTACAAAATGAGTAAAACTGAAGTTCCAAAAGGCAGCAAATTCTTTAAGCTTGCTTAAAAGAAGCCTACTTTTCAGAGTTGGGCAGCCGCAATATAGTTTAAGCACAGTCTCGTCGTGTTCGTTCTCCAAAATGGAACTATATAAAAAAAATTAAATCATTATTTCTGGGAAATTAATTTTTAAATTATAAATATTTATTTTAACCATTTTTTAACAAGCCTGGAAAAATACCTGATGATTGGAATCATTGGGGCAATTCCAGTGCCCGCACATAAAATCAGTTGTACCTCCTGGCTCGTTTTTTCGTACTGAAAGTCTCCGTAAGGGCCTCTCCATTGCATTGTGTCACCTACTTTGGACCTTGCCAAATATTCTGACGCTGGGCCGTTTTCGTACCGCTTCACAATCACATCAAAAGTGTTGCTTGTCCATGCAATGGGACTATATCTTTAAATTCAATAATTATACAATTAATTAAAAGTTACGTTTAATTAAAATTTACTTCCGATCAACAAAGTTAGGCTTGTCATCTACAATATCACCAATAAGTGGAACCTTTAATTCCAAGTGCTTTCCAATGCCGAGTTCAATTAGATCGATGCTCTGAAATCTTAACAAAAAACTTTTTTATTGATTCTAATTTTCTTTCAGATAAATCAATGCACCTGTATATCGCAGTGTCTTCTAATTCATCTTTGATTTCGATCAACTGGAACGGCAAGAAGTCTGTTTGGGATAAACCCAAAGAAATGCTAGTCTCGACTTGGATTTTCCGGGATTGATATTTTTTGAGTTGGTTCCTGTAGATATCATAAACACACGGATTGCATCCCTCACCACAGCAGTCTTCAGCCTTTGGCTCTTCAGGTTCTAAGTCATCTTCGTCCACCGAAATTTTGGAGCCTTCCATAATAAATCTAAAAAAAAAGACGTAGTAATCAATCTGTTCCTAAAGATACTTCATATTATTTATATGTCAACTGGAAGAAGTGTTATTTTGATTATTTTTATTTGTGTGATAGACACCCAGCTATAGTTCAAAGGTCAATATCAAATTTTAGGCTAGGGATTACAAAAAAAAAAAAATGCCAAGATTGGCAGAATAAAATGTTCACTGTTAAGGGAGAGAACTTTTATACATAGAAATCAGATTGTATTAAAAAGGTAATTGAACTTGTCCTTGAACGTGTAAAAATTTAGTTTTGTTGCTAGAAGGATTGAAGGAGAAGAAATCTGGGGGGCAGGGAGGTGCAGCAGGCAAACGAGAGAACAGCAACACCGCTGCTCCGCCAAGCACCAAAAGTGGTGGAGGGGGAAGTCGGGCGGACCAGCAGCAGCGGAGCGCAAAAGAAGTCTCATGCCGACGCATTTGAGGCCAAATTTTTAATGTTTGAGGGACGTTAATCCTGTCAACGCACTCACCGAAATCATCAACTCACTCAGTGGTAGGTATTTGCACGATAATCTAATCGAAAGCGTCCTGTTACGCAGGTATAAAATCAATAAGGACGGCGGATGGTGGCACCTCGCGAGGAGGAGGAAACAAGGGGAGCTGAGCTGCTCTGCGGCCTGTCTGCTTCAAGACACACACACCACTCTGCTCAACGCAAGATTTGTCAGGGGCGTCGGTGAATGGCTTGCAAAACGAAATGGATGCAGACTGAACTGGAAATTTCCACGCTATTTTTTCTAGGCTCTGGGTTATCGTGGTGTTTTGATGCTGTGTTATGCACATGTTCAGGTTTTGCAACCAGGTCAGGCCGTCACAAAGCGGAAGTTGTGGGTCAACGAGAGGGAGGGGAACTGTGTCACAATGCGGGCTGTTACGCACTTGCAAAAAATATAAATTGGGCTTTTATGTGCTTGTGTAGATTGGCTCTAGAGTTTTTTTGACCTGAAATTCATAGCAACAGCTGTGCCAACATTTACCATTTTTATTAGAAAATTTTGAAATTTTGTACAATAAAGTTATCAAATTTATCCTGCCAACAGGTGAAATACAGCCTGGCCAGCCATGTCCGACATTGCAGACACTCCTGAAAAGGCAGATTCGGAAAGTCGCTGCTCCACCCCTCAAGCAGCCTCTGTTGCCTCACTTGACTTGGATGACTCATCCAAATTGGGCAGTCGCAACCGCACCAGATCTTCAAGGTTATTGTTCTTATTTTTATCCTGGTCAAGTAAATTCAATTAATTTTTCCCTGCAGGTCTACCACTCCCGTGACAAAAGCTTTGAGACCGAGGCTAAAGGTCAGTGAAAGTCCGAACAGCAGCCATGACGGCAAATTTGATGATGACGACGACGACCCAATGGATGAAGGGCCTTTGGTAGAAAAGCGCAAACATGCAATGGAGGGCGAGGTAGATGACTCGTCATTTGTTATTTAATTATCGTGCTGACTGTTAAGATCATTATTGCAGCTCATTCATGACCCATATTGCTGGATATGCCACAAGGAGTTGGTTGATGGAAACTCGAAACCCTGCTACACATGTCTGCGGTCGCTTCACCCGAAGTGCGCCCCAGCCATCAAGTTTCCCAACATGCAATCCAATCCAGATCATTGGGAGTGTCCAGAATGTTCTCCATTTTCATACGAGCCAAAGTAAGTTTTCTTCCGTTTTATCTCTTTGCTCTAGATGATAAGAGTTATTAAATATTGGCTCGTACGCTTAAAAATCTGTATTTTGTTGCTTCTAAATTATCAATGTAGGCAGATTAAAAATTTGTAAATTAATTGCAGACCGCGTAGTGAAGGCTCACAGGAGCAGTTGGACGTTTTGTTCAAGTATGTCATTGACCGTGCAGCGACGCAGGCAACTGAGGTAGAAAAATGGAAACATTTAGACAGAAAATTTACCTTCATTTGTTGTAGCCTTTCCTCAACCCCGTGGATCTCAAGGAATTTCCACAGTATTTGGACTATATTGTTCACCCTATTTGTATTACGGAAATAGAAGAAAAACTTAACAAGAGCCTTTACCTCTCTCCGAGAGAACTCCTAGCTGACTTTAAGTGGATTCATCATAATTCCATTATATTCAATTCAGGTACCTCTCGCATTTACCTTCAATTAATATATTATTAATGTTTTTTTGCACAGCCCAAGCTAAACTTACCTCAATAGCCAAACAAATGCTACGAGTGGTACGAGAGGAGACCAAGGAAATCGAGAACTGTCCTAATTGTCTCTACAATGCCTACACCATGAAACCTGATTGGTTCATACAAGCTTGTGTATGTATTCAAATAATTAATTTCAATCCTTAATTTTTGCATATTATTGAAATTGCGACTATTTTTAGGATCGTCCCCATTTACTTGTGTGGGCTAAGATGAAGGGATTCCCGTACTGGCCAGCCAAGGCCATGGCATTTAATCAAGCACAAACGTTGGTGGACGTTAGATTTTTTGGCAAACATGACAGGTATTTATTTCATAATAAGTCCGGCTAGCTTTGCTTCAATTCTGATTCTTCCTAGGGCACATTTGCCTATTGTGGACTGCATGCTGTACACATCATGGTATCCGGCACCTGCCCAGGTTAAAAAACCTCGTGAGGATGTTGCTGCTTGCATTAAGGTAAATAATTGTGTCATACAAATTTTTGTATACTTAATGGTCCAATTATGAAACAGGAGGTTGACCAGCACATTGCTAAACTGAAGCAGAAATTTGGCACTTTCGTATACGCATCGACCATTACTTTTCTCAACCCGAAAGATATGGAAGGCCAAGTGAAGAAGATGCTTCCTAATGTACATAATTGGTTTGCACTTTTATTTGAAAATGTAATGAAAATTTTTGTGTTTTAGTACAAGCCTGACACTATGGGAAAGCAAATACCTGCAGCCTCTGAGGTTGCCAAGGGTGCTACTGAAAATAGCAAGAAAATAGAACTTGCTTCCAACCTTACGCCCAATGTAGTCTTAACTCGTCTCTCCGAGGTTGACAAACACGCTTTGAAGTGCCCAACAGCAACTGCAGCTGTGGTAGAGGACAAGATAAAAATCGAGAAGTCTCCGAACAACAGTAGAAAAAACTCAACTGAAGGAGACGAATCGCAAGATTTGATGAGCAACTCTGTCAGGGCAAAAACACCATCTGCGATTGTGAACAAAGCTGCACCGTCTCTCACTCAATTGAATAGAAAAAGTGATGGAAGTGAAACTATGCTGAAACGCAAACTCCCACAAACCAGTAAGTTTCTGTGTTAAATTTAATTCTGGTGTCTCAAAAGATATTTTTCTGTAGCTAATAAAGGCGTGCCAGAGTTGGCAAAGCGTTCAACAAAGGGAAGCATCATGGACGTAGCACTGAGCAGTGATTCTGAAAGAGAGAGTAAAAATTCCAAAAAAGGGAGTGTGAATAGTTTGGCAAAGGAGCTTGAGGCTTTAGGCTCTGACCTGAGTGACTCTGATGACGAAATTGAAAATTTTGTTGAACAAGAAATTAAAGAAATCCCTGCAAAGAAATCAAAGATTGAAACCATAGATGATGACGACGCTGAAATGCTGATGCTTGAAGCTCAGGATTTTGAAATTTCCAAAAATGAAAAAGCTGCGAGACCGCAGTCACCTATGAAGGTTAAACCAGGAGGCTCAAATGTGGATCAACAGAAGCAGAAGAAGATTGCCGATGGAATCAAAGTTTTGAACAGCTTGAAGGTGCAAGGCTTGGATGTGACTCAATTGCCCTCTGGAAATTCATCGCCGATGTCTCAGTCATTTGCAGACATGTCTAGTGACTCTTCTGAGTTTCTTGAGTCCGATATTGAAATGGAAAAGGACGTGATTCATAGCCATGAGCCTATTATTGAAATGCAGGTAGAACCTGATTTATCAATTGAATATGAGAAAAAAGCACCTGTGAAAAGAGCGCCCTTAAAAAGCGTGACAAAATCTCCTCTGAAAAACTTCACAAAATTTTTCCCTAAAAATGCACTGAGTTCATCTCACAAGAGCTTGCTCAAGTCGGCTCCAGTCAAACGGCCAGCGATTCCAATTGCAACTGCACCGTCAAATGAGCACCCAGCTAGCTCACCTAAAACGGCGGCGCAACAGTCTCTACTTAAGAGTTCTCTGATGCTCATGCCTAATAAAGCACGGAAGACACTGCCATCGGCTTCTCTTCTCTCGCAAAGGCTCACAGTTCCAAAGAAAACTCCTCCGAAGGTGAGTTTCTATTTCAATTTTTATTTCCGTGTACAATTACATAATTTATCTTTTTGCAGAAATTTATTATATCATCCACACCTGTTAGTAATACAGTCCAAGATGATGCAAATGATAGCAAGGCTGACGGTGCTGTTTTGACAGATTTGCCAAACAAGGCCGGTCCGTCAACTGCAAAACTGAATGTCACAGCTGAAAATGTAATGCATTGAAATGTTTTTTTTGCATATAATTTGTTTTTAATTATGTATGATTTTTTTTATTTTTTAGTTGGCTGATCACATGAAACAAACCATCTACTCTTTGATCAACGATTTGGTATCCACTTCAGGTGAAGACTTAAAGACTGAAAACGCTAATTTGAAACTGCAACTGGAAGCTGAGAGGTGGTTTCACAGATCCACAGTTGACGAGCTGAAAAAAAATCAAGGTTTTAGCAATCTTGGTTTGAAAATTCTCATCTCACATTTATATTTGCAGATTCTGTTATGCAGGAGTTTGACATGCTTATTGAAGAGAGCAATCTTCGAGCCAAGATAGAAGCACAGAGAGTGGCTGAGTACGAACTGAAGCAAACGATCAATGAAGTCAAAAGGAAAACTTGGTGTTCAGTCTGTCTCATTGAAGCCAGCCTGTATTGCTGCTGGAACACGTCTTACTGCAGTTTCCACTGCCAGGTTTGCTTCCAATTTTCATTCCCTACCTCTACATAAAAAAATTATTTATTCGTTTAGAAGAGACACTGGCCTGACCACAAGAACATGTGCAAGTCAAAACTGAATACCGGTGCGGGAAATTTGCCGAAGAACATTGAAAGTATCAACAGCGCTACAAATGGACTGCCTCCTTCGAAGCCCTTGTTGCATTCTGTTCCCAGTTCAACAGTGGCTTCAACTAATGGCTCAGTGACTATGACAAAAACCTTAAAGAAATCCGTTCCAACCAGTTTGGCATCTCACACCATAATAGGCACAGCAAGCTCTTTAAACATGTCTCAGGTAACAACAAAAGGTTCTGTTTAATTAACTCAACTTGCAAATTAAAACTTTAAAAAAAAAAATGTATTCAGCATTTTTTTGATAATTTCCTCAGTTGAATTATTGGACGTTTTATAAATTTGTAATTTTTTTGCAGGCTGGTGAAATATCTGCCGGAATTCCTCAATTGATCGCTGTTGCCCCAACCTCAACATCTCTCATAGATCAGTCCGAGGTAACTTTTTATTTAATTTTAATTGGTTTTATATCTTGCTAAGTGAGCTTCCAAAGTATTTGAAATTTTACTCACACGTCCTCCCCCCCCCCCTCAAATTATCAAGTATGTTCATTTTCATGCTGCTAGGATAATTTCATCAGCAGTTGTTTTTAACGATTTGTCATTATTTCCAGCCTGGGATGCGGACAGCGACACACTTTTTGATGACGCCAGCGATGAGTAATGTACAAGTGAAGCTTCCAGCAGGTATTCACCACACCACTCTGCCTCCTTTGATTACAACAAGGCCAGTCCAGACTGTAGCCAAATCATCCTCAACACAACAGGTAACGGCAACACCTCTCTTTCAATTCTACAAAGAATCGACCGAGTGAACGGACTTATTTATCGGTCTGCAAATTCAAATGTTTTTATGTGTTTATTTTGAGACTTGAGAGCGTCCAACGACTGTGCCAAATAGATAAGAACAAACTTCTGGTTTAAAGTGCTGCGCTGAAAAGTGTGCTCCGATTGTTGGAACAATATTTGCAAACTTTCTAGGTTAAGCTCTGAATTTCTAATTTTGCGTAAAAAATATTCAACAAATTTCTCGAATCTCATCGATCAGTCTAGTGATACAATGAACAAGCAAATAATGCAGCAACCTATTTTGCAAATGTGTAGAGTAAAACATTCCTTGTGAACTTAAAAATTTTATTTTTGCTTATTGCTAGAAATGTTCAAGCTGTAAATTTGAATTAAATGTCTGAATGACACACTTCGTAATTATTACTTCCAGTGCAAAAGCTATTTTATTGATTAACTTTTTAGCTTTATATTACATTGATTAAATAATCTATGTCGACATTCTACTTGTAAATGTATTCATTGTTCCGAATTAAAAAGCTGGTGCTAAAATATTGTAATGTATCCATCGTCATTTCTGAACAAGTAATAAAAACTTCCGATGGTTCTAAACAAACATCTTTTTTACATATAAAATCAGTCAATTAAGGCACACACCTGATAATTAAATAATTAAAATCGCGGTGTGATTTTTGCTCTAGAATTTCTCGGAGCAAGAGTGAATCCACCAGTGGGTTCCACGGAAGGTGGTTCTTCACCTTTGGGAACTGACAGTGTGAACCTCTGTAATATCCCCGCAAAGAACAAAAACAAGTTGTTCCTGGCAAGCGCTTCCCCCAAACACTGTCTTTTACCCAATCCAAAAGGCACAAGAGCGTCTTGTTTAATTAATTTCCCTTCTTCATTTAAAAAACGTTCCGGACGGAAATTCTCAGGATCGCCCCATATCTTCGGGTCCATGTGAATTTGAGCCAGATTCATGGCAATCCTAGCGTTCTGTAAATAATTTAAATTTAACTGTTCGTTCTCCTTGGAAAGTTTATTTTTACCTTTGGAATGACATATCCACGGAAAGGCACGTCCGCCTTGCAAGTCATAAGGGGCGCGTGCGGAACTCCCATTGGCACAACAGAACTGACCCTCAGCGCTTCCATAATTGTAGCTTCGGTGTACGACAAGCTGAAGAAAATTTTTTGCAGTTAGAAATAATCAATTTGTTTGAAGAAATTGACGTTCAAGCAAATGAAGAGATTGGGCTTTTTGCTTGTTGTAGAAATTGTTTTTTATTAAAAAAAAATGCTCTACCAGTTTCTGTCACGGTCTGCGACTCTATTTCATGAGCAAGAAAAAAAACCAATGTATTGCAACGAGGGAAAGCCCGATCTCTTCATTTCTAAGAAATAATTAAAATTTTATTAACGATTTAATTGGTTTTGCGTACCTAGGCCGGTCTTGAAGACCAGGCAGTCTCTCTTGGCCGACAACATTGTCCAACTCCTCTTGTACTTTTCTTTGGACGTGAGGGTATCTGACCATGTAGACAAGGGCAAAGGTGATGGAATTGAACGTGGTGTCTGTGCCTGCCATGAACAAATCTCGACACACTTCCGTCAAGCACCGTTCTAAAAAAAAATTGTTAATGTAATTTTAATTATTATTTAAAACTTGTACCCGTGAACGATGAATCTTTGCCCTCTTTTATGTGCTCGTTCATCTCGATGAGGTAAATGTCAATAAAATCCCTCGGAGAATCGGCATCGAGCGTTGCCTTGTGCCTCACGATGTCCTCCTTCAGAAAATCAATGATGTTTTTGCGCACAGCCAGAATTTTCTTTTTCTCAGTCAAAAAAGGCAAGTAACGGGTCAAAAAGGGAAAATTGTTTGCTATTCCGCCCGAGGCGTCGGTGATGGTCAGCAATTCTTTGATCAGACCGGTTAGCTGCTTTAGCTTGGGGTCATCGTGCGCGTATCTACGCCCTATGATGAAATGATTTAACTAAATTAGTCTAGGAAAATGAATATATATAGTTGAAAAAAATTACCTGCCATGACGTGCCACAGCACGTTGATGCCAGAAGCGCCGAGCATGTTGTGCAACTCCACCGATTGCTCCCAGTTGGTCCCAGCCATTCTTCCCACCTCCACGATCAAAGAATTGACCTCCTCGTGAATTAAACCTTCCATTGACCTTTTGCCAAATCCCAGGTCTCGCAGGTGGCGCAGAGTGAAGCGTCGCTGCTCGCGCCACAAATTGCCCTGGGAGAAAATCAATCCTGAAATTAAAATAATTATTCAGTATTTTAATTGTTTTGCTCGAAATTTTTCTTGTAATTGTACCTCTGATGAGACCATTTCCGATTTCCAAAGCCAGTTCGGTAACTGGTCGGCCACTTAGCTCCTCCTTACTGGACGCCTCTTTGACCTCCGCGAGGCCCGAGATGATGATCAAAGGGTGCGATCCCACGTACAGTCCCATGATATTTCCATATTTTTCGGAGAGATCTCGAGCTATAAAGTGCAAAGGTCGACCTCGCAGAGACAAGATGTTTCCCAAGATCGGCCACCTGCGTGGACCTGAAATATCAAATCGGATAATTTAATTATACATATATATTATTTAATCATTGTCTGATGAAATAAAAATATTTTACCAGGAGGATAGTTTGATGGCTTTTTAGTTGCGTTAAGCCACGCCAATATGATCACCAGAAGTATCAAAATTATTGCCACAGCCATCTAAAAGAATTTATAAAAATTTAATTAAAATTTTTAATCAAATAATTCAATTAAAATTTTGAATAATAACATTTTGAACTTTGTATCCTACCTTTTTGAGTGCAGAAGAATTTACTTGTTCGACGCACAGGTGTGCTGAACCGACTGCCTGTTGGATAAATTGCGTGTAGCCAGAATGATTTTGTGGATTTGAGTAGGAAGGAGTGTCGCGCCGAGCGTTCGGTTTTCTTTAATCCCGCCTTTACGGAGAACGAGAGTGCGACTGCCATTCGTTTGTAGGTAGGAGGCATTATTTATGTGATTTAATTGCCTCATCACCGCGCAGGAAGTTCTCAGCAAATGTTATGTACTTAACACCGCGCAAGTTAATAAATAAATTACACTACTTGCGAGCAACGAAAGCATCAAACTCAAACAAGGAAATGACTTGCTTGGGATTTTTGCATTATTTTTTGACGTACGTAAAAATGAATACCACAGTACTGCGGTCAACCATTCAACTGCATTAAATATAATTATGCCTTTCAAAAAATAAAATAAAATGAACCACTTCATTCGTCATTGTTATACTTTTAAGTTTTATTCTTCTTAGAAACAATTTTGAAACGTTCTTCCCAGTTCCCACCAAATTTTTTTGCTTTTTGTAGTTTTATTTCCATTTTTGTTTGTATTGTTGAAAAAAAAAATCAAATGAAGGCGCTGCTTTTTGACCAAATTTTACTTTGTTGCCTTTTTTTAATTTTTGCGTTGTTGAAAATCAGTTATAAATCATTTAAAAATGGCCCACGTTCTGGAGAACATACCTGAATCGCTTTTGCGCTACGCACCGCCAACACCGGTGAGAAATTTTTATAATTATTCTGGAATTGGAAAGAACTCCGAATTCATATATTCAGGTGAAAAAGCCGCGAGACAAGGAGTTAAATAAGCCGCAAGAACGGCGCGACGTTCTCTACAGGGACATCAAGGTGGGCGACGAGGTGCTCGATATTCTGCTGCCGCCGCGCATCTTCGTCGGCAACAACCTTGATTACTACGTTCAGAAGGTGACTGGACCAACCGAAACAAAAAACGCAGCAATCAATTTGCTCACAGGTGCTTCGAGCTCCGGCAACGGAGAGGGACACGGAGAAGCTGCAAATCGAGCTCGACCGAAAGCTGTTTGAAAGGGGCGCCCGAATTTCTGGCCCGTGCGAAATTAGACGCGAGGTCCTCTTGCAGGCTCTTGGTATAATTTCTTATCTTAAAAATTTTATTTCAAAAGAAATTAAATTATTTTTATGCAGATGAACTGATCCGCGGCGAGACCGTCGCTTGTGCTGAAACCGGCATTCTGATGGCGGCCTGGCGAGACCACTGCAGTCGCAGTCTCCGAGCCTACGAGGACTTGTACGTCAGCAGACTGGCGCACGAAAATCAGAAATACTTAAAGGTTTGTTTCATTCGTTTTACTTTTCGTATCTCGAGGATAATTCTAGTGGCATGTGCGATTCGGAATTTTTTCTGCCACACATCCTGTTGGTTTAATTGCGGTCCATTGCGGTTGAAAAATACAGCGACACTCGCGGATGTGGTCCTCATAAGAACAGATTGAAATTCCACAAGACGTTTTGGGATTTTTTTGCTTATTTCAATAGAAAATTATTAAAAAAAAAATTATCTTCGGTATTTTTTTTTAAATTATTTGAAAATAAATCTTCTTACGAACTTAATTAAAATTAATATTTTTTAGTTGAGCCAAAGCAAGTTGAATTTACAAGACCAATTGGCAGTTTTGCAATCTGACACCCAAGATGCTACTGAGAAACTGCGGCGCGCGGAAAAGCGCCTGGCATTTTACAGGCTGGCCCGTGAGGAGGCGATGACGAAGGAGAGACAAAATAACCAAGCCATGCTCAGCGGCTTGATTGAAAGCACCGAGGAGGGAATGGTATTTATTTTCTGTTTGATATTGTTTATTTCTCACTAAGGAAACTTCCATAGAAAACTCTGAAAGCAAAACTGAAGGCTATCAAGGCTGGAGTTTGAACCTCTGCTATCTCCGACAGTATAATGGAGCCGAATTTTTACTCAGGAAAGTGGCACACACACCACATAGTTAAGAAATAAATCACTCTCGTTTGCAAATATTTGCTTTGTGATTAATTCTATACGTAGTAAGTTGTTGTATCGTTTAAATCTAGGTGAGCTTTCCAGATAAATAAAAATCTTAAAATATATAATTTCAACGAAGAATAAATAATTTTTATTAAATAATATTTTTCAGTTTGGTTAAAAATACACTTGGCAAGATTGAGCTTTACTTTTTCCTTTTACCGCAGTCAACATTGCGGGTGCAGACTCGCAATGCCTCGTTGTAATACAAATTCTGAGGGCAGGCCCGACGCATCGTTCCAAAGAGCCGAGTGCATAAAATGTAATGCCTGCAGCTGGAAGGATCGGGATTTCTAAACCTCCTGCAAGGGGTGGAGGAACCACCACCACCAACACCAGTACCTCCACCTCCGGTTTCCTCGTAGTCAGGGTATGAGTAGTCAATGTCTTCAGCAGGAATGAAATCTGGCGGCGCTTTAGTCGTTGAAGCCGGTTTTGGGTTCGGCGCTTTGGTCTCAAGAATGTCTTGGTTGGGATCTTTAGTGACTGCAGAAAAATTTTCAGAAGTGGAAGAAATTTCAGTAATACTTGATATGTACCGGTCTCTGTGACAGCTGAGGTGCCTCCAGAAGATCGAATGCTGCACCCGGCCAAGTTGGCGGGCTCGCACTTGCCCGTCTTAGAACTGAACTCTGAACCAGAATCGCAGATGTTGGTTTCCAAACCAGTCCGACTGCACTTGTAATAAGCGCTGCATAGCTCGGGAATTTTTGCTGGCAATTTTTCAAGTTAAAAATAGACATTTATATGAATGAGATTGGAAAAATTTTATTTTCCAAACATTTATAGAAAAAACAAATTAATTTACCTCCTCCTGTAGTGCTTGCGACTGAAAATGTACCATCCTGGGAACAAGTTGGCTGCTTCAGGCAAGGGCCAGCCTCGTCACTAGATTCTCCGAAGCCCACTGTGCCGCCAAAGCACACGGTCTGAGCTGGTCCTACTTTCGGACACGACATTGGCTCTGCCGACGCATCATCGCAATATACAAATTTTTCCAAACTGACACACGAGTAGCCATCAACGCATGAGTTACGTTGAGCTACGCTCGTATGGCACAGGGCCAAAATAATGAACACGCTCTGAAAATTAAAAACCATTGTTACCAAAGAATTGGAGTTATGAGGAGTTTCTACCGAAAAGATCAAATTGTTGCTCAGCATGGTGCTTCTTCTTGACAACTGAATTTTTTTTTTCTTCTCTGCGATTTTTAACCCAATTTGAGAGCACGGAGGGGGAATTTTTTTTCATAAATTATTTGTGATTGTACAAAAGACATATTGAGGATACAGGCCATGTAAATATTTATTCATTTTTGGTGATGCATCTGCTGATAACGATTTTACTGGCAGCGCGGAGCAATATTCGCGGCTAAATTTTCTCACATTTCTTGCCTAAAATTAATATAATAAATAATTTGAAGATTCGAGCACAAATATTTATACTGCATTAAGCTTATACACATATTGAGAGCTCACTATTTGGTCGAATATGAAAAATCTTGCCAGATTCTGAAAAATCAAACACTCTTTATACTGTTAATTTAATCGAAATGCCTCTAAATATCAACAAATAGAGAATAAAGAGTAAATCATTTTAAAAACACAATTATATTTGAAATTTAAAAAATATTTATTGAGATATATTAATAGCCCATTTTTTAGTGTTTGCTAGGTCAGGAAAGAGAAAAATTTGTAATTTTCATCATAAAAAGTGTAACAAATACAAATATAATTAATTAATTCTTGACTCAAATATAGGTGCGCTTTACACAACACAGTATCAAAAATTTATGTTATAACAAATGAGCTAAAATTCAATCCAATTTTTATTTAAAAACGTCTAAAAAATTTAATAATTATAGTGAAAATGAATTGCCCTTTGAATTTGGGCAGCAGGGATCATCCTAGGGGTTATCAGTCATATATTTCAGCCAACTTGTTATTGAAAATATAATTCAGTCGCGAGTGTGATAGAAAGCATCGGGGAATAAAGTGCAACACAAGAGGACAGACCATGGCTTGTTTCGTCTCACTGCTATTTTTCCTCGTCGCCGCCGCCCTGGCCACTGAACCTGCAATCAGGGTAGAAATAAAACTAAAATTATTTCTGTAAACTTCCTGGTCTTAGAATTTATTTTTGAGATGCTCTTGTCCACAAGAAAAGTCATACTTTTATTTACAGAAAAAGGTTAAGACTTTGTTAAAGTGACAAAATTAAAATTAATTGAAAATAATTTGATTAAAAAATTCCAATTCTCAATTTATAGGCTCAAGAATCTGATTTTCGGCAGGAAATACTCAGAATGTTCAACGAGACAAACCAAAACATGAACATATTGACGAAGCTTCACCAACAAGTACTATAATTTTAAGTCTGAATCCCGTCTAAAAACATTAAAAAATATATTCGATAGAAAGAGAAAGCCCAATTAATGTTCATTTTTAAATTTAGTTTTGAAGATAAAGACGTGATATTGAAATATTTTGTTTGCTCGCTCAAATTATATATGATAGTTTATTAAGGTCACTTCTGGGTCAACAAGTTTTTGAAATATCAACATCAATGATAAATGATAAAAAAAGATTTTCTTCAATCTTAATACCACAAAATTTTAGAGTGTAATGTATTCTGATATTCGCAACTTACAAAATAATGTGTTAGGTCTGGTACTAAAAAAAAATTGGCCGAATCTTTCAGTGATTGCGTCAGAAAAACAAATAATATGAAATTATATGCTTTTTTTTCATCACAGTGATAAATATGCAAAAAAAAGCAATACACGTTGATATTATTAATTTGTATCCAATTTTTAATAATCACTGCATTGTTCGCTAGACTCTGGAATATGTGAAGCAGGTGGAAAAGCAACAGAATCAAAAGCTGGACGCATTATCCAGAGTCGCCGAGCGCCACCTTCAGGTTCATAAAATTAATCATGCTCATGAAATTCGGCTTTAATTAAGACCTAATTTCCAGTACTTTCTGGCCAACTGCAATGTCGCTCGTAAGTTTTCACATACTTAAATAGTAACCTGTTTAAAAACAAGGAAAAAAAGCAATATTTTTTGTAAGTTTATTAAATAAACAATTACAGCAATTTTTTAACACGTTTGACCATTGTGTGTATGTGTTTTTTTTCCAGAATTTTAATTTTGCTCATTTGATTTATTAAATTTGAAAGTAGTCAATGTACCCAAATTTATATCAACTTTCCAAATCGGAAATGAAAAAGGTCCATTCAGTTCAGATACTACGACCTCCGAAAGAATAACCAGCTTCTAACTTTGCAGTTTCAGCAAATTTAAAGGCGCTGACGAACGGAAAAAAGTACTCTTTCCATTCAACCGTTGTGAGCCGCGATTTCAGCTGTCAAATTCCGGTTTATACTTCTAATTTTCTTTGGCAGATTGAGTGGGCCAACGCAAGAGACAGTTGCGCTAAGCAGGGCCTGCATTTGGCCAGCATAGGAGATCAGAGCGACGCAGAAGCGTTGTGGGCCGCGACGCAAAACGTTTCCCCGAGTAAGTTCAATTTCGAGTTTTATTTTTTATTTTTACTTTGCTTTTTCAGATACGTATTGGTGGGTTTCGGCGAAAAACGCTGGCAGCTGGACCAAAAAGAACTTCCGATGGCACGACGGGACCAAACTGGAGATGGACAGCCCCTTGTGGAAGGCCGAGGCGCAGAAGACGGCGGACTGTGTTGTAGCCGCCAATTGGGGCAACGGCACTTTAAAAGTGGAGGCTAGGCCGTGTATCAACGACTATTATTACATTTGCCAATTGCCTACCGAATGCTTTTCAGCCAAATAAGTAGCAAAAAAAGTGGTTTCGTATGCCTGAATTTTTGAATTTTTGTTTTGAATAAATTTCAATTTTGGTAACAGATTGAATTTGGACTTTTAATAATCATTGTAAATTGTAGAAAATCTGCATTCTTGTCAAGAATTTCTAGTTAAAAATATCATAATAAGTGGAATACTTAAGAAATAATGCAATAAAATCAGTGAGCTTTCATCAAAAATACAATCAAATCTGCTTACGAAAAAAGAGATACCGTTTTTATCAACCGATGGCGAAAATTTATGAGAATTTGCCACATATTTTCCACTTTTTAGAAAATTTGATAACGGTGACAAAATCAAAGTAAAAATCTAAAAATAACTAGAAAACCACTTATGCTGATGCATTTAAAAAATGCAACCATCGGGGGCTGCATGTCGCGCACCAGCTGCCTGCTTTTCAATAACAATTTCCTCTTATTTCAAATTATATTGAAACGCGGACTGAAAGCTGCTGCGCCGCCGAACCAAATTGAAGCACGGGTTGCATAACTAACAACAACACAACATAGATGGAGAGCTCGACACTGGATTCAATCATAATTTTTCCAGCTGCCTTTGATTAACGTGAATTGCGTGAATTGATTTGTCCTCCCACTTGACGCCGGAGCCCAATTTTTTCAGAAGACTGAGCATGAGCTGGCGAGAAACGTGTTTTTTTGCTGCCAATTTTTTTACAGGTGAGCATAATGATAACTTTGATAATTTCATTGATGGCTATTTTTGTGCTGCAACAAATTGGACCTAATTATGCTACGGCATTTTAATTATTTTTTATTGCTTAATCTTTGTTTTAAAACTCATGTTTTAGCATAAATATTATATTTTGGTCATGAATGGATGCTTCCACATCTAGTGGTGGTGATTTTGTCTCTAAAAAATAATAATGGAAACAATAAAATAATTTAGACAAATATAGAAAACAAGTAAAAAAAGTGTCAGAATAATTACAGAATAAAATGAAATAATATAAAATAACAATACACGGATCGATTTAATTAATAAAAATACAGCTTGGTCAGAGCTTCCCCTCCTCAAACTTCCTGCGCAGAGAGACCAGGAAAAACAATTTTTTTTTAAAAATTGACGTGTGCATCGATGGGTGGAAACCAATCTACTTTATTGTCATCATTCTTTTATCGATCGGCCGGGGAATAGATTGTTAATTGCTACTTGTCGTAAACAAAATTTTGATGAGTTTTTATCAATCAGCCCCTACTTATTTGCAGTTCGTAGTTCAGCCTTGAAAAGCAAAACTACCGCAGATGAGCATGATGAAAATTCCAAAAATTGTTCTTGTGATTGCTCCACTTTTGGTTTTGGTGAGAAAGCTAGTCATTAAGATCGTCTTGCATTTTAAATAAAGCGTCAATAAATTTTTTAATAATTTATGTTATTATTAATTCTGGTGAAGGATAAATTTGTCTTGAAATATTAAATTGTTAATTTTCAGTCTGTGGTATTTGCGAAAAATAGGAAGGCAGTCAATTTAATGGCAAAACCATCTGCTAGTATGAATTTCACATCAACATTTCACAGATAATTTAACTTAAAAGGGAATAGTGGCTGCGAGGTCACACAATTTAAGAAGATTAACGATTGTAAGATGCTGCGGCAAGAAAAGGTGCTCGGACGTAACCAGGAAGAAGTTATTGACGACGGCGTTGAACAAAATATCGGCGATCACCAACTTTAAGAAGCCACTGAATGTGAAGATAAACGGGTTTCTTTTAACAAGTGCTTAATTTAGGTTAAAAGGTCACCACGACATTGAAAGAAGTTGAAACGACGGGGCAGGAAATAATCGATCAGACGCAATTTTCAACCGATGAAGTAACTTCTCAGACGCAAGAAGAACTTCCAAGTTCAGCAGACGTGATGATATCAGACCAATCTTCGACCACATCTTTCGAAAATCACCTCCAGACTCAACCCAACAGCGCGACAGAAAAACTACAGACTTTTATATTATCAGATTCAACCACAGCGAAGGCAATTTATGAAAATTTAAATTAGCATCAATAAATTTCTATAAACGTGCAGTTGGATGCCGCAAATGAAACGCCTGGCGTTTCTTCTCAGACACCATCTTTGACTGTAAACGCAGCTTCAGTCGTTCCTCTTTCAGTTTCCAATCCTAGCATCCAGGAAAATCAAGGCACCATAACTTTGGTGCAAACCAATGCACTAAGCTTGACAACCACAACCAACAGCGTAGCTTCAAAATCCGCAAGTGTAGCTACAACAACAACCAGCGTAGCTACAACAACCACTAAGCTAACTACGACGAGGACAACAACCAAAAGAACGACCACAACCACCGCCACAACAACCACCACGCCTCCCGTAATGAAAAAATAAATTTATTTTTATAATTCTTCAATGTCAATTTTGCAGCCCTGCAATGCTAAGTCGAACTGCCAGACTTTTGGGCAAATGGTATAATTAATGATTGGGCTATGGACACAAAATAATTGATTTTACGCAGGCCAGCGTCAAAACGCCCGTTGGTAAGTCAAACATTACCCAAAATCTAAAGAAAAAATCATTGTAAATGTCAGTGTGGCAATACTTTATGGTTAAAAATTTTTTAATGCGGATTTAATTTGAATTAACTACTCATATGCAGTATATTGCAATGTATATATTTTTCCACATCCGCAGCTTCCACCATCGCTGGTTCTGCCTACACATCCTGCGGCCGCTCTTATTTTGCAGGCTCGACATCAGTTAATTATTGAAATAAAATTTATTCGTTTGAATCACGATGACAAACGAATTCTAGGTATCTGTTTCAACAGCGGCCGCGCATTGCAAGGCCAAACAATTAAGCCTGCTGTCCATAGATACCGCCCTTGAATTCCAATGCCTCCTGGATTTGTTCAAAACATGTGCTAATATTAAATTTATCTAATATCCAAACAATAAAATAAAAATTAAATATTAGATATAGTCAATGCTAATCCAAACTTCAATAATTTCTGGACAAGCGGCGCCAATGAAGGCGAGCTGTGCGAAGATTTCAAGGTTTACTCTTGGTGCTCTTTGAACAACACTCTGCTGTCGTCGGAATTTTCGCCGACGAGGAGTCCGAATAGCTCGTTCTGGTCGATCGCGACGGCAACCAACAAAACGGCCGACCGCTGTTTGCTTTTCAAATTCAACCGGTCGACCACCGAAAGTAAAGGTTTACAGCACTTGCCCTGTCAGAGAAACGTTCCGTACATTTGTGAGGTCCGCTTTACTGAAGTTGAATTATAGTCGAAATTAAAAATACAAATAAAAATAGCCACCGTGTCAAAAACCCAACTGCCCATTAAGCTGCGACCCTGATGTAAACTTAAAATATAAAATTTCTCCAATAAATAGAGAAATTAATATTAAAAATGTATATTTTTCAGGACTTTCTGTTTGACGCCAATCAAAAATTAATAGGTTTGGAAATTTTAGATAAAAACTTGAAATAAGATTTTTCATAAAATTGACAACTTCTCTTTAAAAAAGATCCTCTCTCATATGGATTTTGGACTCAAAGTTGCGGCAGCAAATATTTATTTGGAAATTCACCAGTATGGGAGAGAAAAAATTAAAATGAATTTTTCCCACATCTAATTAATTCTGATTTAAGATGACCTGGGAAGAAAATTGGAATATGTGCTGCCGTCTAGGGATGGCACCGGTAATATTTGAAACCTACGAGGAACAATTTTGCCTGCAGAATATTGTCAAGAGTAATTCAACAATAAAAATTTAAATTAAAATATATTCTAAAAATGATAAATAAAGGCAATGGGAGGTTGAACTTCAATTACTGGACGGCGGGAACAAGGCAGGGTTGCGACGGTCAGTGGTCCTGGTGCGATTCTGAGGGCAAAATTCCACCCCTGAACAACGGTTTGAAGTGGGAAAGGGGCCAACCGGACAACAAGGGTGGGAACGAGGAATGCGTACATCTCAGATTCGTTCTGAACGACACTGGGGCGATTTTGTCAGACAGAAACTGCACAAGTCGGTTTGTCTTTTTATGCGAGGTGAAAATTAATTAAAGAAAAGAAGAGGAATCATCGAATTAATAAATCTATATAAAAGGCCAATCCGAAGGACGTGGAAAAACCACTTTGTTCACAGCCAACGTGCCCTCCAGTAACACCGAGAGATGTAAAGATTTTCTTGAAATTTTTAATACAAAGTACTTCATTTTAAAAAAGTTGAGAATTAGACGCTAATATGGATCTTTTCCAAAATTTACAAATATTTATACGTTACCAATTTTAATTTAAACTAACATATTGTACAAACATAATTATTGTTTAGATCCCACTATTTAACAAATATGTTCTTATTATGTCATTTTTTCATTGTTCAACATCAACAGCAAAGCCTTTTTGACGTCAATCAGGAGCTTATAAGTTTGGGAATTAAAATATTTTACCGGGAAACAAAATTAAACATTAAGACTTTTTCAGACTTGTACAAGTACGGTGGATGGGTTTCGGCCTGTGGTCGGATGTACATGTTTTCAAAAGAGAAGGTAAAAAATGTCGTGTTTTTGGAATTTTTAATTTTTATATCAAACAGGCAAATTATACGTTCGCGTGGAAAACGTGCAATTCCATAGGACTGTCATTGCTGTCACTGGATTCGCCAGAGAAGAACAAATGCTTGACAAAACGCATCAGAGGTTTTGAAAATGACGATTTTTACTTTTAATAATTTCATGGCAAATGCAGAATACGTCTTGCTCATCCAAAGTAGCGGTTATTGGACATCAGGCACAAACGCCAACTGTCGCGAAAAGTTCTTTTGGTGCTCGAAAGGTTCAAATTTCGCACCAAAATATGTCACTTGGAAAAGCGGTGAGCCGAGTTTGGAAAAGGGCGAGTGCGTCTCCGTTGAGATCAACAGGAACGGGACCGAGGAGTTGTCAGTGCTGGCAGTTTCAAATTGCTCCGAGCAAAGAAATTTCGTGTGCGAAGGCAGACAAAAAGGCACCGAATTAGATGGGATGCAAGCCGAGTGCATGGCGACGTGGGACATCACGCAAGGCATTCATCTTGTTATTATATTTTTCTCTCTGCTGAAGATTTTTTGCACAGCTGACGTTGATTTGCTGTTCCATGGTTCAAGAAACTATTCGCAAAGGATTAAAGTAACTAATAATGCTTGGCTTTTGTAAAATTGTTATTTTTATTTGGTTGAAATTAAAATAGCATCATAATTTGAAATTTTGAGGTTTTCTATCAATTTTGCTGGCAAATTGTACAGGAAGTGATTTGTTGGTTTAATAATTTGTTATTAATTGCTAGTGTTATTTTGAATCAAATTTTCAAAATTATTACGGATTTCTCCAGAAAAAATTAATACTGCATGCAAAATTAACAATGGAAGTACTTAATTTGCCTGAAATTAAAATTGCGTCTGCTTTTACAATTTGACAATTTCCATATAATATTGTGTTCGTTAAAATATTGGATGGATTTGTTATTTCATTGTACACTTTCGAGTGTGGCTCAAACATAAAATACATAATTATAAAGAATAAAAAAAAAATTGCAATTAAATTTCCTTGAATTGACTTTTGCAGTGCTTCATGAAATGCATTGGAGAAAACAGAAATCTGGTGAGTAATTTGTGGTAAAATATTTATTTTTTATCGTTAAAATCGCTTTGTAGTTTTTTGATGGCAAAATTGATCCGATCCAAATGCTGAGATTGATGGAAATAGCGACGCAGGACACGCCGAGTGCAATGGACCAAGGCTTGAATGGGTATGTGCAGTGCTCTTCGATAACCGGCAATGACGAGTGTGATTTGGCCGCCAAAACTTACGACTGCGGCGTCGAAAAAATTCCAAACGTCACGCAGCAAATGGTCACCGTAGGAAAAGGAAGTGCAGTCGTGGTCAAATACAACTTGGTTTATTTAAAAAGAATCATGACTTATTCAAATTTATCTACAGTTCACTCCACCAATCAAGTGTGTACCAGTTTTGAGATCGTGTGTAACGGCAGATTCAGTTCCCTGCGTCGCCAACGTTAGACAAAAAAATTTGTATTTAAGGTTTTTATAAAAAGTTCTTAACCCTTAGCCAGCACTGGTTAATCAATTGACCACCACAAATCGCAGTATTAAATTTTTTTATCTCTTTATTTTTGTATTTAAATCCTTAATAATAATTTTGCAGCTTCCATGGGATCTTTAATCTGGACCAAGGCTGCCAACAAACGTATTTTTGTGTCACCTTTTACAAATAATGTAAAAAATATTAAAAACTACATATTTGTATAAAAATTTAATCAATTTGTAGTCGAATAACATTGCGCCCTACCAGTACTGCTGCTCAATAGGGATGAAGCTTATTGAATTCAGCAATGCAAACGATTTGAATGATTTTTACTATTCAACTTCATCAATTTTGAGTAAAATTCAGTAAGTTCCAAAATTTAGTAAAAAATTTTAATTCGCAGCAAGCAATGTCGCTTATCTCTACATATCTGAAGTCATGGCCCTTGACTATTCGACAGAGGTGTGGTGTGGAACTAAAACTCCGCTGAACGCGTCCGTGTACCGATACAACTACATTACAATGCCAAAAATGGATTGCCTACCCACAGTCTATATGCTTCAAAGATTGGATATTTCAACTGGAACAGTATACGTTTTGAGCTTGTACGGCTTAAATTTCAGTGCAGCAGTATTACCTGCTTTTGCCTGTCAATGAGCATTTGATTTGATACAGCACGGCTTTGTTTCTACTTTTCTCTGCTTCACATTGGTTTGCTCTCATAAAAAAATTAAATTTCAAGTTCAAAAGAGGACACACGATACCGAAAAAAAATGCTTTAGTTTGTTTGCTTTCATTGACTGAAAAAAATTGATTAAAATTGTAGTTTTTTTTGTCATGAACATAAAAAAAGAAAAAATCAAATAAAAATTTGAATTGAGCCACAAAATGCATTTGTTATTAATATGTTTCTGGACTTGACAGGAATAGAAAATATTATAAAAGCAATAAATAAAAATTGATTCGCTAAGACGTTTTTTTTTTAAATTAAAAAATAAGGTTTAAGTAATGGGCTGGAGAAAAACGGTTCTTGATCCGTTCTTAATAATTGTGGGTCTAATTTGAGCTCGAAATTTTCACTTCGCGATAAAAGCCGCTAAACGGGATAATATTTATCCGCTTTAAATTAGCAAATTTTTAATTAATAATAAATTAAAATGCAGAACAATCAACAATTTTAAATATAATTGTCTACTTCGTTGCCTCTTTAGGAAGTAGGCAACATGCACGTCAGAGGTGAAGAGCGTGGTTGCTGCCCGCGAGACATTTGTATTGGTGAAAAAGTTCACGATTTAATTGAAAGGATTATTTTCCGTTGTGATCAGTAGAGTGTTATACTATATCTTTAAAAAAAAACCTGAAGAAATCACTCTCCATGTAATCGATTTTCTATAAAAAAAAAAATATCATGAAAATCATCTTAAAATAAATTTTATTTCAGTTAGTTAAAAATTAATTAATTCAGCAGATTGGTTTTCACATTATTAGTTGATTATTTCTGAAGAATAATTTCTGTTTCTAAATGATACAAATAATTAATTTATGAGTCCAAAGAATTAATAAAAAAAGTATAAAATTAATTTCATAGAGGAAAAGTTTTAAATAAACCATTTTATTTTATTGCAAAGGAAAAACTTCATTTTGCTTACTTTTTAGTTTCATATAAATCCCCCGCAAAAAAAAATAAAACAGGGTTATAACAACTGCTGTTGTTTTTTCCTACCATTACATAGATTTTGGATAAAACAATATGAAAAAATAATTAAAAAACTCTAAAATTATAGTTAAAAATATTTTCAGAAAAAAAAATTTAAATTCAAAATTAAGCTTTTTCAGCTAAAATTGCTGTTAAATTCCGTCAGAGGTCTCCCATGATGCGGAAAGGATGGCTTTGGGTACGCAAATTTTTTTGAAGCATCAGTATGAGTGACATGAGATCATCGCCAAGTGCGGTTGCATTATTTATCAAGTGCTCGGTTCATGTTTTAAAGCGATTTTCTTCTGATTTTGTGAGGTGCTAGTAAGAAACAATTATTTTTCCTGTGTTTCCTTTTGGTTTAAGCAATGATCGTCATGATTAATATATTTGCGTTTATTCAAGTACAAATAATGCGTATTTATTTAAACTTCAAACTATGCTTTATGCTTTCCAAAAAATACCAAGCAATTTTATAAGTATGTGCATGCAGGAAGTTTTTAATTTTATTCGTTGTGGATAACTTTCATTTCCCAGTTACCATTAAATTTTGGTTATTGGTTTTATTATTCTGATAATAAATTCTGCATAGCCAAGCCCTAATGCTTATCAGCTAGTGTATGACCGACATCCTCTTGAATTTCTTGAGCGGTAGGCATACGACTTGTATGAGTTATAGGAGCGGCTTAAACAATCAAAGTGCAAGTATAATTTCCTTATAAATAGACACTGATTTTACAAGGAAAAATATCCAAGCAAAAAATATTGATATACAATTTCATTTTATCTATTTTTTACTGAACTTTATTTGAAGCTGTAATTTAAGCATTTTTAATAGATTTTAATAAGTCTATAGTTACTCTATAAACTTAAGAAATCATGAGCGGAAAGACTAGAAATTTTGTAAATTTTCTTGAAACTTTTAATATTCTCATTGTGAGCCCATTCAGAGTCAGATTGAAAGAAAGAAGCTGCCTCGCAATGAAATCAAAATTGAAAACTAATTTGTTATTTTTGTTATTATGATCGTAATATATTGGCTGAAAGTTGCAGAGCAAAATGCGAAAAAGAAATAATTATCAATGCAATCACATTATTCACGCTGAGTGAGAAACGTGAATTAACTCATCAAAATCTGAGTGCAACTAATAAATTTTACCACACATTGTGGGAGAAATTTTCAATGTAATTAAAATTTTACTGTGCAAAAATATAAATAGATTGTCGATACTTGTTTCAGATGAGCTACACTCTGGTATGGCTGCTTAAAAATGCCTTTGAGTGATTCTTTGATCAAAACTGTGGAGGAAGGTTTGGACATTGCTATATAATTTCAACTAGTAAAATAGTAATTTTTTGCACTTGTGCACAGGTTCGAATCTTCATCCACCCACGGGTCCAACACAACTAGGACGATTTCAAACTCCAAGTGGAAAAGAAAACGCAGAAAAGTATAATTTCAAATAAGAAGTAGTGTCATTGCAGAATTTAAAATAATTATCACAGCGTGTTTGTGTTTGTTGCCCACTATGACTTCAAGGGTGGCGTTCCTCCTTGGCCTCGGCCTGGTGACAAGGAAGATGTTCAATGCTTGCGAGACGCTTTTGAGACGAAACGAAACTGCAGATTTCGCGAGTGGTTGGCGCCACACAAGATTGACCTGCTCAAACTTCTTAGCGACGAAACGATTTTGAAGAAATACTTTAATTCTGGTAAAAAATTATTTTAATTTTATAATGAAATGTCTGAACGCAAAAACTAATAGATTCAGAGCCGTCAACGTTCATTTTTATCATTTTGTCACATGGATATTTCGATGGAATGATTTTCACGGAAACCAAGATCGGTGATGGTCCCAATGATTATGACACATTCAACACCAGAGATTTGTTCAAATCGCTCGAAACCACGTTTCAAAAGTGCTTGAAATTCTTATTTCTTGGGGTAAATACACTAAAATTAATTTATTAAAATATTAATGGTAAAATTTCTCAAAATTTTCTCTAGAAAAATATTTTATTTAATTTTGTTTCAAGCCCTGCAGAGGCGATCTTGAGAGCTTCGTCATTGATACATCCCCTGATAGAAAGCAACCAGAATCCTGTTGCTCGAACGAGAAAATCTGCTGCAAGATTTCCTTCGAGCCAAATATTCACAACCTGGTTATTTTTTACGCGAGTGTTGAAAGTAAATTTAATTTTAACAACGAAAAGCATAAAAATTTAATTGAACACAAAATTGCATGAATTTTTCAGACACGATGGCACGGAGAGATAAATTTGAAGGCACGTGGCTTGTGCAGTGTCTAATTCAGGAGCTGAATGAGATGAAAGAGGACGAAAGTGTTTCGCATTTCTTGACGGCCGTGCAGAACAGAATTCACAAAAAGTCAATCATCGACATTGTTGAGGTTGGTCAGACGCCGGAGTTCAAAATTTATCCCCACAACAGAAAATTTAAGTTTTCTTGCATTGAACGGTCTGAATATTGTCTTTTATTTTGCTATTTTTACTTCAATATTAACAATTATTAGCATGAATTGTTTTACACGCTCAAAATTTGGGACAGACGCAACAAATCCAGTACAACAGCCATCGAATGACTTTGATTGGTGGGATCCGCAATCAAAATCTGTTCTAAGAGGAAAGCTCGCTGTAATTTTCCACCAAGGGAGCCTAAAAAATGAGGTCAAAATACTCGAGTTAGATCTGAGAGAAAATCTAGGATTTGAGACGAAAATTGTGCAAATCGACTCCGATCACATAAAAAAATATTTTGATGACTTAGGTGAGATGACTTTTTAGTGCAAAAATTTGCATATTTATAAATTTGTTTGGATTAGTTAATATTTATATCCTATCAATAAGAATAAAATAATTTTTAATTTTTAGTGAAAAAATCATGGCGAGAGTACGGTTGTTTTGCGGCCTTCTTTTTTGCCAACATCTCGGAAAGTGAGGATGGACAAATTTGCATTGATCTGAGCAGAGGTGAAAAGAAGCCGATCGGAGAGTTAATTCAGACATTGCTCGGGGCAGAGGCAAACGACTGGATTGGAAAACCAAAGCTTTTCTTCCTTATTGACCAGAGAACCGTGGCTGCTGACAGCGTAATGGTACTTAAAAAAAATTCTTAAAATTAAAAAAAATATATAATTAAAAAAAAATAATTTTTTTTAAATAATTTAGAGAAATTTATTAAAATTCAAACAAAATAGAACTATTTTCCAAAAAATTCAGAGAAATTTATTATATTCAAACAAAATAAAATTCTTTTTCAGTTTAAGGAGGCAAAACAAATTGATTTCCTAAAGGCCACTGTCCACAGCGGATGGTTTGTCTTTATCCTTCAAAACAAAGGTGCATTTTTTTGACACGTCATTACGAATACGCTTTTTTTATTTACTTTTTTTTTACTTTAATTTTGGAGAGCAGACTTATGTTTTTATAAAATACATATTATGGTTCCAGATTTGCTTGAAAAATTCCTCAAGATCTTTGAAGGCGAGGAAATAAAAGGGGATAAGAGTTTACAGGAATCCCTTAGCAATTTGCTTATTTATCAAGAGATGAACACGAAGGAAATTCCTCAAGCCATGATGGTGTCCACTTTGCCCCACCAGTTGGTTTTCCGACAGAATTTCGTCAAACCTGACTTCCGAGTGCAGCTGGATGCGTCTGCAGAAGAAATAGATGTCAATTTCAAAGAAATAATTAGGCTGGCAAATAACAAGAATCAACATCGCGTTTGGCTTCTGTCTTCGCTTCCTGGCTCAGGGAAGTCCACAGTGATGCGCGAGATCACTTTTGAACTGCGCAGGTCTTTAAAAGGTGTCAAAATTTTCACCATAGACCTTTCACGTGTATGCAATATATTTTCGAACGCCAAAGTGAAGAAACAAAAGTCACCCACGTGTGATTCTGTTATTGCCACTGCAACAGCAAAGTCCCAGGATGATATTGAAAATTTGATCAGATCCAAGAGGATCATAGTGATGTTTGATGGATTTGATGAGATTTACCAAAAATACAGAGATGAGGTGCTCAAATTTTTACTGGAAATGGTGGGAAAGTCGGTGCCAATTTGGATTTCAACGCGGCCGCACGAAGAAGAGACAATTCTCAAATCACTGCGAAATAAAGGAAATGTTTGCAGGGTGTCAATTAGGCCTCTTAACAAAATGCAGCAACGCGATTTTTTTCAAATGATTTCACATCAGGATGAAAAGAAATGTGAGTTTCAACTAGATAATCTGCGAAAATATGGGTCAAACGATATTCTTGGCAATTGTTTTTATTTGAAAATGCTCGCAGAAATTGGTGTTCAGGCTTTTACTTTCGAACTCGGGTTGAATGATATTTATGAAAAAATATTGGAGAAGAAAGTGAGTTCCACAATAAACAGTTACAATGAAGTAGACTACAACGAAAAATTTTTATCCTGCAAGGAAAAACTGGAAAAGCTTTCCGTGAAATATCTACAATATGACAAAGTGGAAAACGTTGATAGTGATGTGACAAACACAGGCATTGTATCACTTTCAAACGGAAATGCAAGGTTTGTTCACCAAACGTTTGCAGAATTTCTAGCTGCAGGCTACTACTTTCACTCAAAAAAAAAAATCTCAAATAGACCCGTTTACGGCATGTATGGCTGACCTGGCGTTTTCGGCCGAGTTAAACATGTAAATTAGACTTAATTATGAGCCTCGTAGGTCAATTTGAACAGGGAGAACGACGAAGGGAACGTCCCTTTCCGGCGGCGAGTCAGACTGGCCTGGGAGCGGCTCTCCCGAATCAGTTAAACTCGCTACGCTGCTGCGCCGACTGCAGTGCTCCTTCTCACGTTGCATTTCGGCCGATTTTTTTGCTTTTTCGGGCCGAATTTGGGCTTAATCTTGACCCCGACGAGACACGATGCACTTGGTAAACAAAGAAAGCCATTACTAATCATATTTGGGCGTGTCCGATTGTCATGTGGGAGAAAAGCGAGAACGAGTTTAGCAACCCGACAAAGTTGTCCCGAGGGAATTAATTAATATCTCGCTCTGATTGAAAGTTTTTTAATTTTGGCGACCGAGAAGCTTATATTTCTAGAATAATTAAGGCATGAGGAAAATCGCGGTGTTATTTATTTTTTAATCCGAGCAGCCGTTCTCGCGCTGTGAGCATAAATAAATACGCGCCGGCCTCTGCTTGTCGCTTCGCTCGACTCTCTATCGCTCGACTGCTGCACTCGCGGCGGAGAGCGGCGCGCTCGATTCATTAGACGTTTGCGCGAATTTTTTATTTTATTAGTAAGCGTTGAGATAAATCGTTCAAATTTTCAGCATTGGTAGAAAACAAACTGAAATAATTTTTTATTTTTAATTCTTAAAAAAATATTCATCTGGAGCAAAGTTATTAACGTTTCCGCGAGAAGTTTGTTTTTTTAATTTTTAAATTAGAGGAAAAATTTTAAAAATACAAACCCTAACAGAAAATTGAAGCTAATTAAATTCTCTACAATTAATTATGTAAACGTTTTGTTGTCAAAATTTTTTTTATTTGCCAACGGGATGACCAAAGTCAAAACATTACTTTTTCTCATTGAAAAAAATTTTTTGGATTTTTTCTGAGATAGCCAATCGATTGGAAATTTAATTTTGATTTAAGAACTCAAATTTCATCAAAATATATTAAGCCGTTTTGAAACAAGAGCGTATGGACTAAAACCTGCTATTCGGCCTCGACGGCACTTTCAGGTGGCATCAGTTAGTACTTTGTGATTTCTAAACGGCTCAATATATTTTGATGAAATTTAAGTTCTTAAATCAAAATTAAATTTCCAATCGATTGGCTATCTCAGAAAAAATCCAAAAAATTTTTTTCAATGAGAAAAAGTAATGTTTTGACTTTGGTCATCCCGTTGGCAAATAAAAAAAATTTTGACAACAAAACGTTTGCTTAATTAATTGTAGAGAATTTAATTAGCTTCAATTTTCTGTTAGGGTTTGTATTTTTAAAATTTTCCCTCTAATTTAAATATTAAAAAAACAAACTTCTCGCGGAAACGTTAATAACTTTGCTCCAGATAAATATTTTTTTAAGAATTAAAAATAAAAAATTATTTCAGTTTGTTTTCTACCAATGCTGAAAATTTGAACGATTTATCTCAACGCTTACTAATAAAATAAAAAATTCGCGCAAACGTCTAATGAATCGAGCGCGCCGCTCTCCGCCGCGAGTGCAGCAGTCGAGCGAGAGAGAGTCGAGCGAAGCGACAAGCAGAGGCCGGCGCGTATTTATGCTCGTAGCGCGAGAACGGCTGCTCGGATTAAAAAATAAATAACACCGCGATTTTCCTCATGCCTTAATTATTCTAGAAATATAAGCTTCTCGATCGCCAAAATTAAAAAACTTTCAATCAGAGCGAGATATTAATTAATTCCCTCGGGACAACTTTGTCGGGTTGCTAAACTCGTTCTCGCTTTTCTCCCACATGACAATCGGACACGCCCAAATATGATTAGTAATGGCTTTCTTTGTTTACCAAGTGCATCGTGTCTCGTCGGGGTCAAGATTAAGCCCAAATTCGGCCCGAAAAAGCAAAAAAATCGGCCGAAATGCAACGTGAGAAGGAGCACTGCAGTCGGCGCAGCAGCGTAGCGAGTTTAACTGACTCGGGAGAGCCGCTCCCAGGCCAGTCTGACTCGCCGCCGGAAAGGTACGTTCCCTTCGTCGTTCTCCCTGTTCAAATTGACCTACGAGGCTCATAATTAAGTCTAATTTACATGTTTAACTCGGCCGAAAACGCCAGGTCAGCCATACATGCCGTAAACGGGTCTATTTGAGATTTTTTTTTTTGAGTGTTGATTGCCCTCTTAAGAAGGAAAAGGTTGCACTGATTTGGACAGTTAACAAAATGCCGTTTGACATTTTCAAATATGAATTTCGTCAGGTCAGAAAATTCCTTGAACTGAAAATCAATGAGACGGAAAATCCTGATCAGATAGAAAATGTCAAAATTTCAATAACTGAGACCATAAAAAAATCACAACTTATTGACGTTATTGTCAAGGAAAATCTGTTGAGATTGTTTTCGTTACTTGACGACGAGATCACGTTCGAAGACAGCGGCAGGAAAGGCAAATTCCATTTTGCCAAAAGTGATGCTGACGAGATTTTAATAAACGCTTGGGAGAACAGCGAAGATATCGCTGTGAGGTTTTTGGAACTAGGAGCATATAAGAATTTGACAGATTGCAGCTCAACCGCTATCACAAGAATGTTTGCAACTGTAATTAAGAATAATTTCGCAAACCTTTTTGAAAAACTGAATGAACAATTTTACCACACACAATTTCCCTTCGCTGACCCAAAACTTCCACACATTGGACTGTCGTTGTCGGAATTTTTGTTTTCAAAATATACAAACGAAGCGCTTTACGAAGCTTTGGAATTTGCAGCTGGAGAAAATCATCACAAGATTCTTAAATATATGATTAAGAAAGGAGTTATTGACCTTTCTGAAGAAGCTGCAAGCAACACAATTCAAAAAGCAGTGGACCACAACAGTGTCGAGTGCGTTGACCTTTTTGTTGATTACGGATTCATAACTTCTAGTCTGCGACTTTCTGGTGAAAAGTTTAATTTAGATTTAAGCACCGCCAAAGCACTTCTTAAAACAACGTCTGCGTTGGCTGCGGAATTGGCTCCAAGAATTTTTGAATTTGCCTTGGGAAAATGTGATTTTGCACTGGCCAAATACATTTTGGAAGTAGATAAAACGATTGCAGAGGCCACACATTTTGAAGATGGCATGAATGCTCTGCAAGTGGCGGCATCAGAAAAATGGTCAATGAACCGCACAAACGCATCAGAAATGTGCCGGTGGCTAGTGAATGATTTAAACTTTGAAATTGGTTTCAAGGACAATAAGGGATGGAACGCTCTTCATCACGCAGCCGACAGCATAAATTTGTATACAGTTAAATTCTTAGTTGGGAAAGACCCTGGTATCATAACATCTGTGACCGATAAAGGGGAGAACGCTGCGCACTTGGCTGCTAATGCTGGGTTAGGTGGTGGTAAAGTGATTAAATATCTGCATAGTCGTGATAATCAGATGATCAAGCAGAAAACAAAGAAAAATAGAACAGTTCTTCACTTCGCTGCAGCAGCGAAAAACGAATTGGAATTGTATGAGTGGCTTATAGAAAAATGGGTTGACTTGGACGCCGTGGATGATGAAGGGTTAAACGTGACACACTTTGCTGTAAATCAGTTTGTTGGCAGTTTAGATTTGCTGATATTCTTGTACAACAAAAATAATGAGTTGATCAAGCAGAAAACGAATAACGATACGACGCTACTGCATTTTGCTGCTGCTAGAGAAGACAACGCAACGAAAATAATAAGCTGGTTGACGGACAAGGGTTTAGATGCAGCAGACGTGGACAATAGAGGATGGAATGCTCTTCACTTTGCAGCGAGTCGCGGCGAAACTAGAAATCTGCTATTTTTTCTGAATGGAAGACCTGAACTTGTCACTGCATTGACGAAAGATGGTGAAAATGTCATGCATTTGCTGCAGAACAGAGTATTCGGAGAATTCGAATTACAAGATCTTGATTATTTGATAAAGAAAGCTCACGGTCTTAATAAAAACTTGATTAACCAAAAAACAAAGTCAAACAAAACAGTTCTCCATCGTGTTGCAGAAACAGGCTTTGTAAAAACATTTAAACGACTAGTCGGCCTGCGATTGGAAGTACACGCCGTTGACGATCAGGGATGGAACGTAGTGCATTTTGCTGCGAGTGGAATAAATGTGAAAGTGCTCGAGTATATCCACGAAAATTGGCCTGAACTTAAAAACACGGTGACTAAGGATGGCGAAAACGCGATGCATTTAATGTCGAGTAATGAAAAGGTAAACGCAAAAATTTTAAAAAGTTTCAACGGATTGGGTGGAGAGCTGATCAATCAGAGAACGAAGACAAACAAAACGGTGCTTCATTATGCAGCACAAGGGGGTAACGATGGAGTGTGTCGTTGGTTGGTGGAGAAAATGGGCTTGGAGGTTGACGCCGAGGATGACAACGGATGGAACGCTATGCACTTTGCATCTCTTACAAACGACTCTTTTGTCACTGCGCTCTTTGTTTATTTACACAGAATATGTCCTGGACTGATTGAGAGAAGGACGAAGAGAAACGAAACAACGCTGCACATTGCGGTAAAGCAGAGATGTGTTCCAAAAGTAACGTGGCTCCTCCATAAGGGCGTGGATCCTGCGACAAAAGATGTAGATGGCAAAACCGCGTTGGATCTGGCGCACCCGGAAGACGTTCGAGCTCTGAATCGGGTAAGTAAATTATTTAATAAATTTTTTTACCTCCCATCACTCGTTTTCAAGCAAAAAAAAAAAAAATAATTATAATTTTGTTATAAATATAAATCAGGACTTTAAACTACATTTTTTTAGCAACACAGAAAATTGTTTCAATTTGTTGGTAATATTTTTAATTTTATTTATCTGCGTAAACAACATATCAGAAGAAAAATGCTATAAATTTAAATTAATTTAAAAAAAATAATAATAAATACGGTCGCGGGAACAAATTATAATTTGCCTAGAGGAATGAAATATTTTTCCTAACAAAACGAGATAATCGATTAAAAGTATCAATTGCAACGAGTAAAATTTCTGCAAAACTAGTTACAAATAAATATTTTGCCATCTCAATGTAAAAATTTTTGATTATTATTTGCGCATGCGTCAAGTGCTGAAAGAACGGCTGCGTTTCAGATCTGCGGTGCTCGCGCCGGTCAGGGAGACGAAGAGGAGCCGCAGTTAGTTTCGAGCAGCGGTGAAATTTGCACGCAGAGCAAAGACTTTCTGAGCCCAGCAGACTAAAAAACAGGATCTAAGCAGGTGAGCTGAATCAAATTGCCCTTCCATCTCTTAAAAAATTTAATTTCCATCAAAGCACCAGTTAAAGAAAAGTCATTTTTCTTAGAATCTGCTGCTCTTTTAAATTTAAAGCGGTTTTAAATATAAAGAAAAAATATAAATACCAATAAATCTTTAATGTTTCACAAGTGCAACTAAAATTATGATTTCAAGATTTTAACTGCAGCGACCGCGGCAAGTCGCTGTGTAAAATTGAAAAGCATCTGAAAAAAATTGAAATCATTTTAGGCATTTTCATGTCGAAGGAATTCATATTTTATTTATGAAATTTTGGAGAAAATTGAAAAACTTATTCACTTTTTCTCTTCAAAAGGATTGAGTAAATTGAAGAGCAATATTTGCCACTTGAACGGTGCAAACTTCGTTAAAATATTTGGTTTTTAGAAAAAGTACATAAAGGAAATCCGCCTGCAAACAGTGGCGATAAGAGAAAAATTAAAAATTTGCTGCAAGTGCAAGACTAGTTTGGTTGCGTAAAAAAAAACTAATAATGATATACAAGAAAAGAAGGAAAATTATAATGAAAAGAAAAGTCCAATGAGGAAAATAAACCAATTCTTGCTTTTGTTTTGGAAAACAATTTCGCGAAAACGGATCGCGATTTGGGGGCTGGATGCCAGCTGACGTCACGTTGCCACGGCGACGTCCTGCACCCCTGCCAACCCCTCCCTTCTCTCGCCTCAGCAGCCCCAGAATTGCGACGGACCAACTTTTCCTCATCGAAAGCGTTTCTCCCCAAACTGCTAAAAACGATCAAAAGCTATGCAAATTTAAAAAAAAAACTTATTTTATTCCTGAAAATGATCTGGTATATTCAATTAAAATAAGGAAAATTTTTGTAATTTTTTTTTAAACGTCACCGTAATTAATTAATCAGATAATTTTTGTTCATTTTCAAAATAGTGCAGTTAATTTAGATTTAATTTTTTTCTTCTTACAAAAGATTTCATTTTCTCGGTTTTGACACAAAGTCTTTTTTCTACCTGGAAATTTCCAGCCTGCTGATCTGTCAACAAAGAGCGTCCTTTCGGCTCAAAGGGGTGAAAATTGCAAAGGGTCGTTTGATTACAAGACCTCCCTTTTGAGTTCATAGGTGCGAAATAGATCGAGCGGCGAATCGCAACAGGTTCGCAGCGGACGCAACAGGTCCTCCTCCTTTTTCCAACCCTCGGAATAAAATTTCCAAAATAGAATCTGAGCAGCGAAATTTTTCTCTTGCCAGAGAGCAGACGAGATTTAATCAGGAAGCGGCTGGGGCCACTGAACCTCCGAATCATTTCGACCCGCCTCCTCCTTTTATAGACGCGCTCAAATATTTCATAATGAATCATCTACCGGCTCTCTCTTTGACATATCCATAAAAAATTCAACTTTCAACACCGGTTTTGATAAAAAAAAAAAAGTATAACTAATTAAATTAGTTTCATCTCTGTGCAAACTAAAATTTAATTCAGAATTACCTCGAAAATTTGTTATTGAAAGGGTTGTTTATATTTAATATCTTTTGAAAAATTCGAAACTTGCAAAATATTTAATTTAATTTACTTTAATCTCTTAAAATTGTGAAATTTTATAAAAGAAGAAGGAAGAAGAAGATTTTTTTTAATATTTAATTAAAAATTTAAATAATATCAAAATTTTTTGAGTATTATTGAATATTGAAAGTTACTATTTTTATTTAATAACTTTAAAATACTATAAAATTAGTCCTTTCATTGGCGCACCCAAGTTTTTTTTATCTCATTATAGATTAGAGCGCATAATCACGCTGGCGGCCAAACAATTTCTCCCGTCCATTTCTCATTTCATTAATTTTTATTCACGTCTCTCGCGAGCAGCTGCCGCGAGAACAAATCGAGCGTGGCCCACTTTCCACCTTCGAAGCACCAACAACACACACGCCCGTGCTTTGCGCACCTCAAAAAGAATGAAAAGCAGACTCGGCCAGACGTGCGTGATCAAAATTTTAAATTCCATATTTCTCTCGGCAGGTCATGCACCTTGTCTAAACCAACAAGTCACAAAAACTCTAATTAAAAGGCAGAAAAATTAACAAAATTTCTTTGAATTTTACATAAATTTGTTAGTTTGATTCACATAAAAGTGTAAACTTGAATTTTTTCTAGTTTTGCAACAATTTCTTTTTCATATTGGCATTCCGATGTAACTTATAACTGCAGGTGAATGTGGACGTGATAAGAATTAAATCCGAAGCTGCCGGCAGAATTCGAATGGACACGTGGAAAAGTGAGCGGATCACAGAGGCCGATCCGATTTGCGAATGTTTGTGTGCCCCCCCCCCCCCCTCCCACACACCGATCCAATTACTCCGAGCAAACAATATGAAAGCCGATTTGCAAATTCACCAGCTAAAATTATTTAAACCATTTTTCAATCAAAGCATGTAATTAGGAAAAAACCACGGTAGGTGCTGAAAAATTAAAATAAAAGATAACTGTCCATTTTTGCAGTTTCAAAAAGCTAGGCCTTTCTTGTTTAATTCATAAAAATTTGGACAGTTTTTCATTTCTTTCAGATTTTGCAATTTTTTCTAAGAGATGTTTATCATGGTCTTTAAACTTTTTTTTAATTTTGAATAAAAATCGTCAATTTCCATCTTTAAATTATTTGTTCACTTTTTTGTGAAATATTGAATTTAAAATAAACTTTTAATTCCAACAGCGGATGTTTCACTTTAAACTTTTCAAAGGTTTTGTGCGGAGGAGGCAGCGGACGTGGCGAGATTATTTGCCAGCTCATTATAGCGTCGTCGCCGTTTGCAAACATTGTGTCGGAGTCACGTCTCGCGCAAAGAGTTAGGGTTGCTTTTGCAATTACCACTTTGGCCCGAGAGAGCGGCTCGCGCGCACTCACGCACAACAAGAAAAACACACACAACTTTTTAGAACCGAGGAGACCTGCGTGCAGATCGATAAAGCCCAAGTGAAAAACAAGTGCGACACCCTTTTCACAATCCTCAAACATTTCACATTTTGAACTAGAAAAATAAATTATGAAAATTTTATTTATTTTTTAAATTTCTTATTGAAACCCAAATAATGCCAATAGAAGATGATTGTTTTATTACTTTTGATTCTGTTTTGATTCCTAACTTATTCATTTTTTATATTAGACTGAGGTCACTGAGGTCTTTGACCTTTTAAGTGAACTGACCTAAATGACTAATAGAAAAAGTCAAGAGGATATCTTCTTTTCATTTGATGTTTTGAATCTTCTTAATAATAGAATCAAAGTTGTCTCTGTTGGATACGTTTTTTCCATTATAAATCATTGTGTGAATTTCAATTTATTTTTTAAGCAATTTTATCCTAAAACCACGGACAAGGACAAAATCAAAGAAGCGCAAATTTGCAAAAATCGCGTTTCAAATTGAAACCTGTTTTAAATTTAGTTCCAAGGTAAAGATTTACTTGAGGTTTTGTGTTTTAAAAGGACCCAATTTAAAAAAAAAATCGCCAAAATTTTAAGAGATCTTTTGTTAATCTCAAATAAGATTTTTATTTAGAGCAAAAATCTCGACCGAATAAAAAAACCTTATTATTACAAATGGTTCTCCTCAGTTCTCCTTTAAATCAATAATCGCATTCAGGGCTTATTTGATGTACCAGCCGTGCGGTTTTGTTTTTGTTTGTTTGGCGAAATCGATCCGCTGCGATGCTGCTCGTCTCGGCAAGAAACTATCCTTCTCGTCTCGTTAATGCGATTTTTCTGGCGTCTAAAAATATATTTCGCCTGCTGGGAGGAAAAGGGACAAATTGCAGCCAGAGGAAATTGCTTCGCTTTCAAAGAAACAGCTAAAGACGAGAATAGCAAAAACCTTTTGCTTCTCTCCGTTCTTTCAGCGACGGAGAAACGCAAAACGACTCTCTAATTTACAAATAAGGCGCTTCTTTATTCAAAGGCAAATTGCAATATTAACAGAATTGATTAAAAATGAAGTTATAAACAAAGTTATGTACTCCTTTGCGATATCTTTTTAATGATATTACTTTGTTAATTAATTTTATTTTCAATTCGAACCTAATGGATAAATCATAAATTAATTTTTAAAGAAAATTTCTAATCAATCACCATTTTTCTAAATTAAATTACAAAATTTCGAAGTGCCAATTGACTCATTTCGCGTTAAAAACGATAACACGTGAACTGAAGTAGCTAAGACGAAATCTCCGTATCTCAATTTCGCCGCGATATAAATTCGTCAAGGCGTCGCGTTGGCACGAATTCCCCCTCACAATCGCAAATCGCACGCAGATAACAATTGACAATTGTAAATTAACTTTGACAGATGGCCGGTCGCGGATGATGGCGGCGGCGACGACGCTCAGGGTGCCCGGAGGCCAGACCGGCGGCCAGTCCGGGGGCCAGCCGGGCGGCAGCGCCGAGATGAGCCACGAGGAGCGCGTGCTCGCGTTCAAGAGCGACCCCCAGCTGATGGAGGCCGCCTCCAGGTTCGTCGCCGACGTGCTCGAAAAGGCCAAGGAGGAAGCCGCCTCCAGGGCCAAAAACAACAGCAAGGTACGAAATTTTATTTTGGAAATTTGCAGAAGAAAATTTGCAATTTTTATAACAAAAATTGACGTAGTATTTGAAATTTGGCTTTTCATTGATGGGTTATTTGAGTCGCTTTTTGTTTCATGACAAAATAATTAATTTTAAAACGACTTTTCTGTGAGACATCCAATGTGCAAGATTTCGGGAAGTATAATAATTTTTTTAAATTGATTTTTCAAAGCAAATATATGATATATTTAAAAAAAAAATCTTTTCCTAGAGTAAGTAAAACAAAACGAGAATATTTGAGAATTCTAATAGGCCTTGAGATTCTATGAGGATAATTTGATTTAAATTTTATTAGATAAAATCTAATCTGTGAAATTTGAATGATAATTAATTTATAATTTTAACGTTAACTAGTTTTTTAATAGTTTTTCAAATTTCAGCATTTATTTCAATAATTAAAAGCAACAACCTAATCAAATAACCCAGCAATGAAAAGTAGAGTTTCAATTAAAGCGCCATGATTCAAAACTTGAAAGTGAAATTCTATTCCTCAAAAATAAAATTGCAACCAAATTTTTTTTGCTACTCACAAATAACTAATTCACAATTGTTTTCATTAACAAGTATGATTTTGTAAAAATTATAAATTAAATTTAATTTAAATTAGGCACATTTTATTCAAAAGAAAAGACCGATAAAATTTTTTTCGTGCGAAAGCCTTTTTTTGCTAGGAAAACCCCTTTGTACCAATGATAATTCCTTAATTCTTGTTTTATTAACGAAAATCACAATCCAAATTTTGACCTTCTAGGTCACAAATCAATCCCTACTGACCTCCCGTGACCTCAAATATTCAAAGGTGCATTCGCAAAGCCTTCAAAATATTGTGCGGTGACCAAATCTTTGCAAATAATATTTGAAAAGCCCAACCTCTCGCTAATGAGGCATCAGTAATGTGAAACTAATCAAAAAGGAAAGCTCAAATATTTCTTTCGGACAAAGAAAATTATAAAAATTTTTATTTTCAAAGTTCGTGGCTGGCATTAGAGCCTTTGAACTACAAACTGCCTTTGAAATTGGGTTTCGCGTGCGCTTTCTGTAGCAAAAACGGCGGCAGGTCGGCTGCTTGGCGAGAGAGCGTTTTATCGATTCTGGCCGGCAGCGTCCCCGACCGACCGAGAGCAGCGTATGTGTGAGTGTGCGAGTTGTGCACTTTGGAGAACAGCCTCTCGCCCGCCCGCGTCTCGTGCACCACATTTTCAGCCGCGATTGATTATTCGCCGCGTCAACTCTTTCGCAAACTCACACGTGTTGGCCACTGTGGCCGCAACATAAATAGCCCCTGAAAACTTTGTCACCTCATTTCTCTATTATACGAAACAAAATGAACAAAACAATGGAGAAAATATTTTAAAATGTACTTGAAACAAATTAAAAGTAAAATAGACTGATCCAGTTTATGCAGAATTTCAATTACTATCAAAATTTTAATGATTATAAGGAATTAAATATTTTAACAAACAATGAAAAGGAAGGTAATGTTAAAAATAATGATTGCAATAAGATTTGAATCGCGTTTTTGCTTCATTAGCCACATCAAGCCACAATTTCTCAGCATTTATTTTCTCAAATTGTAACACAAAATGTTGTAAATAAAATAATATTTTTAATCCCCTTTTTCCCAATTCAATGCAAGATTGTGAAATTTTACATTATTTTATTTTATCAAAACACTTTTAATTTTAAAAAACCCCCTGCCATTTTGCAATAAAATTTTTGGAAAAAAAGTTTGCCCCACATCTTACCATTAATCTTTCGCAAAGCACTCAACTAAGTTTTCACTTTTGCAGGTGGAGCGACCTGATGCAGACTCTGCAGGTAGGACCCTGACTGCACCCCTGTCAAACTTCATCCAAAAAACTGTGTTTCCTATACCAAAGCACGAGACTCCTTCAATCATATTATATAATTATCTTTTTACCTAATTAAAAAAATTTTGAAAAATAAATGAGATCCATTTTTTTGCTCAGGTTCGCGACGGCTGAAGCGCGGAGGGCCGTGGCACTCGCGGGCGCGCGGCTTCGTGGCGCGGCTGTTCGCAGCCATCTGCGGCTGCAACTCGGCCACCGATGTCAAGGCATGAATGAGCGACACCCTCGTCCCCTCTCCCGACAATAAGTGGACAGAGCGAAGCAGCAAAGATTGATTGATCAAACAAGAGTGTGAATAGAAGTGGCGTGCCCCGATGAGTGACCCTGACCCCCCTTCCAAGACCGACTCTGTCATCATTGTGATACCAAATCAAAATGCACTCAACGTGCAGTAGATTATTATATGCAACCTTCATTCCTAAACCGCAGCGCGTTGTGTTTTTGCTTTAGAGGTTGTAATTGTTGTTGATTTATTTAATTGTTACATTAAAATCCATGCCATGATATTTTGTTTGAAGGGAAAATTGACAATTGCGATAGATCTCTTCAAGACGATACTGACGATATGTCACACAGATAGATTTGAATAGAAAAAATATTTGAAAATTCCGAAATCTTTTAAACCCTTTTAAAAAAAAATGCAAATAAATCAGCTAATTCTCGTTTTAATTACAAGTGTGGCATATCTTTGGAATTATCTTTGATCAGACTTTCAGAATTTGCAAAATTTTATTTTTCCAAATGTGGAACTTTAAGTTATGGCATTTTTTTTTTATTCTGATCGTATTTCGAAATCCAGAGGTCCAAACAAATAAGCATTGTTCAAGTTAGGAGATTTCGTTTATTGATGAAAAGCTCAAAAGACATTCCGCAATAGCAAGACTTATTAAATTCTCGTATGTATTTGACTCGTTTTTTGGAAAATGTTATCAAAACTTCCAATAACACTTCTGGACCACTTAATTGTATCAAAAAATATCAAAATCTCTAAAAACTGTTGTAAATATATTTTTCTAAATGTCCAGCCAAGACGAACGGTATCGAAAATCACGCACTTCTCCCCCGAAATCATAAAAATAAGAAATAATGAAAATGTGTTGTTTTGTTGTTATCATCATTGTAGATTTTAATGCGCTTAATTAAAATTATAATTACTATAAAAAAATAAGATATTTGTGTAGCTAAATGTGCAATAAACAGGACAAGCAGAGAGATGAAATGTATGAAAAAAATAATTATGCAATATGTATGAGAGAAAAAATTATAAAGTAATAAAAATAAAATTGTCGATTAAATGTGAAAATTTAAAAAATTTCATTCTCATAAATTTCCAGTATAATTATTGTAACAAGATAATCATACTCATAACATGAGTTTCCAAAAGCAAAGAGGAAATTGATTTAAGTTTGAATAAATCTAAAAATCTTGCTATTTTCAAAATAAACATAAAAAAATTATAAAATTTAAAACTAGTACCTCATCTTCAAAAATGTGTAAAACATTAATTTTTTTTAATTGTATTTCAGGAAAACGTATCTGTATTTTATCTTGCTGAAATTTTTACTTTTTAATATTAATATTTTCATTTTTTTTCTTCTATAAAATTTACTCATTGTCAGTTTATGTATAAAATTTAAGCGAATTTGAGTGTCTGATAGTTGAACTTTCGATTTGAAATTAGTGACGAAGGTAAATAGCTAACTGACATGCATCTAAAAAAAAATTAATTCACCAACCTTTTGTAAGGAATTCAGGAAATCACTTGTTGATCGGTGGTTGTTTCCGATGATGAACTCCAAACTCGAAGCTGCGACAGCCCTTCCCAACGTCACCAACAGTGCCCATAACACTCCGGCGCTAAAGAATTGGGTCGTCGAGGTAAAAATCGTTTTTAATTTTTGGTAAAAAAGCAAATTTTCTATGGCAAAATTACGAGATCTACACACATTTCAAAATTCAAACAAAACAACAACAAGACTGAGCCGGCCGGCGGGTTCAGGTCATTCCAGGTGGCAGCACGTGTCGGGGGCGGTTCGCGGTTGGGCCGCACGAGCACCAGGGTGGCGCTGGTGTCGGTATTTCGTTTTCGTACTGCTGCGACTTGAAGGTGTCCGAAGGAAAGAAAATACGGTGGTGCAAGTCGGTGCATGTGAAGTGATCATGGCCGACGCGGAGACGGACGGGGGCGGCCGAGGGCCTCGAGCGTGCGGCGGCCCCCGGGTCGTTTCAATCTACAAAACGGAGACGGGCTTCGGGTTCAACGTGCGCGGCCAGGTGAGCGAGGGCGGACAGCTGAGGAGCATCAACGGCGAGCTGTACGCCCCGCTGCAGCACGTCAGCGCCGTCCTGGACGGCGGCGCCGCCGAGAAGGCCGGCGTTCGCAAGGGCGACCGCATCCTTGAAGTGTGAGTTCCTCAGGATTGGGCGAAAATCCCCCCATCGAAACCCTTTTTGACCCTTTAAATTTGATAGGACTTCGAGTGAGGAAAACATGATTTTTTTTCTAGTGCGTCCGACACCGAAAACAGTGCAATTTAGGCGTTTTGGGCAACGTTTTCAGACGTCCCGATTGATCAGTTGGGGTGCAGGCGAGGGAGTTGACACAGGAGATGTCAAATAAAAGTCATGTGACCGTCGGCTTATCTGCCCCCGGCTCATCTGTGATTCATCGCCCATTTTTCGTCTAATTTCACTTCTTTTTTCCCAGTGAATTTTCGTTCTATCAAACAGCTGATAACAACGGAGTAAACAAATTTTGAAACTCTCCTTTTCTTTTTCTATTTTTAATTCGTTCTCATTAAATTATTTTATGGAGTTAATAGTTTATTGCAAATGTTTCCTGGTTTTGATATTTAAAGTTATCAAACTTCCTTGCTCGATTAATTGATTTAAATTCAAATTACAGTTTTCATTCGAATCTTCACGTCTGTTGTCTCCTCGCATTCGGAAGCGAAAGTGTAATTGCAGTGTTTGTACCGAGAGCAGCGAAATTCCAAGGTCAACAAGTAGACCTTGTCTCGGCGAGAACGAAGATCTGTGAGCACCGGCGACGAGTCAAAGAAAAGCGCAAAACCGGTGCTATTTTTGTCTCTCCGATTCGATGAATAATTTTTTTCACCTCCCGCTCGCATCAGCTGCGTTTTCGTGTGGGTCAGCATGCGCTGTTGCTCCGTATTTGAAAAAAAAATCGATTGGCCGAAAAAAAATACACAGAGCAGCCGTACGACTTTGGCTCATTATTCCCTCGGCGCTCATTTGCATCGCCAGATTTAGATCCCCCCATTGAAATTCAAAAGCTCGAACTGGAAAAATGGCCATTAAATGCATAACGTGAAGTTTGATCAAACAAAAAATAATACTTTTGATCTTACTTATACAATTTGATATAATATATATAAAAGTTTAATTGGCAAGGAAAAGGCGCAAGGAATTTGGTGGCAAAAAGGTGATAAGATTTATTTAGAAAACAATTATTCTTGAATCCACCACTAAATTAAGATTATTTTTCAATTACAACGAGTGAAAAAGTTTAGAGGAATCCAGGTCCTGGTCACCACAAAGTCGTTGAATTAAAACGTAATTTAAATTTTAAAAAATAATACAACTAGATAGGTTTTTAGTTTGTATTATGAATTATGATCTGCGGGATTAAAATTAAATCAATACAGAGGCACATATTTATTGACTTGTAAGCGCTGATTGATGTGGATTAATAAAGTGCCCGAATGACCCGGTCTGATCTTGAGAAATACGTTTCTACAGTGGAAGGGAATGTGTTTTTATTGTGACACAATCAATCTCAGCATAAACTTACTTTCTACCTCAGAGAGTAAAAGCATGTTGAGCGTTGCTCCACGCCCATATCTCCCTTCGTAATCTCCGAAAATTCTCACAATTATCATCGTTCCTAATTTCTATTTTTTGTTCACAGTAATGGGGTGAACGTGGAGGGGGCGACCCACAAGCAGGTGGTGGACCTGATCAAGTCTGGCGGCGACACTTTGACCCTGACCGTGATCTCGGTGACGGCGCAGGAGGCCGAGCGGCTCGAGCCGAACGAGGACCCCGTCAACTACAACTTCATCGACTACACGGAGAAACGCTCGCTGCCCATCTCCATCCCCGACTATCACTACCTCGACCGCCGCGGCGAGAAGTTCGTCGTAAGTTGGAAAATTTTTAATTTTGTTATTCGCACTAAAATCTTATAACTTTTAAGGTGTTCAACATTTATATGGCGGGGAGGCACTTGTGCTCGCGCCGGTACCGAGAGTTCTCGCAGCTCCATGAAAACCTCAAGAAAGACTTTGTTGGATTCTCCTACCCCAAACTCCCAGGAAAATGGCCATTCACGTAGGAATCTAGTTAAATATCTTAATCAAGAAATTGGCATCAAAACAATAATCTACTACTTTTGATAATTTTGAGCGAAAAAATTGGTCAAGTTGTGAGATTTGTTAAGGAGAATGAGATTATTTAAAAAAGATTTAAAGTAGATAAATATGTTTTGCTGATTTTTTTATGCACATTCAATATTAGAAATTTTATTACGTTTTAAAAACTCAATTTAGGCTGAGTGAGCAGCAGTTGGACTCACGACGGAGAGGCCTGGAGCAGTATTTAGAGAAGGTGTGTGCTGTGAGAGTGATCGCTGAGAGCGACATCATGCAAGAGTTCCTGACCGACGCAGACGAGGACCATGTAATTCCAACCAAATCAATCTGAGCCATATTTAAATAATAAAAAAATCAGGCAACCTTGTCTCCAATCGACCTGAAGGTGCTGCTGCCTGACAGGGAGGTAGTCACCGTGTCTGTCAAGAAAAACGCCAACACCGACCAGGTCTACGCGGCCGTCGTGGACAAAATCAAAATGAGGAAAGAAGTTGCCAAATTTTTCGGCCTCTTTGAAATCGTCGAGTACAATTTTGGTATAAATTATCCACGTTTGTTTCTTATGAAAAGTGAATTAATTATATATTCAAATGTAGAGAGGAAGCTGCAGCCAAACGAGTTCCCTCACAATTTGTACACTCAAAACTACAGCACGGCGACCGCCACCTGCCTGGCTGTTCGAAAGTGGCTCTTTTCAATCAACAAAGAACTGTCCCTCTCCTTTGACGAGCAAGCAACAACCTTCATTTTCTGGCAGGTTTGTTATTTCAGTTTTGATGATTTACATGCAAATTAATTGGGTGGTCAATTAAATTTAGGCTGTAGATGAGGTGAACAGAGGACATATCAGGGCCGACGAGAGACTTTATCAACTCAAAGCTCTTCAGGACTCTTCGAAGAAACACAAGGTTTGATTTTAGATTTGATAAAGTTGCAAAAATTAATTTTTTAATCAGTACCTTGAACTGGCTCGGGAGTTGCCTGGCTATGGGGAGTTGGTTTTCCCTCACTGCGCCTGCGATTCGAGAAAGGAGGGCCACGTTGTGGCAGCCGTTTCCACCAACTGCTTTAAGTTGCACGCCTGCAAGGAGGACGGCACACTTGTTGTAAGTTGAAACTCGCTTTGCCTTATATCTATTTTAATCTTTGTCAACAGTTATAGCAAAAACACCAGTTAATTTATTTTTTGTAATTTTTCAAACCAATTTCAACTTCAAGCAAAAAATGCTTGAGATGTAAAGTAATATTGAATCTTGAAATTTATTTATTAATATTGTAATTTTGTGTTTTATTTAAGATTTTATTTAACATCTGCAAAATTTTAGGGCCAGACAGTTGAGTTTCCGTGGAGTAACATCAAGCAGTGGGACGTGGAAGAGGAGGGCATGGCGTTTGCTTTCCAGTATCAAAAGCCCAACAAAAACCCGCGCTGGGTCAAAATATTTACCCCCTATGTAAACCTAATTGAACTTCTTGTTATTTTTAAACTAAATCTATTAAATGATTTCAGTTCGTTTTCATGCAGGATTGCTTCGACAGAATACTCGAGGAGAGCAAGTGGCCCCAGGAATGACCCTCGTCCCCTAACATCAAGTAGATCTTTGTTCCGGTATTTACGAATTGGAAACTAGTTCAACCCTCTGTGATAAGAAGAGAAAACACTTGAGTGTAAACGCAGAAGACGAGACCTTCGGTGAAATTAAAACTAGATTCGGAGCTAGGGAGGCCAACTAAAAATTTATTCGGAAATCTCTAGTCGCGCTTCGGAAAAAAGCAAAATTGGTTTGTTCGTTAAGATCTGTGCATTTTCTTTGTTGTCAAAGACTGGCTTTGTGTCACTGTAAGGCCTATTATCTCCCTCTCTTTTTTCTAACATTCCTTCTTTGACAGTTTTTCTGGCTGCTTCACAGTGCATCGAAACATTCCTTTCTGAAAGTATTGCAAAGTACAATGATTATATTATTTTTTGCATTGAAATCGTTATTCGAAAAACTGTGACATTAATTGGAATCCATCGAGACTTTAATTATTAGTGCAATAATTAAACTGTTAATTAATATCGTGTCTGATTGTTGATTTCTCCAACTCTCGGAAATTGTCAGGACTGCTTTGTCAAAAATCATGCATTGCCCCTCCAACGCAGAGTTGCTGTTTAGATTTAAAGTGAATATATATAAAACTACGTTATATATCAGCAATTATTATAAAAAATATATAATTAAAAGCGTGAAAGTAAATTATGAATGATAAGCATGCAAATTATTGTGTAAATTTAAATCAAAAGTTAAAAAATTTGAATTTCAAGAAACCAGTTTAATATGATAGTGCCATTCATAATCTATATCTTACACAGTTATAGATGAAATTCGCTGATTTTATAAATATATCAAACAATCTAAAAAACAGCAGCAGTTGAGTTGCAAAAGTACGCGAACAAAAGTTATAGTTATATTCCTCCTGTTAAAAAACAAATAAAACTTTCTTTATTATCTGTCCTATAATGATAATATGTAAATAAAATAGCGAACAAAAATTTCAAGGAAAAATCGGGTTTTTTAATATTTTGGAATTGAATCAAAACCTGAAATTATAAAAAAAAAGTTTTGTAAAAGTACCCTTTATTGTTTATTAAAAAAACTCGACTGAACCTTTATTGATTGAATTATTTTTCTTTTTTCACTCCATTTTGTTGGCAGCGTTGCCTTCCCTTAATTTATAGCGGTTTGCAGCACTGATATCAATCGATAAGCCTGCAAGCCATATTTGTTTTGGTTTTGTTTACAAATTAACACCGCACGCAAATGACCAGATTTGTGTCGATGGATTATTTTCCGCCGCGGAAAAACGAATTTCCCGACCCTCGCGGCAGGCAAAACTTACAAATGGACAGCTAAGCTCCCGTTTCCTCACAAATAATCGAACGCAGAGGTGATGTCAAATTCTTCTGAGAAAAACAACACATCTTTTTTTTATAAATTCTGTTCCTTTTGATTATTTGAGATTATAATCATTTAAACAATTAGAATTACTGTGCATATTTTAACAGAGGTTTAATTAATTTCTGAAATTTTCATTTCAACAGCTTGCATTAATCAAAAGTCATGGCCAACGAAAGCTGGGAAATTTCAATCCAAGTCATGGAGGAGCAGTCCTTGGAGCAGCAGGTCGACCGCTCCAACGAGGTATTTATTAATTAATTAAAATTATAAATTGATTAATTTAATGAAAATCCAGATAACCGTGGAGCAGTTGGTGACGCCTCTGCTGCCTTGTGAGGAGACGTTTAAAATTGACATCAAGGAGGAACTCGAGTCTATCCCTGAGGTCACTTGGCCTCCCAACCTGAGCGACCTTTGTCGCCTCTGTGCACAAGAGGCTTCTGAGGCCGTCCTGATCTTCGGCCCTGAGGGCGTTGATCTGCAGCTGCCTGAACTCATCTCCCACTGCCTCCCTGTCAAAGTAGGCAAATTTAAAATAAAAATCTTGAAATTGTAACCTTTCGTGCAGGTCTTCAGAGACGACACCCTGCCGCAAGTGGCTTGCAGAGCGTGCGTGACTGCCCTGCAGCAGAGTGACGCCCTCCGAAGGGCGGCCAAGGAGGCAGACGCCACCCTGCGGAGGATTCTCGGCCACCACTCGAAGACCTTCCTCGACCTACCTGAGGTCTGTCTCTTCAAATGTTTAACCTTTGCCCTGATTTCCAAAGTGTTTCTGCAGGAGGAGGTGTTGAGCCAGAAGAGGTTGCTTTGTGGCCTCTGCAGACAGCACTACGACCCCATGGAGGATGTTCGGCCTCACATCATCACCATTGGAACCATAGACGTGACCTCCGCCTCCGAAGAGTTGCGATTCGACCCCGAGTGCGATTCTGATGAGAGAATGGCTCAAGAAGACTGCCAAAATGTGCCACCGCCCTCTGAAAACAAACCTGAGGAGGAGAACAAAAAGCCAAAGTATGAATTTTTAGAGGCCTAGACAATGGATTTTTCTTCATTATATTTTGCTGCCGGCATAGGATAAATTAAATATTAAAAGATGGGCCAGCTTTTTTGTAAAAAGCATGAAAACAATGAATTTAAAGAGAAATGTGTTGTTAATTATTTATTTATTTTAAATAATTTGCAGGCGAAAGTACAACACTCGACGGACAGAGGAGCTTCCGCCCCTGAAGGAGAGCAAACTGCGGCCTCGTAAGAAGTCAGCAAAGCGGCCGCCACCCAAGGAGAGGGCGCCACTGCCTGAGGTCAAGTGTCCGCAGTGCAGCTCGGTGTTCCACAAACGCGAGCTTCTCTGCCGCCACGTTCTGCTGCAGCACAAGGCACACATGTGTCCGGATTGTGACCTGAGCTTTGAGCAGCACGACGCCTTGGCCGCACACACCCTAGAGGCGCATGACGCCGTTGTGCCGCCCGAACGCTATCACCATCCCCCGGGAACTCCACCAGTCTGTTCCTTTTGCCACAAGCAGTTCAAGAGCATCTCAGGCCTCTGCCACCACGTCGACTCGCTGCACCTCAAGATCCCGGGCAACTTTTTGTGCAACCAGTGTGGAAAACCGTTTTACGGCAAGAAGAAACTGGAATTGCACATGATGAGGCACACCGGTGAGATAAAGTGGCCATCAAAATTGTTTGGGGATTTTTATTTTTCATCAAAAAACCAAATTGATCTAAATAAGTAATAAGTTAAAAAATATCATCAATTTTTAAATTCTTACTTTGAACAAGTCATGAAATTAACTTTTTGGTAGACCTTCATTATAAAAGTTTCCTTTTTAGTCCTTCTCTTAATCAATCATCATCTGGAAAAGTGGCCAAATAATTAAAATTTACCTACAAAACAAGTCCATTTAACAATTTTTATATTATGTTCAATTACTCATTTTGAATGAATGAATCAACTTTCCAGAAAAAAAGTAATTGTTTTTTTTTTCCTGAGAATGAAATATTGCTAAGGACATTAAATTTGAAATCAGATTGGAATTTGTTTCACTTTTATTCAACAGAATTTAATTATTGTTTTTGGCAGGAATTAAAACCGTGATGTGCCAGGACTGCGGCAAGATGTTCTACAACGAGTCAACGCTCAAGATCCACTCGGAGATGCACAGCGTGGCGCGCAAGTACAGCTGCACGCACGCAGGGTGCGACAAAACCTTCAAGCACTGGCGCAACCTGTATGCACACATGCACACCGTCCACGGCCGCAAGTGGAACTATGCTTGCAACGTTTGTCCCGAGTCCTTCAAGACCAGCGACGAAGCCCTCGACCACTATGAGTCGCATTCGCCCGAGGAAAAACTGAAAAATGAGACTGGAGCGGCGTATACTCAGGTATACATATTTCTGATTTTTTTTTTTTATAATAAATTTTGGAAATTTAACCTTTATATAAAAGTAAGATGCATCAAGATTGATTTTCTGATTAATTTAGACATTTTTACACTGTGTTTAGGTTTTTGAAAGTCTTTGAAGCTCCTTTCCATTGATGGAATTGATACTTTTGGTATCCTAAATTTTTTAATGCACCATAATAAACTAAAGTGAAGTCTCATTATACACTGTAAGAAAAAATTGTCAAATTTCTCCATCATCTTATTAGTTTGAAAAATTTTCTGGGCCAAAGAAACTTTACTTTTGAATACTTCATGAGGTTGATCCAAAAGTCTGACCTGACCCAGGTTATCAATTTGAGATAAATTTGGGAGCAGATAGCAGATTAGGCACTTGCATCGTCCTTATTGTCTATTATTTCAACCCATAATTTGAAACTTTAAGAGTGCTAATTTTCAGATTTTCTTGTTATCACACAATTTCGTCCATATTTACAATTAAAAATAAAGTTATTTATAAGTATAAACTAGTAAATGTGTATTTGTACACTGTAAGAAAAAATTCTAGATACAAATTTGAATTAAATTGTTGGCAGGTGTCGCCGTTCGAGTGCCGCATTTGCTTCAAGCACTACAATTCGCAGCTGCACTACGCGAACCACATGCGGACGCACGAAAGCGCTTCAACGTTGACGTCGTCGGACGCGGAGGCGCGCAACTTTGAGTGTCCGACTTGTCTGAAGCGGTTCAAGAGCAAGCACTACCTGAAGATCCACCTCGGGGTGCACATGACGATGAAGCCCTTCTGCTGCCAGTACTGCGGCAAGTCGTTCATCACCAAGATGCTGCTGCAGACCCACGAGCGCATCCACACCAACGAGACGCCCTTTCGCTGCGAGACCTGCGGCAAGGGCTTCCGCGCCCAGAAGAAGCTGCAGATCCACAAGCGCGACGTGCATGACAAGATCAAGAACTTCCTGTGCCTGACCTGCGGCAAGGCCTTCTCCAGGAAGAACCACCTGGACGCGCACATCCGCACGCACACCAACGAACGGCCCTACCAGTGCGACATCTGCGGCCAGGGCTTCAAGCAGGTCGGCGACATGCGCAGACACGTGGCCCGCCACCAGAACCAGCCCCTCTTCAAACCTTTCGCCAAGTCCTCCCCTTACAAACCATCCAGCGGCCTCCCCTCGTAGTCCACGCACTTCCAAGGTGGCCGTTGACCCTTGAATCGTCTTGGCAGCTACAAAACGAGAGTGATGTTTAAACAAATCTGGACGCCTGATTGTGGCAGTGATCAATTTTTTATTCCAGTGGTTTCAAACTGACAAACTCGAAACCGTGTTGATTGGAAATCTAAAAACTAAAAAACCAATCAAGTTAATAATGCTCTAAAATCAATTTGATCTTGGTTACTCATTTTAATTTTCTTGGAGACCAGCTAACATTTTACTCTGAATTTTTGTAATTCATCAAAGTTTATTTTGAAGACGCATGTGCTTCATAATTAATTGAGTGTTTCATCTGTGACTATTTTTAGTCAATAACTGAAAAATGAAATACATTTAAATCATCTTAACGTGACGAGTTTCATTTTAAAACCAGATTTATGATTTTTGTTGACGAAGGAAGGAAATTTAACAATTACAGCCTCATAATTAAAATGGGCGCAACATGTTTACCGCGACCACTGTCAACACAGCAAACAATCTAAATTATCCGTGTGCAGAGCAATCGGACACAAAGCAATTCGCATTTTACTTTCTAGATCACTGCTTGCGTAGGAAATATATAATTACTCTCACTCCACTTTTCTCCAATCAAAGCAATTGCATTTGCGAGCAAACAAAATCATAAACTGCTCATCTAATAAAATTTCCGCAAATATAGAAGTTTAACTTTGCTTTTCTTATCAATATTTACTTGGAACCCAATGTTCCGCACTTTTGGCAATTAAGGTGTTTGCGTCAAAGCGGAGGATAATGCGCCTTAATCATGTCGCCTCTGCGGATATAAGAGGAGCTGTGCCAAGTCTGGAAGTATCAAAGTTAATCCGAAGATGTTGAGTGCCAAGTCTTTGTTACTAAGTGCGACCCTCTTGGTGGTCCTGGCCTCTTCTGCAACCGCGCAGAGTAAGTTTTGATTCGTACTTTTGTTTTAAGTCGTATCTCATTCTCATTCAAATTGTGAATAGCAACTAAATAAATATTTTTGAAATTCACGAAAGTCATTTTTTGCAGTAACAAAAAAAAATAAATAAAAGCAATCAGAGTTGCGTTGCATGGCTTTCATTATTTGAAGGATTAGCAAGACGGCGCTGCCTCCTTTTCTTTAAGAATTATGATATATTTACAAATTTTCAAAATAAATTTGTTACGCATCATTCTAATTATTCAATATTGATATGATCTTGAAGATCTATAATTTATTATTTTTATAAATGTATATATAGTTTGCCAAAGTCTTTATTAAAAATGTTTTTTACTGTTCAATAATTTTTGGCTCCAATATATATTAAAAATAACTTGGATAAAAAATATAAAGTGGATAAAATTATTTATATTTTTTGTGCAACATAATGAACATAAAATATATTGTAATGAGACTTAGGCCAGTTTCAAAATAAAAAAGTCTAAGGAAATGTGTGTTATATTAAAAGTCGCTCTGCTGCGCTTTAAAAGTATTTGAAAATAGTCTTCTCACACTCGCTGCACGCTATATAATGTCGAGAAGATCTCCAAGTACAAAATTCAGGAATTAATTATTATTATTAATTAAAAGTGTTTTTATATATTGTCAGAGCGGGTGGTTTGCTACTTCAGCAGCTGGGCGACGTACCGCAGCGGCGACGGCAAGTTTGAGGCCGAGAACATTGACCCGTTCCTCTGCACACACGCCATTTATGCCTTCGTGGGCGTCAATGCTCATGACGCTACAGTAAGGATCATTGACCCCTGGAACGACATTTCTTTGAGTAATTTCTTATTTTCATTTTTTTTATAATTGCTTTAATGTGTGTGAGTTAGACGGTTTCAAGCGGTTCAACAATCTGCGACTGACAAACCCTAATCTGAAGACGATGGTGGCAATCGGAGGCTGGAACGAAGCCTCCGTAGGTTTCTCCAACGTCTGCAAGGACCCTGTACTCAGGGCCAGGTTTGTTGACAACTTGGTCAACTTCGTCAAGACCTATGGATTCAACGGACTCGACTTGGACTGGGAGTTCCCGGCGCAGAGGGGAGGAATCAGCGCCGATAAGGTTTTATTTCTGAAAAATAATTTAAAACATTAATGAAAATTGAATTTTTTTTATGTTAAGAACAACTTTGCTGCTCTAGTCAGGGAACTGAGGGCCAAGTTCACTCCGAACGGGCTCATTTTGAGTGCCGCCGTCTCTGCTGGACTTTGGGCCGCCAGTGTTTCTTACGATATTCCCCAACTCTCGGCGTAGGTTTTAATTTTTAGTCCTGACAATTTTTATGCCAGTTTTTTAATTGAACTGCAGGAATTTGGATTTCATCAACCTGATGACTTATGACTACCACGGCTCGTGGGAAAGCAGGACGGGCGAAAACGCGCCCATTTATGCTTCATCAGTCGACTCTGACCAGGGTCTTAATGTGGTGTGTAGCCAATAACTGACGATTTCTTGAAAATATTTTAAAATTAAGTTTAAGCGCGGCACATCACTGTAACTCTCAAGAATTATCCTTTTTCTAGTAAAACATGCTTCTTCCCTAAAATATTTTGATGATATTGTTCAAGACATCATCAGGGCGGGTGTTAAACTTACAATTAACATATATTATTTTTGTCCCTTGGAAAATTTCAATTTTTTTACATGTTTAATATAAGGACTAATGAACTAGTGACCTGCGGGAGAAAAGGGATGTGCCGTTTCCCCTCTTTTGCAAGAATTTCAATAATATATTTTATCTGAATTATTTTTTAAGGGGAATAAAGAACGAACCTAGTAAATGAAGAAACCTGAAATTTCATATAATTAGTCGCTGATCTTGATAGCTAAAATAATATAAATGTGGTTTTCTGTAGCAATCGACGTTGAACTACTGGCTGCAGCAGGGCGCCGCCCGGAGCAAGTTGGTGCTGGGGGTGCCAACTTACGGCCGCTCCTTCACCCTGCAGTCCAGCGGCAACAACGGTGTCGGCGCCCCGACCATTGGCGCTGGAAACCCCGGCCAGTACTCGCAGGAGGCCGGCATCCTGCTCTACCACGAGGTCGGTGACCCCTAATGACCTTTCAGACCTTTTGTGTTAAGCGATTTTGTTGCAGATCTGCCAGTTGCAGCGCAGCCAGGGCGCGGCCTTCAACTATCGGTGGAACGGCCAGCAGCAGGTGCCGTACGCCTTCTGGGGCAACCAGTGGGTCGGCTACGACAACATCGACTCCGTCAGGATCAAGGTTCGACCATTTGTACCTTTTTGTAACTGTTCTGATGCGTTTTGGATTTGAAATAATAGGGCCAGTTCGCGAAGAACAACAACCTGGGCGGCGTGATGGTGTACGCGCTCGAGATGGACGACTTCCGCAACACGTGCGCCGCCGGCCGCTACCCTCTGCTCACCACCCTCAGGGCAGCCTATCTTTGATATGTTTTCCTTCAGTATATAAATAATATTCATATTTAATTGTAGTTATAGTATTTAAAAATAAATGCAAATAAAAAAACTTGAATTTATTTCTTATTGATTCTTATTTCTCTTTGATTTTTTTCAATAAGGTTTTTATTTAAATAAGAGACGCAATTTTAAACTTTGGCGCACAGCTCTTGGACCAAAAGCAAAAGTTCTTTTTTTTGTAGGAAGGAAATTTTGGGCATAATTTAGCTGACAAATTTAGAGAGGGTTGAAAAAATAAGTTGGGCAACTGGCTTGCCACGCGTGTTGTGCGGGTCGGCGTGGCGCCTGCAGCTCGATTTCAATACATTTATTCTGCCAAGAAGGTGCGTGAAATAATGTTGATGGTGATACAAAAGCCTACAACTTCGCCAGCTGGGCTTAATTAAATCACCAGCCAAATTTCATGGCGGGCAAAAGTTAGGCCGGGCCAGGTTAGCCTTTCAGATCATTATGAATTATTCTATTGCCGCCATTCATATTTCAAAAATTTAATTAAAAAATTATTCTTAAATCAATTTCAAACTTGAAAATATTTGACTCTGAATTAATGAATAGTTAAAGGAAGTGTCAAACGGATTTAAATTTGAGTTTATCTTTTGAAGTACTTTTTTTATTATGTTTAAATAATACTGAACTTTTTCCCCGACAGTGGAAGAAAAATTTTGTATGTTTTGTTGCACGAAGGAAATTTGGGGGCCTACTTTTGCTAGAAAAGTGCAAGCTCTTCACACATTTGAGTTGAAGTTAGGCAATAGGATAGCCACGCGTGTTGTGCGGGTCGGCGTTGCGCCTGCAGCTCAATTTTAATACTCATTACTCGCACACAAACACAACTGGCCCAGGGGTTCTATCTGACCTATCTGACCCTATCTCCCCAGTTCAGATGCATCAATTTTGCAAATGAAACTTTTTTCAAAAACTTCAAAATATTTTGTATTTGACTTTAGGAGAGTTAAAAGAAACGTGAAACCGAATAAAATTGAGTTTTTTGTTTTAAATACATGCTAATGCTGCTATTTTTATTTTACTTTTAACATTACTTACTTCAATTAAAATAAAAAATTTAAGTAAGCATTTTAAATAAATACTGCGCACTCTGACTTTTTCCTTATCAAGTTGCGCGCCTCAACCTCAAACGCGAGGCAATTAATTTTGTTTCCAAGCAAAAGAAAAGGGGGACCTTATCGTTTTCCGTTGAACGTCGTCCGTGTATGCTGGGGAAAGTTTCGAAAATGAAGTAAATAATATTTCCTTGAAAAATTCGAGCTTCAAATTTTTAAACTGTGGGTCGAAAACTGACAATCCGCACTCCGCAGATTACACAGACACAAAATCATAATCATAATTTTGGGTCTCTCCCATCCAAGTCTGAATTAGAATGGTGAAAAAATATTTTATAATGAAAAGTTTCACTTTTTGTTACGCAAACGCTTGACAGCGGACGGACAAAAATGAGCATAATTTATTCGTTTTTCTGAGGAAATTTCAGCCAAAAACATTTTAATTGCACTTTATAACACGGCGCTCCTCAGAAGAGCATGTTCTCGATCAAATGAGACCCTAAAAAACAGAACATATGGTTGATTGTCGCGGCATGGACTCATATGCACAACCTATGATTGTTAAGTGACCACATTTTGGTTGAAGTCACATGTAATTGAACAAAAGAATCCTCTTTAAAATTTTAATTATGCAAAGGCTGGAAAAGTGAAACTTTGCCTACGGTTATGAGGACGCATTATCGATGTCCCTCAGAGACAGGCCGATTTTGATTAAAGTTGGTGTGCACTTTCTACCTTCTGGGTACTTCCGAAAAGCTTAATTTGCCTTCTGCTTAATTTCGCTATGAAAAATCTGAATAAATTGAATTTAATTGGAAAATGAAAATTATGCAAAATAATTAAAGAGGACGCTTTTGTTGCGTTCATTCGATTCTTTCACAAAATTGGGCATTCCTGTGTAAATTGTGGAAAATTAATTATACACTCTTCCAGAATTTCAATTTTCCATAAAAAAAAAATCGGTGTGTATTCTCAAAAACATTTTGCTAATAGTTAGCATAAAATATCGCTTTTTATAATAGTTGTAGTTTTTCAAATAATTAATTTAAATACATCAAGATTTAAGACAGAAGTGAAATTTGTAAAAGGCGTGCAAAGTAAATTATATATTTTTACAGTTTTCCTATAATTGTTGACTTCATTTGGATATTCTCGATTTGTGGTTCACACACATCAATAAATTTAATTTTGCTTTTTAATTCCAATCAAGTTTTTTATTGCATTAGCACAGAACGAAAATTAATCAAGGAATGGCGTCGGGCGCCACCGACAAGATGTAATCCCTGTAGAACTGGATCACATTGAACTCTGAAGGAGCGTTGTACAAGCCGTTTGCCAAGCACCTGGCGTTGTTCATGATAGCTACCACCACTCCGTTGATCACCAAAACAGGATAGATTTTTTCGGGCAAGGTTTTGTACTGCAAAGGCCAACGAATTCAAAAGATTGAAAGGATCGGACGAATTTGTATACCGAGCAATCGCCAGTGGCGTCGAATTGCGCGCACGCTTCGGAACCGTCTGTGCTGATGAAGGAAGAGTCGATACCGGTGTCGGTGTACTCCTGCGGACAGTTGGCGGTGGCCAGCACCGTCCTTGTCTGACCGAACAATGTCTGCAAATTTCAATCCAATAAAAGTGTTGCACTTCAAGAGGGACATATTTTGATTCCTGAATGTGAAAAAGACCAAATTTCATGAAATGTCGATCGAAGCAACTGCTATAAGCTTTTAAACAGGGACAACACCTCTTCTCGTCAAATGAATTTGAACCTTCAGATTGCAAATTAAGTCGAAAGATTCAATATTCTGCAAGATTGAGATTCAACCACTGCTTTGGCGCCAAAAGTAGATACGCGGTTTTAACGTTGAGGAGTAAGTAATTTTTCAAATACAATTTCGACATTGGTCATGAAATTTGGTCTACATTCAGAAATAAAAAAGTAGTAGCCGTAGTCCTTCTTCTTTAATTGAGAAATAACTTACGCCGTTTCCGTAAAAGAAGGCAATTGTGGCGGTGACGTTGGTCGCAAAGTCAAAGTAGTTTGAAGGAGTGAGCGCTTGGAAGGGACCGGCGTACTTTTTATAGCAAATTTTGTACACGGCCACGTTGTAGTTGGTCCAAACATTGGCCACCGGTTGATTTTTGCCGCCGACAACGACATAAGCAGTATCGCCGAAACTACAAAATTAGGGAATTATATGAAAGCGACGAATCGAAACGAATCTTTTAATACCCCACGTCTACGTGTGAGAGGACCAACTGTGTGGAGAGGAACACGCCAGGTGAGATGGTTAAGTCTCCATTGTCATCCCCGACCACCATCACCTGCGCGTCAAGTGTCAATTATAAATTCGCAACAAAATTCATTGCGACCAAAATTTTTTTTACATCTGATTTGAAACAAATCTGCGACATATTCCGTGAAAAATGTGGAAACATAACATTCATATATAGTTGAACAAATTTTGCAACTGCCAGAATTTGCAGCGACCGATTTAATGTTGATAAAAAAAATAAGTATTCTTGAGAAAAACCACCTTACGCACAATTAAATTGTGAAGCTTATGAAAAAGGCAAATTACAATCGCTTTTGCGTCGCCAAGTTGCAATAATGTTTAAAAAGAGATTTTTTACATTTTTTGACACCTTTGCTCATTTATATTTTTTAAACGATTCACCAAAAACCAAATGATATGTTAGAAACAGAAAAAAACAATCGCTTTTCTTGCTGGAAAAAGATTGACTAAATTATCCAGTCTCGTGTTCTTACCAAGTACGGGTAATCTGCTGAGTTGAGTTGCACAATGGGTCCATCTGCAGCATCAACTGCGGCCGGGAAACAAAACAAAATCATTTTAAAATGCTGTCATTGTTTGATAATTATAGGCGGTCAGCGCCGTTCATGTCGAATCTAGCGAGAGTGGGAAACGCCAAACCAAAATTTGCAGATTTTGCGTTCCGAAATACCAAATTTAGATCAATTATGTGCAACACTTGAACAGATTTCAAACACTTTGAGGGACGCTTCAAATGCTTCCACGAAACTTATCAAACGTGTTAAAAATTTGTGTATTTTTGGATCTTAGTATCTCCTAATGTATTTTATTTACAATGCTTTGCTTAGTTAATGCGATTACACTTTTAACAAAATTCAATTATCAGCAAAAAACTCTTTACCTCGGCCCACGTAGCACGTGGCCATCAGGAGAATGGCGAGTTGTCCGGTCAGACCCATCTTCTTTAAGAGTTGCAGTTGAAATGTTGCCTTTTTCCAAGTGCAACTTCCTTTTAAATGCTTGGCGACGACTCGACTTTACGTAAACAAGCCAATGAAAAGCAAGCACGAAAAAATGATAAAACCCGGTTATCACCCCCCGCTAATTACCATATTTAATGATTTCCTGAGCGACCGAGTTTTTTGGCCCCTTTTTTTCTTCGGAAAACAAAGTTTTATCAATTCTCTGACCTCGTTCACGTCCAGTTAACTACAATTAAAAGTTTTCCACTCACGGGTTGAAGAATTAAGGTTTCGACGTTGTGCGTTAAACATTTATCAAAGTGAAAATGAAAAAGTCACAAAAATTTTATTTGGCTGAATTTTGCATAATAAAGCAAATAATTTTGCTTCTCTCAAACTGAAGAAAGTTGATATAGAATAAATAAGTCATTTTCTGAGGCGAAATTCTAAATAATATCGTGTTTCTGTCATTTAAGTATTGAAAATTATTTCATTTTTTTTTTATCTGCTATTCCGTTTACAAGAAGAGCGAAAGTTATCGGGACTTGATTTTTTTATTATTTACACTTCTTATTTGGTCAAATTCGTGAATTGTAAAGGAATAATCGTGTCGCAACAATTGTTGGACGCGCTCCCTTTGCAGCGAGTTTCCGAAACGTGACACATTTTTCTTAGAATATGCGTGGAAATTAATAATGAATGTTCAAAGTTTCAAATGTATTGGAGGGAAAAAGTTTTTTGATGCCGGGTCATGAAATTTTGTTGATAACAAAAATTTAAACTAAAAAAATTGTGCGCCAGTGTTGGTCTTTAAGCTATTTGAATTTAATTGTAAACAATTTCAATTTTTAACAATTTTTGTCTGCAGTATTTCTCTCGACGTATCTTGATGTCAGGTGGTTTAGCAGACTTGTTAGTTGTGATACTTTTTCTGCTAATTTTTTTTTTTTTTTTAATTTCTGTTTTTGTAATTGACTGATTGAGAAAAATAAACAACAATGAAATTAGAAATTATAAAAAATACAATGTTGATAACAAAAAGCCGAAAGGCTGCACACGTTTCTAGTTCGTGTAGTCTTTAAATTTGTGGGGGATTGTAATTAAAAAAAAAACGTGGGTGGAGGTTTTGGGACCGAAAAGCACAATTTTTATTTTAAAAGTTAAAACTGGAAAAGAAAAGTTAGGCAACTGTCTCGCCACGCGTGTTTTGCGGTTCAGCGTTGCGCCTGCAGTGAAACTTTTTTAATTGAAATTTCTTAAAGAAACAACCGTTTTTTATTTTAAATAATCACCATTTTTAGTTCAAAATTCAGCTGAAACCCGCATTTTAATGGCACACGTTATATATTTTTAGTTGGCAAAGAGGATATTAGAACTTGCAAAGCCCTGCGGGCCTCGCGTCCCACGCCTCCACGGCCCCCGTGGGACCCCTTGTGGGACGGTAATGGAATCCTCATTGTCTGATTTTCATCATCATATTATGCAATTTAATAATCTAACTCTTTAAATGTATGAATTTCATGGTTTTCTAGATACAAGCAAATATAAAAGTTATTGATATGAATTACATGAAAAATTTTTATTTTATTTATTTCGAATGAAAATTTAATTTATTTTTTATTATTTTTTTTTTTTAATTTGAAAATGTTTTAAATAGAGCGCGAGCGCAAATTTTTCAATTGAGCGCGATCGCGAGCGCAACAATCTGCGAGCGCAGCCCACTATGAACTTTTTCCGGGAAACAAAACAGAATGTCAATTTTAATTGTAGGTATTTGAGTGGTCGGCGCTTATTCTTCATAGAGAGTGCACAAATATTTACGTATTTTATTTTTGTCTTTTGTCTGATAAACAAATTTTGAAATATAATCAATTAATATGAAGTGAGGTGAGGAACTTGGATGGATGTGAACGATGTTCAACTTATAGAAAACAAAATAAAATTGGAATTACTTTAATTCCTCCATCTGCACAACCATGAATCTTTTGATCAGAGAAGAGACCAAATAATGATATTTATGATTAATAGATTAAATAATTCCTGTGCCAATGAGAAACTTTTGAGCAATATCTGGGATGGATCGAAACTTTTCAAATTTTAGAAGTGAAAAACCTTACCTCTGCCTCCTTTTAAATAATCGACGACGACAACACAATTGCCTTTGTATCAAAATACGCGGCTCATGAGATTTTTACCAGAAGCTAAATTTTTTCTCATTTTGAGACGTGGCGCAGTCGGTTGGGAACATGGCTTGAGGTTGGCGCCTGCTTTTTGATTTTGAGCTTCGTTTTTATCTTGACCGAAAAGAGGCTCATTTTTAGAAACAGAAGATATGCTGATGAAGAGTATATCTTGGGCTTTGTTTTCATTTTCAAGAAAATTTAATAATTACAGCCTCATAATTAAAATGAGCGCAACGTGTTTACCGCGACTGACAATACGGCAAACAACCTAAATTGTCCGTGTGCATAGCAATCGGACACAAAAAGCAATTTGCATTCTACTTTCTGGATCACCGCCGGCGTAGGAAATATTGAATTACACTCACTCTATACTTTTCTTCAAACAGTTCAAACAAATCAGTTGCATTTTTGAGGTAACAAAATCATAAAGTGCTAACCAAATAAAAATTTCGTCAAGTACAGTTAGCGTTTAACACTGGGGTTTGCTTTTCTAATCAATATTTTCTTGGAACCCAATGTGCCGCACTGCTTCAATTCACACTTTTTGGCAATTAAGGTGTTTGCGTCAAAGCGGCCGGAGGATAATGCGCCCTAATCGTGTCGCCTCTGCGGATATAAGAGGAGCTGTGCAAAGTCTGGAAGTATCAAAGTTAATCCGAAGATGTTGAGTGCCAAGTCTTTGTTCCTAAGTGCGGCCCTCCTGGTGGTCCTGGCCTCTTCTGCAACTGCACAGAGTAAGTTTTGATTGTTGTTGTTTTGTTTTAATCTCATTCAAATTGTTAATAGCAACCAGATATATTTATGAAAATTAAGAAGTCATTTTTTGCACAAATAAAAATAAATAAATCATAAAAAATAAAAATATAGCAATCAGACTTGCGTTGCATGGCTTTAATTATTTGAACGATTAGCAAGACCATGCTGCACCTCCATTTTTTTCTAGTTATTTGATAATTTAGAACTAATTTAAAACAAAGTTGTATCATTCAAATATAGATATTTATCATTCGTTATGATTTATGATCTTGAAGATCTATACTTCATTATTTGATTTTTATAGTTTTTCAGTCTTTAATTAAAAAAAAAATGCTTCTTATTGTTCAATAATTTTTGGCTTTGCTTCAATATATTAATTCAAATAACTTGCATAAAAATATAAATTGGATACAATCCGTTTATATTATCTGTGCAACATAAGGGATGAACAAATATATTGTAATGAATAAACTTTGGACATTGGACAGCTATTCTAAACGAAAAAGTCTAGGGAAATGTTAGTCATTAAAGGTCGCTCTGCACTTTAAAAGTATGCAAAAATAGTCTTCTTATATACTTGACGCTAAAGTCTAGTCGATCTCCAAGTATACTAAATTCAGGATTTCTTTCAACACAAATTATTTATTATACGCCGTGTTTTTTTATTTTATTTATTTTTCCAGAGCGGGTGGTTTGCTACTTCAGCAGTTGGGCGACGTACCGCAGCGGCGACGGCAAGTTTGAGGCCGAGAACATTGACCCGGTCCTCTGCACACACGCCATTTATGCCTTCGTGGGCGTCAATGCTCATGACGCTACAGTAAGGATCATTGACCCCTGGAATGACATCAACTTGTGTAATTTATTTTTAGTTTGTTTTAATTGCTTTAATGTGTGTGAGTTAGACGGTTTCAAGCGGTTCAACAATCTGCGACAGTCGAACTCCAATTTGAAGACGATGGTGGCGATCGGAGGCTGGAACGAATCCTCCGCAGGTTTCTCCAACGTCTGCAAGGACCCTGCACTCAGGGCCAGGTTTGTCGACAACTTGGTCAACTTCGTCAAAACCCATGGATTCAGCGGACTTGACTTGGACTGGGAGTTCCCGGCGCAGAGGGGAGGAATCAGTGATGATAAGGTTTTATTTACGAAAATTATATATTAAAAATATGAATTAAAATTGAATCTTCTTTTGATTTTAAGGCCAACTTTGTTGCTCTGGTCAGGGAACTGAGGGCCAAGTTCACTCCAGACGGGCTCATTTTGAGTGCCGCCGTTTCTGCTGGACTTTGGGCCGCCAGTGTTTCTTACGATATTCCCCAACTCTCAGCGTAAGTTTTAATATCTAATCCTCAAAATTGTTATGCTAGTTTTTTAATGGAACTGCAGGAATTTGGATTTCATCAACCTGATGACTTATGACTACCATGGCTCGTGGGAAAGCAAGACGGGTGAAAATGCGCCAATTCACGCTTCATCCGTTGACTCTGACCAGGGTCTTAATGTGGTACGTGTGTAGCCAATGTTAATTAACTGCTGAAAATATTTTAAATTTAAGTAAGCATCCTCTAAAAAACAATCCTTTTCTAGTATAATATAGTTTCGATCTCTTTCCTAATATAATATTTTTATGATATTTCTTCAAGACATCAGCAGGGGTGATAAACTTAACATATTTGTCTTTTGGAAAATTTAAAATTATTTTACGTGTTTAAAATATGGACTTAAGAAACTAGTGACCTGAGTCACCTGAGAAAAGGGACGATGTGTTGTTACCTCCTCTCAGCAATAATTTTAAACATATATTTTAATTTTTTTAGAAGGGAGATAAAGAACAAACCTCTCTATCCTATAGTAATTGAACAAACCTGAAAGATCATATAATTAGTCACTCATGATCCTTGATATTCATTTTTAGCTGTAATGTGTGATTTTCTGCAGCAATCGACTTTGAACTACTGGCTGCAGCAGGGCGCCGATCGTAGCAAGTTGGTGCTGGGGGTGCCAATGTACGGCCGCTCCTTCACCCTGCAGTCCAGCGGCAACAACGGTGTTGGCGAAACAGCTATGGGCGCCGGAAACCCCGGCCAGTACTCGCAGGAGGCCGGAATCCTGCTCTACCACGAGGTCGGTGACCCCTAATGACCTTTCAGACCTTTTGTGCTAAGCGATTTTGTTGCAGATCTGCCAGTTGCAGCGCAGCCAGGGCGCGGCCTTCAACTATCGGTGGAACGGCCAGCAGCAGGTGCCGTACGCCTTCTGGGGCAACCAGTGGGTCGGCTACGACAACATCGACTCCGTCAGGATCAAGGTTCGACCATTTTGTACCTTTTTTGTAACTGTTCTGATGCGTTTTGGATTTGAAATAATAGGGTCAGTTCGCGAAGAACAACAACCTGGGCGGCGTGATGGTGTACGCGCTCGAGATGGACGACTTCCGCAACACGTGCGCCGCCGGCCGCTACCCTCTGCTCACCACCCTCAGGGCAGCCTATCTTTGATATGTTTGCCTTCAGCACTGCTTCAGCATATAAATAATATTTATATTTAATTGTAATTTTAATATTTAAAAAATGCAAATAAAAAAATTTGAATTTATTTCTTATTGATTCTTATTTCTCTTTGATTTTTTCAATAAAGTACGTTTTGCAGAATTTTATTTAAATAATAGACGCAATTTTAAACTTTGGCGCACAGGTTTTGGACCAAAAGCAAAAGTTCCTTTTTGAAGGAAATTTGGGGCATAATTTAATTAGCTGAAAAATTTAGAGAGGGTTGAAAAAATAAGGTGGGCAACTGGCTTGCCACGCGTGTTGTGCGGGTCGGCGTTGCGCCTGCAGTTTTAATACTCGCACACAAAACACAACTGGCCCAGGAGTTCTGGGCCTATCTGACCCTTCCCCAGTTCAGGTGCAGCGATTTCGCAAATGAAACTTTTGGCAAAATGTGTCAAATAGGCCCAGAACTGCTGGGTCGGTTTGTTAGACCCGCTGTTTAATTTTGTGTGTATTTATTGTGGCAAGAAGGTGAAACAAAACTAGTTTGACGCAAGCTAACTTAACCTAGCTTGCGCTAAATTGACCCACCATCCAAATTTAATGACGGGTTAAATTAGCCTGGGCCAGGTTAATTTGGGTTCTCCTATCGCTGCTATTCGTAATTTATTGCAGTAATTTTTTTCTATCTATTCTCAATATCAAAAACTTCAAAATGTTTTGTTTTTGACTTTAAATTAATGGAGAGTTAAAAGAAACGTGAATCCGAATAAAATTGTTTTTTTTTTTTTGCTGCTATTTTTATTTCACTTTTAATATTACTTACTTCATTTAATATAAAAAATTTAAGTAAGCATGTTAAATAAATACTGCACTCAGACTTTTTCCATATCAAGTTGCGCGCGCGCCTCAACCTCAAACGCGAGGCAATTAATTTTGTTTCCAAGCAAACGAAAAGGGAGACCTTATCGATTTCCGCTGCTTCAATGCTCATGTAGCCGAGAGCTATCGAAGCAAATAATTATTCTTCGTTGCCAATATTTTGATTTTCATTGTTTTCTTGGGTTTTCACTGAAATAAGATATGCAATATCATGCGGTATTTTATTGCATTTTTACTGAGAAAAAAAGGAACTTGAAACACAAAATGTTTTTACTGTTGATCCTCTCCACCTTCAAGTTCCCCAGGGCCATTGGAATCCAAGTCTTGCTCTCCATCAATCTGACGATCTGGAGCCATCACAAAACTGATGATGCTCTCAGGGTCGTCCGTGATGCCGAGTTGCGAGTTGGTTCCAGCCCTGGTGCAAGTGTCCCTGTGCTTATTTCGGTTGCTTCGGTGAATGGTCATCAAGCAGCATGGGCAAACGATGATTGAGTAGGGAGCCCTATATTTTAGCGAGGCTTTGCTTGGCAAAATATAGCCCTTCCTCTCTCTGATCGCCTGCTTGTTGTTCTTTATGTAGTTGGTCACGTCTTACAGGTGATTGTAAGCAGCTTTCTTCTGTTTGGCATTGGGGATTGCCTCGATCGCCCTCGTGATCGTTTCGCCGGGGTGCTGGATCCTGACGTGGTCACTTAGTCTACTTTTAGGCTTCGCACAGTAGAAGCAAAAATTCTTGCTCTTACAATTACCTTCTGCCTTCTTGACAGGCTCGTCAAAAATGAAGATTTCATCTTGATAGCTGTAAGCGCCTGCAAGTATATTATAGTCACATCAGTACAATGTAATGCAAATTTCAAATATAATTATTACTTTGTGCATGCTCAAACATATGAGTAGTAAGTGCTTTTGGATAGCGATGTAGTCCTTCTATTAACTCTTTTCTGTTTTGTTCCTTTTTCTCGAAACGTTCAGCACCCGTCTTTCTGCCACGTTTCTTTCTGTACTTCCTGGGCGCGTCTTCTCCGCTCGTTGACGCGTCTTCTCCGCTCATGGGCGCGTCTTCTACGCTCATGGGCGCGTCTTCTACGCTCACTGACTGGTTGCCTGCATTGGCAGCAAGGGTCTCTGTTGATGGATCATGACTCCCAAACAATCCAATCAAAGATGAGCTTGGGTTAGCGCTTGTTGCGTCTGCAACGATGTGCTTCACAAGCTCCTGTTTGTTCAAGGGTTTAGTCAGCCAACCGAAGATTATGTCACCCCCCTGGTAGTAGGTGTCGGACTTGTATCTTCCTCCCGAGTGGCTGTGGTCGAGGCTTTTGATTGCCAACGATGCTATCGGGCCCGTTACCACTCTGTCTTCATGATAAAAATCAGGGAGTTCAGGGCCAACCCACACAACAAAAGGGCTGAAATTATAACATATATTGAGCTTTTTTTATTAATTGAATATAAGAAGTTCTACTCACCAGACATTCCCTTCAGGTACATCAAGATGATTGAAAATTACTAGCTCCTGGGAGTCCTGGGTTTTTTGTTGGTCCCCTGCAGTTGGGTTATCTATTAAACCACCTGCAATCAGCTCTTGCAAACTTTCATGAAGAGGTGGTTCATCGACTGGTGGGACATTTGTGTTCTCGAACCCTACGGCGGCGCCGCAATCTTCCGGGTTAGTATCAACAACTTGCTGGTTGGAGCCTCGAACCGAGCCGTTCTCCGTGCTGTGTTGAGCTGCAGGAAGCAGAGATAAGATATCTAGGCTAACGCGAAAAAATATTCTAATAATGGTTTATTCAATAAAAAAAATCTAGACAATTTGCTCACGATTTGCATCGTTGTACCACAAAAAGGTTAAATTTTGGCAGGCTCATTGTTCCTTTTGTGATCCGAAATCAAATAAAACTATACACTACATTAAAACACACAGTTACGCGTTACGACAGATCTTGTTTTCCTCATTAAAATCAATATGTCATTTTATTTAGCAGCAAATGCCATGCTGAGACAGATTTTTTCACTCGACGCTCAATCTTTGTTTCTTGAGCTTTATCGCACGTGCGCTATCTTCCCACTGAAAGTCAAAGAGCGCTAAATATTAAAATATTGTGTTTACTAAATTACACATAATAAAAATGAACTCTACAATGAATAAATTAAAAAAATTACAAGTAAAATTCAAAATGTATTTTTGCTAAATTATAATTAAATTATATATTAATTCTGCCTTTCCCAAGAGGGATAAACAATTAAAAAAAAATATATTAAACAATAACATTTATTAATTTTTTGAAGTTTGCTTGTCATTTTATTATTTTTTTCATTCAACTTTGTTATTCCATCAAATATATATAATGTTTATTTTTTTTAGTATTTAAAAATAATTTCCAATCCTTGATAATAATTAAGCGTAGAAAAAAACACAAAAAGTAGGCTCTGTCAAATCTGCGCCAAACCGGTTTCTCGGCATGCAGGTGGGGATATAATACCTGCTTTTTTCTGCTAATTATTGGCACTAACGTTAACGCGCATTGCCACCATCCATCAGAGGCAGAAAGGAGCTGATGCTTGTTTTCTTATTTTCGGCGCAGTCGGTTTCAAACATTTGTTATGGCTCGAATTTGGCTCCTGATTTTCATTTTAATTTTGTGCCTCGTTTCCCTCCTGGCCGAAACGAGGCAGACTGCGAGAGACGGAAAGGATGAAGAGTGTCCCGTGGGCTTTGCTTTCGATTCTACTGGAAACTGCGTCAAAGGTAAAAGGCTTCCTTCAGTACATCCATAATCGATCACTCATGAACGCTGTATATTCCATATTTTATATTCTTAATCAGCAAATTTTGTAAAATGTGAAATATCCGACGTCTTAAAAATTTTTTGTTAAAAGATATACAACATAAATAATAAATAACTTTAAATTTTTCCACTCTAATTATTCTATTATTTTTCTTTCTTTCTAGGAATTGATGATGACGATATTTCAGATGACCCTCTTGGATTAAGTATAATTAACACACCTCAAAAGATTTTAATTGTCTGCAGAGAAGGTTTAATCTACATACCACGGCGCAAAGTTTGTGTTAAATCTACACAAATAATCGGCAGAAGAAACAAATCAATTTGATTGATATTGTGTATGTTTTTTATTAGTATTTATTCAAAATGTGCTTTGTTTGCATAGTTAAAAAACGAGATAACTTTTGCGAGACATAATTTAATTCACTTTCAATCTATTTGTTGTGATCCCTAATCCCTAATATAATAAACTAGATCACAATAAGTAAAAAACATTTTTTTCTTATTTTTTAATTTTGTTTTTAATTATGAAATGAAAATGCGGAGGCCGTTCAGCCCTGCTTGAACCGCTTCTGTGAACTGACGAAACACAGACTATTAATGCTAATTTTTTACTCTTTTTCTGCTTTTGCTTTCTAATGTTCATATTCTTATAAATGGGAGCAAAAATGTGATAAAAATTTTTTTATAAATTACAATTAAGATGTACTTGAAAATGCAATAAAAAAGTAATTTAAATTAATTATGTAATTATAAACTATATTTTCCAGCATGTTTATTAAATTTTGGCTCTTTCAACATAACAAAACAGATAATGTTGCATATTTTTCTCTTAGTTAAATCTACCAACGCGGTGAAATTTAATCAGTCGCTTTTTGAAGACATTCAATTGCTGATGAATCAGTAGATAGAATTCAGGAGATAAACAAAACGAATAATATAGAAATTAAAACAATTAATGGAGCAAAACAACGGAAGTCAGTTAACAGATTTAAATTTTCTAAGGAAAAACACAACCTTGCATGATCATGCTATAAACCTGACAAAAACATTGGATTCAAACAATTTTGCTTTGACTGGAATTTTTCTCATTCAGCGTCAGTTGCAAAAAAGATTTTGCAGTAAATTTTTATAATTTTACATTTAATTGCACCAATTTTTACGGTTCCGAACTCTAAAATTTCCTTAATTTTGAATTCCACATCTTCCACAGGGTTCGACTAAGGAGAAATTTTCAAGCCACAATCCGGGGAGTTTGGTTCAGTTTGACTGCCAACAAGGAGGTCAGATACTGGCTTGAGCTTCCTACTTTCTGTTGGTCTTTGAGCAATTGACTCAAAAGAAGGACTTGGTTTTTCTTCGTGGGCATATTTAAGGTGAATTTCAGCACCTTCTTCGTTTTTCAAAGACAGTGGGCATTTCGGACACTTCTGAAAACGTTCTCTGGTGAATTGCGCATAAACAAAAGTTATGTATTTATGATGTCGCCTCATGTGACTGAGAAAAAAGTTCTCAGACTTAAAGAGTCCTTGATTGCAATGCTTGCAACGCAATTTTTCCGTTTTGCTTTCGGGCTGCGCGGTTGGTGCGTCGGTTTCAAATTTATAAAAGTCTTTGTGAAAATATTTGATGTGCGTCCACCAATCAGCATAAAAAATGTACATCTGAGAGCAACCTAAAACCGGGCATTTTAATATTTCAGTGGCTTTGTGAAAGTCGTACAAGTGGTTGCGCAATGTCGCGAGAGTGTAAAATCTATCACAATAAAAGCAAGACATTTTTTTGCCCAAACTATAAGCGTGATTCACAAATATGTGCTTTTCCATCTTGTCGTAAGAGTCAAATTTTTTATAGCAATTATGGGCGAAGGTGCATCTCATGCCATTTCTAGAACGCGGTTTACACTTTTTCTCCGTCAGATAAGGGTGTTCACTCTTCAAATGATCCACTAAATCGCGCTTGTTGTGAAAAAACTCGTCGCATCCGGGATAAGTGCAACTTCCTGCATCAACAATTCTTCCGTTCTGCTCAGCCTTTCGTAAATGTCTCTTAAAAATTTCATTGCAAGAGCGACAAGTCACCACCCCTCGGTCAACCTGGTGCGCACCAATTTTTTGAGAGCACGTTCCTTGCGCTTTGTAAAACGGTTTTTTCGGCTCGGGATGCGATCCGGTCGGAAGTTCCCAGTTTTTGTGAACGTGCCTGACGTGCAAATTGTAATAGCTGCGGTTTACGAAGAGCGTTTTGCACAATTCGCAAGCCACGAATCGAGAAGTGTCGATGCCCGAATGCTGAGTTTCAATGTGCGACTCCAAATCCTCCCTCGCCATGAACTGGCTGCACCGACTGAACGTGCATTTCACCACGTCCGTCAGCATGTGAGTGACGATCAGGTGGTTTGGCAAGTCGAGAGGTTCGGCCTCGCAGTACATGCAAAAGGTCAACGGATTTTGATCACATTCCACATTCAATTCATTTCGAGGAAATTTTAGATTGATTAGTTTGGCCCGGTTTTTACTAACTAAACGCTCAGTATTCATTTCAGAAAGATCAAGAGGACCTGACAGGATTTGCTCTTCCTCATTGAAACTTGTTTTACAAAATTTAAGAGGCTCGTCATATTCTAGCTCCTGTTTAATTTTTGTACTATTTGCCTCTGAATCGCTCTCCATTCTGACCCCTTGGACAATTTTTTTGAGCACATCAGCTTTTAATGCAAATCTTTTAGGGACCGAAACAGGATCTAACACCAACTCCACTGAATTTTGCTCTGCTTCTCTGTGAACATACATGACATGAATATTCAAGCCCGCTTGGTTTTTGAAGGAAAGAGGGCACTTCGGGCACCTCCTGAACAAGTTTCTCATATGCAAGTCGATAAAAAATTGCGGAAAACAATGAAATTTCTTTAAATGATCTGCTAATGATGCATCCGAAGTAAAAATTTTAAAGCATTCTAAGCATCGCACATTTGTCGGTTCAAGAACTTGGGAGGAAAGAGTCTCCGTTGTAAAAAATTCCTTGTGGTGACATTTAATGTGGCCCCACCAATCACAATATTCCGCAAACATTTGGTGGCAGCCAAATTCAGGACACTTTAAAACGTCAGAGGATTTATGCGTTTCTTTGAGGTGGCTGATCATGGAAGTGTGGGACAAAAATTTATCACAATAAAAGCAAGAAGTTATTTTTCCCAAACTGTCCGAGTGAGCATTAAAAATGTGCTCTGCCATATCCTCGTTTGATTCAAAAATCATATCACATTTCTCTGAAAAGTTGCATTTTTTGCTTTTGACTAAATCAATTTTCAATTTTTTATCCAGAAGATACGGGTGTGTGAATTTCAAATGGGCCACCAAATCGTCTCTCTGGTCAAAATACTCGTGACAATCAGAATAGGAGCAACCCACTGCGTGAACATCTTTGTGAACCAAACGCAAAATGTGATCTTCTAGAGCATTGCTTTGGAACGGAAAATCGCAAAAGACACAAGTCACTTCATGACCCAATCCTTTTGCCTGGTAAAGTGAACCCGCTGACAAATTGGAAATATTCTTATCTGCACTTCTGTGGGCGTACTTGACATGCAGTTTGTGGTGGATGATATTTGTGAACAGTTTTTTGCAAATGTCGCACTTCAGAATACCGTTGTTTGAGTGATAAATTTGTATGTGAGATTGAAAAACGTTGCTTCCAACGTAATGACGACACTCGCCTTGATCACATCGAACCAATTTTCTCACTCTGTGAATGGAGCGCAAATGTCTTTTTAAGCTATGAAACTTACTAAAACAGTAAATGCAGGGAAACTCATTAATTTTCCTTCTCTTGGGTTGAGGCTGACATATTTGAGTTGAGGGTCTTTTCTGATTTCTGGCAGTGCATTTCGATGCTGTCCCGTTTGAGCAGCTCGCAACTGAAGATGTATCGACTTCATCTTCTTCAAAAGACTCCAAGACGACGGAGCATTTTTTTTCTATCCCTGTTAAATGTCATATTATTATTTGGGTCACAAAAATTGTAATATACGTACCTTGACAATGCTCACTTGAATCACAGGAAGAGACTGTCCACCAGTCGATTGGATTTTTTCTCTTGACTGAGTCTGAATTGCTCGATGCTATGCAGCCGAGTGCTGCGATTTTGGGGAGAAAAAGAGGATTTCTGAAAATAAATTAAAATTTGAAATAAGAAAAAACGTCAGCAGATTGAACAAACTCACCGAGCATCCTGGATGCAAAACTTACAAACGCGGCCCGACTTGTCTTGGAGCACCGACTTTTCTATTTCAACGTCAAAGTTCTCAAGCCACCAATTTGCAAATTTGGCCTCATCCAGGTTGGCGACTAGTAGGAATTTTTCGTCGGCAATCGCCCCGCACAAAATACACGAATTGTTCACGTCGCCCATCCTCTCTCAGCTCTCTTTCCGTCTCTTCTCTTTCTCTATTTTGATTCGGAGACTCGCAAATTAACCGCACCATGGCGCTGCGACACAGAGGGGGAGCAGGAAGGCGAAAATGCCCGCGAACTGGGTACCAAGTTCAGCCACGCGTGTGGCCTCCCTATGTGTATTATCGTGTGTAATATAGTGGCAAAAGTTTCCATACTTTGCATGAGAGAAAGGGAATGGGGGGTTTGAATAATACACATTGCATTTTAATAACTTCTTGTTTCCTTTGGAAAAATTAGCAGAACGAGCTAAATATTGATTACTGTCAGTGGTTATTATTGTAAGAATGAAAGACAGGAGGTTTAAAATTAATTTAATTTTACTCAGTATTCTATAATTTAATCAACATGAAATGCAAGAAAATAAATACGTGAAATAGAAAACAATACAATCAATCCAATTTTTTCAGCAAAGATTCATGCTCCCTTGATTGTCTTGATGTCGATCCATACTTATTGTTGGCACTTAACAAGACTAATTGAGTAAGTCTTTTCACGAATCGATCAAATCTTCCCACATTTTGGCTTGGAGAAGGTTCTTTCTGTTGGTGGAAATAAATAAATAAAACTGTTCCATCTAGTTATAATTTGCATGAAACTCTTTTTTGTTCCGTACCTTATTGACGTGGCTTTGCGATTCCTTGCAGATCGAAGCAAGCCCTCTCATTTCAACCAGGCGATGAAAAATTAGCTTCGCATTGGCAGATACAAGTAGTTGATTTGTGGAATTAATTTTCAGTATGTCAAACAGAGGCTGCAAGAAGCGACAGCACATGTTAGCCAGCGCGCGGACATGTTTGTGTGAAGTTGGTCTTCCCTTTTTGTAGCAGTAATTAATGAGGAGCTCCCTCACGTTGTTGTCCTGGAGGCACAATTTGGCACGCTTTTGGTCTCTCATTTGCACAAGAATATCTTTTAAATATTCTAGCTGTTGATTTTTACTTCAATTAACAAATCTAGAAAACAATTCACTGAAAAAGTTTTTTTAATTTTTGAAGATCCAACTCACTCTTCATGCGATCCTTCTAATGGCTGGGGTGCTCTGTCCTCATTCCTTTGTGTGCAAGATTCTGCATGCCGACTAAAATTGTACTTGTCAATGAGTGTGTAACACGAGTCACAATGCCACATGGCAGCGTAGTGACGAAAGACAGCGGTCTTTTTGGTTGGCAGCAGAAATCCCTTTTTCGTCTCCATCGCTTCTTTATTATTTATATAATAATTTCCCTCCCTTGCCAACTGCTTAAAAGCTTCTTGCCTCCTTTCCTCGTCATTTATCGACTTTATATCTGATACTCTTTGCTGATCCTGGTGGATGTGCTTCAAGTGTCTGCTGACACGAGCATAGAGCTTTCCGCAAAAGAGACAAAAGCTACGTGCGTCCTTTTCTCCCCAAAATTGCAGCACTCGGCTGCATAGAACACACAGTGGTCCTCGATATGTATATGGAGCTGTAAAGAAAAAGAATTGAGATTATGATTCAAACTTAAATATTAAACCATATGTCAAATTACATTTTTTTAAGACGAAGACATGGTGGCGAAATTCTGCAGGGTACCGGTCAAAGCTTTTCTCAATGTCTTTATTTTCTCCATCAGTGGTATTGGTAGTCGGATGTTTTTTGTCCAATCGACAGAATTTGCAAGATTGAAAAAGAGATGGTGAACGCTTATTTGCCTCTAAGCAATCACATGCCTGCTTTTCTGGTAATCTGTCTTTCTTTGTATTTGTAGAGTTGACCGCAGAAACCTCATTGTCTTCCTCACAACTGATTTCATCAGGCCCGGGATCGTAGTCCTCATCCCCATCGTCGTAGGGGTCATAGTCACAATCGTCGAACTTGGAATCGAGGTCATCTTGCTCTTCAATTTCGCAATCTTCTTCACCTTGATCCAAATCTTCTGTGTGTTGCTGCTTCGAATGTTCTGTTTTTCTTTCCTCACAGTCATTCACAGCTGGGGTGTTTGATTCATACCCTGCAGAACTAAAAGATTAGCTTTCGACTTACATGGGCTCACAAATAGAATGATTATTTTCAGTATTCTGGTGGATGCTATTCGTATTCATGAACAAATTTTGTTTCAAAGTGATACATTTCTATGAGAGAATGAATAAAAATTGCTTCCAGCGTAATGTCGACAGTGGCCTTTGATTACATGGCACCAATTTTTGAATCTGCGAGTGGAACGCAAACGTGTTTTTAAACTCTGAAACTTACTGAAACAGTTTGTGCACGGGTCCTCATTTATTTTCCTCCTCTTGTGTTGAGGATGACCGATCAGAGTTGATCGTATTTTTTTATTTCTACTGGCAGTGCATTCCGATGTCCCACTTGAGCAGCTCGCAACTGAAGATGGAACGACTTTTTCTTCATCCAAACGCTCCAAGACGACGACGCACTTTTTCATTATCCCTGCTTAATAAATTTTAATTATTATTTGAGTCAAAAAAAATTGTTGGCTTTTTTCAAAAATAATTACAAACCTTGAAGATGCTGACTTGAATCACAGGAAGCGACTGTCCACCAGTCGATTGGATTTTCTCTTCCGACTGAGTCTGAATTGCTCGAATTTCTAAAAATAAATATTCGTTTTTTAATTAAAAATAAGAAAACAAAATTCAGCAAATTGATATAAACTCACCGTGCATCCTGGATGCAAAAATTACAAACTCGGCCCGACTTGTCTTGGAGCACCGACTTCTCTATTTTGACGTCGAAGTTCTCAAACCACCAATTTGCAAATTTGGCCTCGTCTAGGTTGGCGACTATTAGGTATTTATCGTCGGCAATCGACTCGCACAAAATACACGAAGTATTCAAGTCGCTCATCATCCCTCTTTCTTCTTGATCTTGATCTATGTTTTCTTTTGATTGTTGATTGTTTTGATTTGGCGACTCGCAAATTGGCCGCACCACGGCGCTGCTGTACAGGGCAGTACAGACAGGGCTGGTATGGGCGAGGACTGGGAATGCTGCGAACTCGGTATTAATAATTTGGCCACTTGTGGCTTCCCTCTGTAGTAAAAAGAGTTTCATTTATTTCCTTTGGAAAAATCTTAAAACGAGTTTAATATAGCTAACTGCCAGTGGGTATAATTGTAAGAATGGGAGATAATAAAAACATACAAATTGAGGTTTAAAAAATTAAATTAAATTTAAATTAAAAAAAATTTCTATACTTAAAAAAATGAGTCATAATAAAATACCAAAATGTCTTGAAGAAAAGAGAAAATCGTAAAATAAATTCATTCTAATCATGAACTAAGATAAGGTCTGCTAGTATAGATTTAAAAAAAAAATCGAAAATTCGAATTATAGCAAACATGGTAATTTTATGGTGATTTTCACTATGAATCAACCCTCGATCGTGAAATTCTACCACAAAATGGTAATTTTAGGGTAAACTTGTCTTGTGTTTGGAAGGTATGAAATAATAAAATAAAATTATATTTTTATTTTATTAGAACACAAAAATATTTATTGTTGCAAGGACGCTGACAACATCTGCGAATTTCAGCAAAGAGCAAGATTTTTCACAAACTTTTAATAATTATTATACTTTTTCTTCCATTCGGATAGTTAATAATGACAATATAGACAAACTTTTTTCGTGATTTTGCATACACTCACACTTATTGTGCACAAAACAGCCACTTTCATTCAATGTAGTCTGAACATTTTTTTTTTTTTTTAAATATTTCTTCAATAAATATTAGAAAAATCAGTTAAGGGCTACAGTCAAGAAGTGCACATTTTTTTTTTTTTTTTTAGATCGTAGAAAAGACTTAAGAAGCATTTTGCCTTCGATTTTTGGACGAAAAATCTGTCGAATATATGATTTATGAGTAAAATTAGAAAAATACAGTGTCAGACAATTTAAGACCCTTAGGAAGGATTTCAATTTTTACACGAAACATTGAAGATAATTATTTCGCAGACTAGAAGTAGAAAACGTTTCTTCCTATTTTAGCCAACAGGCGCTTTTTTCAAGACAGCATTTTTTTGTCTATCAAATTGTACACGTAGTTCAGCATTTTCAACCGAGGATATTGGTATTGAAACACAGCACGATGATGATTTTGTTTAAATACAGTTTACCAATAGCACAAGATATATATGTACGCAGAATAATTTGTCAAACATCAAGGTTATTGATTATGAGTTTGTCTATTGCGAACCGAAAAATAAAAATCGGAAACATTGAAAGACGTCCAAGAGGTTCAGGGATTAGAAAGCGGTGGCGAGTCTTAAAAACGGACATATTTAAATTTTCATTCAATATTTAGAATATGTTTCAAGCGTCGTTTTTCTTACAAGTATAGCAGCAGTTTTGAGTCGGAAATGAAAAATAAAATTCATATTATTCAAAAGATTAAAGAAATTAATTTTTCTTAAAACGAAACTATAATTGTGATCAGAAGTTCTCACATAAGAAGAGTTTTGCGAGAACGTAGCTTTAGTCGTGCGAGAAAAGATTGTCTGCGATAGTGTGAGTCTGCAAAAAGAACCGACAGAGGCTTGCGCTAAAAATGCTAGGTTGATTTTATGACTTATACAAGATACACGTTTATCTCTGTGCCGCAGTCCAGCAGTTGCAATTGTTATCAAAAGAGCAGTTTTTTTTATACACTCACACATAAAATATCAGCATTTTTTGTTGTTGTAAAACACTCATTTAGTAAGAATATTTTTATATCGGAGAGTAGGCCCATAGTGCGAGTGAACAGCGATAAAATTTATATCAATATTTAAACTCTTAAGAGGTTCGTCAAAGGTTATCGAAGGGAGCGTTTTAATAACATTAAAGTTTTTGATAAGATTGAAACCTTGAAGGGAAAGTATTAAGTAATGCAAAATTCACTGTGTACTAATTAATAAACAAAAATCAAGAAATTGTATGTAAAAAAGTACTTATTATTATTTTTCATGAGGAAATTTAAAGTCGTCTCAGCATTAATTGTTTTTTCAGGCTTACCATTGGAATAAAAGCTCTGTTTGAATTTTTCAAACAAATAATTATTTCTTGTGTTTGAAACAGAAGACTTATGATGTATTTTTGAACTGTTTCTAAAGAAGTACTTCGGAACGCAAAAAGAAATTTTCAAAATTTATTCCCTTCAAGATCAAATGCATCTGATTTCAGTGTTTCTTTTTTGCAAAGACAAATTGCGTTTTTTTTCCTCCCCCAATAATGCCAATTCTATTTCTCTCTTTTCAATAAGTCAGTGCGCGAAATTTGTGTTTGTAAATATAATAGTGGTTGGTATATTAATATATGTATATGCTTAACATGCGTCACATTTTAATGTATAAACAACGATCATTGGAACGCGCAATTATGTATTGTAAATTGCGAATATATAATTGTACGATGAAAGACATTATGTCAATATGAAAGGCCAATAAGCACGCACAAACGGAACACATACCCACAATCACATGCAAAATGTGTGTCAATTTTATTTTAGATACCATTTACACATTCAATAATAAATATTTACTGAAATTAATAACATTATCCCTGCCTGCAATGGTAGTCGATCGATTACTTTTAATAACACAGTTACCATTTTATACTTTGAGACGCGCGCACATTATTTTTTCCATTACATTATATTGACAAACAAGAAAGATGCGCAGCGTCTTCTTTAAATTTTTCATATCATTTAATTATGACAAAGAGAATAATTGACCTTGTTGAGATGGATTTGTATCGGGTATTATTTTATTCACATACTTTATTTCCACAAATGAAACTGTAATCTTGATTTTCGGATAGCAATTTGTTATAATAACCTGTTCATTTTTCCAGCAGACTTGAAAATATCAGTCAATTTTGATTTCTTTCTTCAACAGTTAAATTTTTTCCGCAAAATGAAAATTTTTATTTCATGCTAGCTTGAAATTTTCTATTTTAATATCTCTCTGCTACTTTTGGTATTAGAACCATGTATAATAAATTGAGTTTTAATTATTTGTGTTTGTTTAAAATCACTCAAATCGTATCATTTCTGGTTTTCACAACAAATACAACATTAGGGTAACACACACCAATCCCTGCTTGATCACACGCGTTCTTAGTTGGCACAAACAGTATATTTTCGTTTCAATGATGGAAACTGCAAGGGTCACACAACACCAGTTTTTTCTGTTTAGATTTAACACGCACCATCAACCAATGTATTTCTTTTTTTAGCAAGAACCATAGCTTGATTAATATACGTCAATAGGCATATTAAATTTTCTCCAAACTGAGTCAATCCAAGGTTATTTTAGTCTAGAGTTTTTGAAATGAGATGTTGCAAAGAGTCTAATTTTCTTCAATTTCAAACTGCAGGAAAAAATTTAAATTTGATTCGTGTAATTATTACAACTTCTAAAACTTTTGAGCCAGTGAATTTTTAAATTATCCTTTTCAATAAATAGAAAATTTGCTCAACGACGACAAAGATCATTTAAAAAATCATCATAACTAGAAAAATCAAAATTTTATACACCATATAGAAATAATTTAAATGAACTTTGGAAAAAAGAAGCTTCAAAAGCATTATTTTGATTTTTTTTTTATTTATTCAAAAAGAAAAAAAATGGTGTTAAAATACTATGAAATTAATTGACACGCTGCAGTTTCACTTTTTTTCTTTAAAAAGGCGCATCTCCCTTCAAAATCTCTAGGTGTAATCCTCTCCTACCAGGTGTAGTTTTCAATATACCATGAAGTTTGATAGTTCTCAAAAAGCCCCTTTGATTAATTATTACGCTGGGTTGAATTACGTTTGTGAAAAAAGCAATAAAAACACTCCATCTCTTGTTTGATTTGATAACAGTGTGGGATGTACACAGCGTAAAATTTTCTTCGTCTTGCCTCGAATTCGTTTTCAGCTAAATAACGTGTCTAGAAATTCTAACCTGCGAGTTTTCCAAGGCAATCAAAAGCTGAACCGTCGGATTTTGTTGCGTGAGTTTCTTCAAATATGGGGTGATTCTTGGATGCACAACCAACGAATATGTACATTTTGATTGAATCTTGATATATATAGATTTGCAAAACTAACTTTCACCTAGCGAATCGTGTGCCACATGGCGACCGCTTTGCGCGGCGTCTGCGTCATCTCCATCCAGTGGTCGCGCTCGGGGCCCTGATGCTCCCGCGGGCCCACCACACAGCACCCCAGCAACGGCCCACTGCTCATCAGCTCGTTGGCTTGATCCATCACGCAAATCTTGTAAAATGAACAAGATTTTAATATGAAATAATACAATGTGAAAATTATCCAAATAAGGTAGAAGAAGGTTTGAAGTTGAAATTCAAATCGCCAATAATTAAATAGATTATTGTTGTTTATTTGTCCACAGATCTGGACAGAAATATAACTTGTATTAATTTAATTCTATTTCATGCATTGAATGTGGAAGAAAATTCCAAATACTTATAACTCATGAATTATAAACTAACAATAAGTACCGTAAAATAGTAATCCTATAATTTATAAAAAATAATTTATTTTTGTTATTAATGCAGTCGTTTAATTTCTTAAATTGCAATAAATTGCATAAAATGAGTTTTTAGCAATAGCTAAAATAATAAATATTGCAAGAAAACAATAAAAATAAATTTTTTTAATTTCATTTAATTATTGAAGAATAAAACAGTGAGAATAATATTTTATTTATTTAAATTTTGTAATTTGTATCTAATTAATATTCCTACCTCTATGGCAGCGTTGTGCAAGTTGGTGGCGGACACGTTGAAGGAGAGCGCCTCGTTCCACACGGGGTTGCAATTCTCTTTGCGGGCGGCCGTTTTCTTCTTCTTCGTCCGCTTGCCATCGATAAGCAGGTAGACCTTCACGTAGGGATCTGCAATGCAAACACAAAACGCGGCGTGAATGAAAAAATCGGCGCCCACATGCGTGTTTGCGTTCGTACCGATCGAGTACTTGTCCGAGGGGAGGAATAGATTGCGGGCCTTGAGCAGCACCACCGTCAATCGCTCGGCCGACGGCAGGTAACTCAGCGAGAGCAGAACCTCCTGCATTTCCTCTGGTGGCTGGAATTTGCAATTATTTCAAAAGGATTTTCGTAAATAAACTCTCGGTGTGTGTTGAAAAAAGTAACTAACGAAAGTGAAACTGATATTGAGTTATGCAGCCTGTAGAGCACTGAAGATGAGCAGGTTGCATAAATTTGAAAGGGAAAGTAAATTGGTAAATACAACACTCGTTTTCCTATTGATCTCCGATCATTTGGATATTTCTAGTAGTTTTACAGTTTATTTGATGTAAAGGCAAGATTTTGGTGCTCATAATTTCTACAGAATTTTGCATTCCAGAGCAAATTTAAGAAAGAAGAGGGATCACAATGATTTATTTAATATATAAATAAATTTGGGTGTCGATAAAAAACATCTACCTAAAATTTAGCAATAATTAATATTTTTTACATGCAGAAATATTTTAAAAGAGGCTATACAAAAAAAAAAAAAAATAAATAAATAAAAGTTGTGAATTCTTAAGGGCCCTAAAAAATTGTTTGTATTATATTGGATTTGAAAGTCGTCAATTATGATGACAAGCAAAACAAATATCATTCAGCAAGCAAATTTCCGATTTATTGATTAAATTTAAGTTTGATTAAAGTTGATTAACTTGAAGCCCACTTACCTTTTTGTTGCGTGTGATCTCGCCCCAAATCTCAAGGCTAGACGACAGGTCAAGCTCATCAATCCGAACGCGAACCTCTCCGATGACGTCATTTCGGGAGAAGCGATCGAAATCGAATACCTGCGTAGAAGGAGAATTCGTCTGTATCATTTGTAACAAGAGCCTGCCGAAGAGACTAATTACCTGCAGCACCAGAGTCTTGCTCTGCAGGTCGTCCATGGAGACGGGGAACTTGAAGGTCTCGTCGAAGAAGGGGTTGGGGTCGTTGCGGTGGATGGCGGTTTGCCGCTTCCGGTTGTCCACCTCGGGCATCAGAGCCAACTTGACGTACGGGTCGTTGAAGCCTCCCTGATCGCTTCCCGCCAAATCGTGAGCTTGAAAATAAGAATTTTTCAATCCAACAGAAAAAAATTTCGATTGCAAGAAGGGAAAATCTCATTTAACAACACAAAAAAGACGTGCAAAATAAACAGTGGAAATTGAAGCAAAACTAGGTTGGAAATTCTTAAGTAATTTTTAAATTTTTGACCTAGAGAAAAATAATTTTGTACAACTTAGTTTTTATTACTTAAAAAACAAGAGAAAATTGGATGTAATGTCTGATTTGTTCTAATTAAAATTAATCTTTTTGTAATATAATGAGATTTAGGTCTAATTAACTTTTCGTTACCTTCAATAAGGTGAACTGTGAAGTCTGATCGGTCAAAGTCGTACTTCAGCCTAAGGTGCAGGCGTCCCAGACTGTGTTCGGCGTCGCCCAGGAAGAGGGGGCCTTCGCGGCGAGTATAGAGGTCAGGTCTGATGGCGCCTAGGGGTGATGACGGGGGTGCATCGTAGCACGAGGGAGAACGTGGCGGGATCAGCAGAGGAGACAGGCATCGCGCCTTCATGTTCAAAAAAAAAAAATCAAATGTTTGAAATTTAATAAAATATTTAAATTTTATAATATTTTTAGAATCTTGTCATTTGCTTTTCTCTGACTGCGTTTAAATAACATCATTTGATTGTGAGAAGAATCACCTAATTTGTGGTTCTACGTGTCATGCATAAATTTTAATACAATAATTATCAAAATTATAAATTTAATTTAATAGCAGTTCTCTGCAGTAAATTTTTTAACCATTTTTAATAAATCTTTCATAATCATACAATTTTTTCCCATTTGTTAAATTAATAATAATTTTTCTTAAGTTTTATGTATTTCTTTGTCATAAAAATTATTTTTTAATAAAAACTTCCAAAAAAGAGTAAAAATTAAAAAAATAATCCGTGATTTTGTTAAAAATAAAATATTAAACCATTAAATTTGATTTAAAAACTGTTGTGAATTTTGAATTTCAAAATTAAAATACAACCAACTTTTGGCCAAAAATTATAAATCTCAATCAGATTAAATTTAATTTACCTGTGGTCCTCTGTTGGTGGCGACGCTGGAGGCGGGCGAGACGGATCGTTCAGTCAGCGAGGTGAGGGAGCTCTGTGACGGCGACGGGGTCCTGAGTTCGCCGACGGGTTGGCCGACGACAGGTGTGGGGGTGGGCGACGAGCAGCGCACGTCGAACGAGGCGGCGCGCAACGGAGACGGCGACCGACACAGCAGGTTGACGCCGGCCGAACGCGGAGAACCGTTTGTCGGCACGTCAAAGTCGTACACGTCCTCCGAGGAGCGGCCGTCCGGCGTGAATGTGCGGATCTGCGGCGACGACCCGCGATGGCCCTGATTCCATTCGTTAATTTTCATTGTCATATTTAAATAATATTCGGTTGGGAAAAGGTTCCACTTTTCGGTCAAAATTTTTATTTCAAAGAAAAGGGTTATTAAAAAAATGTTTAAACCATTAGTAATTTTAAAGAAATAACTTTCTAGATATTTCAAATACTAATAAGGCTGAAATTAAAGAGAAAAAACTTGAGAAGTGGCTACATAGGCCACAAAACAAAACCGCAAAAAAAGTATAGGTTGAAAAGTATAATAACAGAAAAAATTTAAAAAATAATTAATTTAGTTTTATATAAGTGGAAATAAAATGGATACACAGATAATTTGTTTAAAAAAATTATCTTTTCCTGCATAAAATATTTTTTTTTTTTTTTGAAAAAAAATAAAAGAAATTATAGAGAAATGCAAAATGGATTTCGTAATGAGAATTATTTATTAATATATTAACTACCGCATAGATGAGGTTAGGCTTTATTATATTCACAAAAATGGAATAAAAAATAATAAAAAATTTATTTACTTTATTTTTTTTAAAAGTGATTAACATTAAAATAACTAAAAAAGATGTTAAAATTTAATAAATAAATAATATGTTAAGCATATCAAAAGTATATTATAGAAATAAATTAAAATATTATTGAATAAATATTGTATTTATTTAAATAATATAATTATTAAATACCTGTCTAGCAACTGTGCTGCTGTCGACGCTGCCCTGCGAAGACACAGACGGTGACCTGGCGAGGCGGGGCTGACCTCCTGGGAAGGATCGCGACTGATGAGCGAGAATGGCCGCCGAGCTGCCGGGCTGCACGGCGTGAGACTCTTTGGGCAGGCTGAATTGCTGCAAACACACACGCAACGCTCAATTACTCAATTATCTCTGGCTGCACCACCGCTGGCCAAGCGACCGACCGCCGGCGAGTTGGCCGCAGTCATTAGCGCTCCTCCGGGGCCAAAGTGTGCTTTGACGGTGTCAGGGGTCTCGCTTTTAATTAGCGCCCGACCGTTTGCAATGAACATACACTGCTGGATCCGTCCAATGGCAAATCGAAATCGATCCTCATGTGCCGACATTTTTCCTTTTTTTTAATTTTGAAAAGAATTGGATGCTCAAGAAGACGTCTGTGAAGTTAAAAAACTGTCTTGCTCTTTTTGCATAAATTTATTTTATGAAAATGTAAAAACATTTGAATTTGCTGTTTTTAGTTTTTTTTTTTTTTTTTTTAGTTGAAAGCCGCGTGACCGAAATCAGAAGATCCCGTTTTATTCTTTAATGAAATTGATTAGTGGCCTTTCTTTCTAGTTGTTCACTCAGAAAAAAAAATCTTCAACAGGGACTCATTTTTTACTTTGATATTCTACTTTGTTCACCAATTCGTAATTCGATAAAAAAATTCATTTAACTATTGACATTTGGCAAAGAGTGGCACTTTTTGTAATTTCAAATTCTCTATTTAATATTGTAGTGCAGAATCAAGAAAATATTAATAGCGATTAATAGTATAATAAATTAAAAGTTTTAAACAAAATTTAAAATTATATTGGAAATAATGGAGCAAAAGTGTGATTGAAATTGAGAGGTGCGCAAAAATATTTTATAGAAAGTGCAGTTGTTATAATAGAATTTAAGAGGGGAAAAAGTTTTTATTTCCCAATAGCAGAAGTCGAATCCCATTTTTAATTAAATTTGCACTTGCATTATCTTTGCTCTTTGATAATTTTGCTGCATTAAGTAATTAGCGGAAAGAGTTACAAGCAATATTTTTTTCAAAAGTAACAAATCCAACAGGAAAAATGCGGTATGTTGGCAAAGCAATGCAAATGTTAAATATTTACCACACTCCTTCAATATTAGTTTTGCGTATATTTACTTAATTTCATTTTTATGTGTGGTGAAAATTTTATCAGCTGTTCGAGGTAATTTTTTAACTTAAATTTTCCATCCATCTACTTTGTACGATTGATATGTTTATATAAAACCTTTTTTTCCGAACTTTTAAAAAACACAAAAGAGGAAAAACGGCAAAAATAATTTATCCTCTTCCAATATCTCTGCTGACGTCATTCTTCTAATGTTTCCTTTGTCGGAAAAGTTGAAATTCCCTGCAGCCCTGAGGCTCTTCACTTTCCACCGAAATATAAAAAGATCATCCGCCGCTTATTTGCCAACATCACGCGGGCAACACTTCTTTTTAATTGCTTTTGATACACACACAATAAAGTACCGGCGGCGAAAGCTGGTTTGATATTTGCGCGTATAATCAACCTGTTGCAGGAAACAGAGCAAACGGAGCGTGATTCGAGCTTGCTCGCTGGTTCGATTCATGCTTGTTGTGTTATCAACAAGAAGTCAATCTGGACAAAATGGAATTTCTGTTGAAGAACTCTTCCTTAATTAAATTTTCTCCTTATCATAAATATTATTTGCTGATAAAAGGTACAAATAAATGAAATAAATCTAGAAAATTAAAAAAATTGGTTTTGTGCAAATGTATAAATACAAACTACGATATTTAATTCCTGTTGATTAAAGTGTATGAAAAAGAGGTCTTTTTGTCCATTGAGTTAGTTAAAATAATAAGTTTTATACAATTCAAATTCTTTGCTTTGTACAACCTGTCAAGTCTGACTTAAATTGAGAACTTATTAGGCGCTCGTGGAAAAAAAAAGGTTCTTAAATTTAAGACCATCACATTGAGATTGGTCCAGACTCCAGACTGAAACGAAAATTTTGCACAACAATAGGAACGCTGAGATTGAAATAATATGATTCTATTGAAACCTATTTATTTATTTACTAGTGTCATCTTAAAAAATTTAGAAAATATGAAGGTTTTATAGTAAAAAACGTATCATGCAAAATATTTATTTAATAAACTCAATGAATAGATAATAATTATTAATAAATTAAAGAAAATAAATATTAAAAATCTTTTAAAAAAAAGTACTGAAAATTAAAATTAGATATAACATATTTTGATATGTTTTGAAAACTGTGTAAATGCTTAAAACATACGCGGTTCAAAATTTTGAGCCCGATTTTCCATCAAATTTTTATTTTGTGCGCATAAATTAAAAAATAAAATAATAATGAATACGTAAAACGATGAAATTTCCTTCAAAATAAATGTGGATTAAGTACAATAATTGTGCGCTGAATTTTCTTGTTTTGCAGAAGCTCTCGGACAGAATGCTTCTTGTCCAGAGTGGCTTCTTGTCAACAACAAATGCACCCCTGTCTGTATTTTACTGAAGCTGGGCACAAAACACTCTCGCATCGGCTGCTGGCAGGCGTACATACGTGCGAGAGAACGGACGGACCGACCCACCCCGGTCGTTGGGCACGCACAAACAAAGGGTAAATGAGGTGTGCGCCTGCAAATTAATTTCCATCCCGCCGGAGAGAAAAGCGGCTCTCGGGCGTTTTGGCTCCGAGTTGATGGAGCAAAAACAAAAAACAATGGAATCACACGCAAATGAACAAACACGTCGGTCGAAACACGAAAAATTGCCATTGTTATTATTACACGGGGGAGTGTTTTGACACAATCACTCTTTTGTTTTGCCTTCCCATTGTCACTTTTTAATCTCTTTCTTTCCTATGACAGATCCCTTTTTTTAAACCTAGTTTGTACGAAAATGAGAATTATTTAAACAATTCTAGCGTGGAAATAGTTTATTATTGTTTCTGTAAAATAAAATAAGCAGAATAATTTCTATTCTTCCTAAAAAAAAAAAATAGTTTTATAGGGCGAAGAAAAGTCTTAATGAGCTTTTTTTTACACCAACAATTTTCTCTTAAGGATTTTACACAAAAGAATACACATTTATCAATTTTCGTGGCATTTTCTCCAAAACTGCATCAAAATATTTCAATTCATTCTAATTTAATTTTTTTTTTTGCCGTATAATTTATCTGTTTTTGCAGTGACTGATTTAATAAAAAAAAGCAGTTTTGCCTCTATACCATAATTTTTCACAGGCAAAAGCCATTAAAAAATAGATGTGTGAGGATAAATTATACATATGAAGCACACAATATTTCTGATAAAAATCATTTTACAATGAGAAAAAGTAAACCTTCTCTTCTCCTGTTCCATCCAATTAATGGATCTGCCATACTATCCTCTATATTTCTAAATCTTCTCCATTTACAATAAGCCCTTCCACGTACAAACCTTTCGAACTTGATGAGAAAATGCTTCAATTGAGGTATTAAATTTGAAGGATTTCTACCGTACTCATCGAAGGCTTTTCTCTAAATAACACATATTATGCTGGCCAGGTAAAAGCTTGGCGGAAAACTTGCTTTGATATGTGTCATCCGTCTCTTTTTCTCCCTCTATGGCAAACAACTCTCGAGAGAGCTTAATTGAAACACTGCTCTACCTCGATAATAAGGAAGTTGTGCAAATTTTGCCTCCCACACACTCACGCACGACGAGAGGGTTCTCGGAAGGGCTACGCACGACGTGCCTATTTATTACGCACTCAGAGAGCACCGATCTATAATTTCTATTAAGTTAAATTGGAACGCACATGCAAGTACTTGTACTCCGATGATGGAAAAAAAAATTAGTCTTGATTTTCCAGGAAGTATCCAATGGAGATTCGCATATACAAATTATGAAACTATATCGGGCAGTTGGAACGGTCTTGGTACAGGTACAGATCAAGCGTGAAATAAGGAAATTTCATGATGACTAAAATTAAAAAAAGGTTAAACCCAAAAATATTATACAATAAATGAGTACTTGTATACTAAGAATAAAAAGCACAGGCCTGACCCAAGGAAAAATTTTAACTGTGCAAAAGAGAAATGTTTTTTTTTACTAGTATTTCTAAAGCATTAATTTATACCAAACAAATTATATAAATGTAAACAAATATTAGTTTTAATTGCAGTATTCATGTTTTTGTCGCTTCATCTGTAACCATATATTTCAGACTTCACGCGTTGCTTTTTTTATTTTTATTAATAATTGGTTTGAATTTAGCCCTGACAGACGCGGAAAATCTCTCTACAAAACCAATTTTATAAAAAATTTTCCTCCTTTTCATGAGGCGTGGATTTTTCCTTCAGTACGAGTTTCGTTTTTCGTTCCATAAGCAGCTTTTCCCCATATTATTAAATATTTTTTTTGCGTTTCAATTTTTATTTCCGTCGTCGCTGCCGTATTCTCAGATAGTAATTGGAATCGACGCCGTGGGCCGACAAATATACACACGATATATACGTTTTTGCCCAAGTTAAATTGGAACTTGAAGCGGCGACGGGTTGCTGATTTTGGAGAGAAGATCCCCCAGCCCTCTCACTCTCCCGAAATGGAAGCACCTTCCAAAATTAAACGCGAGAAATCGATTTTCGCACCACCACAGTGGACAGCCAGATTCCATTCATTCCGGCGCCGCTAATTAAATTTGACACTGACTGAGGAAGCACACAATGATACATACCAGCACTCTATACTTGAATCGCTATTTCAGTCGTGAAAATGTTGAGCAAAAAAGTAATAAGAAGTTACAAAAATTAAAAAAACTCTAGGTTTCAAATAAAACCTAATAATTTCAACTTTTAAATTTTCAAATGTGATCAAGTTTGACTGGGAATTTTGTTTTTGACTTTTAATTGTTTAATGGTGGTCTAAATGCTAATCTGTTTCTATTATTTTAGCCATTATTATATTCTTCAATATTTTAGATAAGTATAGTTTTATAATAAAGAAAGTCAAAGGAAAATTTTGTATTAAATTATAAATCTTATATTGTGCCATCTGAAAATCTCATAATTTCAAGTTGGATGTTTACTTTTAACTGGCTATAAATTGCAATAGTTTTATTTATAAAAGGTATTCCAACCTTCCAAAATTGGTGTTCATTTATAATTTTAAAATTGTTTGCTTGATTGTTAATTAAAAAAATTACTAAATTCATTTTAAATTAAACTGCACAGATATATTTTCATACAGTAAATTTTACTAAAAATAATTATTGTGTTAAATATCTGTGTGAATTTATAGATACACATTAAAAACATACCTAATTATGGTACATTTTATTTAATTCTAAATTATAATTTATTTATAAATTTGGTTTCCATTCATCAGTTATGTAATGTTCATACAAATATTTTAAAATCATCATTAACAAATTAATTATCTTGAATATGAAGTTGCTGTTCTAAACGCGAAACAGGGGAGATGAAACTGATACTTTGCTATGGGCAAAAGAATCAAGTGGTTGTGAGAAGAAAGCCGTGCGCCCTAGGACGAAATTGAGGTAGGCCAATTTCAAAACAAAGTTCAAGACGTGCTTTCAGAAAAAGCTTCGAGTGGCCTGGACCGAGGCGAGGGGGTGGCGTCGAGGGTTACCTTTTGGTCAGAGTGGAGGTGCCTCCGGTCTCTGGCGGCGCGAGCCCACGTCTCCAATTTCTTGTGAGCCGCGGCCATAATCTGGTACACGTTGGTGTTGGCACTAATGATTGCTACCCTAGTGGACGCTACTCGCTGCGAACACCAGCCACCCTTACATGGCAGGGGGTGAGTTGAGGAAAAAGTGGCCTGTGTCACGAGTTCAACAGGTTGACTAGACTATGGCACGGTTGTACTACGGACTACATTGCAACAAACACCTCCTCCTGCCTGCATTGGCTGGCTCAATCGATCAGTTCTCGCCACTCGCGCCGCGGCGACAACCACCCTTCGCCGCGCTGCTTCGCCCTGCCGCCGCCGAGTGCCGCCCCCGACCACCCCAGGGCACCGCTGACGTCACCCCCGAGTTCGCCCCGATCGCCGGCAGGTGGGGTGCCCTTTCACTAGCTCATGCCTGTTGCGCGCCCTCAACCCTTAAAGAATGAATATATATTAAACATTTGTAGAGTTTTTTCAGCAAAGAACTTCAAACTTTTTTTAATTTGATAAAAAAAAAATCCTGAAATTCTATCAACAGTAATTTTTATAGTGTTTATTTAATAAGGCGACATTAAAGTGAAAATATCAGTACTCTTTCCTCATGTTTGACTGAAAAAATTTGTTTTGATCAACAATTTATTAAATTTTGATTCATGTCAAATTTTTTTAAACATTTTAAATTAAATTTCATGCTTTTGCTTATTCGCTCCCTCTTGCAATTTTGTTACATTTTTTAAACCAATTTAAAATAATTTATCTCCTTATCACTTGACATTGCCAAGTGATAAATTTATATCGATAACTTTCTTTTGCAAGAAGAATATTAGCATCAATTTTATTAATAATATTTAATTTAACTACCGTAAAAATAATTCATAAATCCCATTCAATTTTACATGAATGTTCCATATGTTTCGTTTTTAATCATAACCACGGTCACTGGTCAGATTCTCTAGCAAAATTTTTAAATCTATTGAATGTACATTTAATTTTTAATGTTATTTTCATTTCAATCGCACATTTTTTTAATTTGAAGAGGAAGTAATTGAAATTAACCCTTGAGCAGCTCTTGAGAGTCAATAATTTGATATAATTTATAGTTCTCATTAATCAATGGAAAAACTAACATTTCTAAATATCTAATTTCAATAAATTTCATTGTATAAAAAAATTATTATGCATTTTCAGCTATTTTACTAATAAATAATTGAATTGAAATTGAATTGAATTGAAATAAATGTATTTTTACAATCGAATTTATTTAATTATAAATTATATGATTGAATAATTTTGTATGATTCTGTGTGTTTTTGATACCATTTTTCCATCCACATATTCTTCTGCAAACTAAGGCTCTTAAGGTGTTTCAGTTCTCCGGGAAAAAAGAACGCTCAATCTTTGTGTTCTCGCACATGGTTGTTCTTTTTCCGCATTTCCTGCAGATGAGCATCCCGTGTGTTTGCCGTCATTGTCTTTTTTTTCTTTTTACGAAAATAAACAAGGCGCACGGAAAAGACGCGTGTTCGTCTTACCTGCTGTTGACTGACGGTGTAGTGCGACCCTTGACCTCTAGACTGGCGGGAGCCGCTGGAGCTGCAGCGGTCGAGGGCGCTCCACTCCTTGGCCTTGCGTTTGTGCGCGTAGTAGCGGTAAATGACCAGGGTCATGGCCACCAGCAGGGCCAGACCGGCCCCGGACGCGGCGCCTAACACCGCCGACGTTGACGCCATCCTCTGAAACAACAGTTTTCAAATATTTTATCATATTTAAATTATTTACAATTCATATTTTTTGTCTTACTTATAAGACATTGAATTTCATAATTTGGTGAAAAAATATTTTATTTTGTGTTTGAATGTTTAATGAAGATTATGTTCAAAATCCAAACTCCCTGCAACCTGCAGCCAATAATTTTACGTAACAAAAAATTATAATTTTTTTATGTTCTTCATCTTGTTTGATGATTTTGCATGCATTATTAAAGATATGTATTTTTTATGTCCTTGTCTATATGTTGCAAATAATACATCCTCTTTTCGGCCTGTATAATTAAGGCCATTTCATTAAATACAGCCACAAAGACGAAATTTATATGTAGTTGTAATTTTAATTTTGTTTCCAGCAATTGAGAATTTAAATCCCAAAAAGAAACCACTCGAAATGGAAATAATTAAATCAGTAACTTGTGACTAATCGCCTTTACGTGGAATAACGTTCCGAGACGCGAGATATTTGAGACTAATCGGTGCAAAATCTTCTTTTTTTATTGGTTTTTTCTCAAATATAAATATCTCGCGTCTTGGAACGTAATTCCGCGTCAAGGCGATTAGTTGAATTAATAATTTAATTCTTTCCAGTAGTTTCAAATTTAATATTGAATTAGTTCCGAATGAATTTATACAATGACTGACAAATTTCCGTAGCATCATAATGATTAATTAATTGAGATAAAATGTTTGGTATAAAGTCAATAAATTTTTTCATTAAAATTTGTTATTCAGTAATTATAATTATAAAAAAATATTCCTGGCGAGGGGGTGTTAAATTTTGTTTTCATTTGCCGCATTCCCTCAAAATTGTGTATTTTCTTTAAAATCTGGTTTTAGATATCAAAATTCTAGTGTTTTGAACCGCAGAATCATACGACTCACAAATATGACTATTGTTATGAATCTAATGAATCATAAATAATTGTTGCTAAAATCAAAATATATAATTATGCATACCAATACATATATGCTACAGCTCTCTATCACTAGATGACTAGATGCGCACTCATATTACTTGTCTGACTTCTTGTCCAACATTTTGCTATTAACAGACTCTCCATAAATATGTGGCAACTGCGCACACGGGCCAGGGCCAGACCCCCCCCCTCCCGGGTGACGTTTGACCTTGCCAATGTCACGACCCTGGCAATACTTAAGAAATAAGAGTAAACATTACCAACTGTACAAAAAGTCGTGACTTTGGCAGGAATCTTCTCCTAGAATACATGATCAGACTGCGCATGTGTTTGTTTTAATTTACTTTTCTGCAAAGACCCGCAAGACAGCAACAGGAGGAGTGCAAATGCAAACTGCATCTGCCTCTTCATCACGTCTGCCTGCCATAGCTGTTTCTGTTTGGCAAATTTTCCAGAGGTTTTTTCAGTTTTGTAAGACTTTCATCCAGACCTTAAAATGGTAAGAAGTGGTAAGAAGGAGAGGCGGTGGTTTTTTTTGTATGGCACACGTGGGTCGCCTTTCACGTCGATCGGTTAAATTAACGTGATCAAAATGCACTTGCTTTTGATATTGCTTCTGTGACCCCTGAAAATTTTGTTTTGGCCCCCTTATTAATCTTCAACGTATGTATTTTTAATGCAGTGAACCAGAAAATGAAACTTGCAACTCTCAATCTCATGATAGAAATTGAGCCCAGAAATTATTTCGTTCGTTCGTTGATTTGATTTATTGTTTCTTCGGCGTGAATTCTGGCCTGTGCAGGTCGGTTGCACCCACACATTATTTATTCTGGTACCACTTCTTTTGGAAAAGAGGCCAGAATAGTACAAATCCTCATTTAAATTGTAACAAAGCTAAACAAATCCTGTAATTAAATTACGTTAAAAAAATACAATCCAAAAAATTATTAGAAAATATTATAAAATCTAATTGAATGTATTAAAAAACTTGATTATAGTTTCAGCCAACAATGATGAGCATCTTCAGCAACTGGGACTTAAATCCAGCAACAATCAAAAATTCACAACTAGCGCTTGAAGAAAGAGAATGGAAGCGCTCAGGTGATGTGTTGTCCGACTACCTTCACCTGTTTGAATCCTCGTCCATGTACGACTGCACCTTCCGAGTGGAAGCTTCATCGAAAACTTTGAATACTAAACCTGAAGTTAAGGTATTAAATGTTTATAAACCTCACTCTTCTAATTAAATAAAACAAAAAAACGTAAATGAAAACTGCGTAACCTGTGAAATGAAGTAAAAAAATTATAATTTAGTATATTTTCTTGGAGATAATCTGTAATTAAACATTTAACGTTTAATAAAAGATAAAATTTAAATAATTTGTGCCTTAAATATTGATGCGTGGTTTTCCAACAGGTCTTCAAATGCCACAAACTGGTTCTGTCTGTTGCAAGCAAGGTGTTTCAAATCATGTTTTACGGAGACTTTGTAGAGGCGAGCAAAACACCAGATGATGAAATTGTCATCGATGACACACTTCCAGCTGTTTTTGAGACAGCAATGAGGTACGCAGATTATAGAAAAATTATTTAAAACTATGAGAAGTAATTAAAAAAATATTGAAATTGTAATTATGTGTGTTTGTTGAAAACTTAACGGGCTCCTAATTTTTAATCAAATTTTTGCAACAGGTTTGTTTACGGCCGTAAAATGGATTTCAAAAATGAAGTGATTGCTGCTCAAGTCTACAAGTTTGCCAACAAGTGGCAAATTATCAGCCTTATGGATGCTGCCGACTTGTACCTGGAGAAAGTGTCACCTGAAAATGTTGCCTTTGTTTACGACATTTTCAAAGAGTGTGGAAACAAGGAAGGCTTGGAGAGATGCATGAAGGTGCAATATAAATTTTAAACCTTTGGTTTTGTTAAATTTTATAATAAATTCAATTACTATTTTAGGTGATTACTGAGAACACTCGAGAAGTGCTACGCAGCCTGCGCTGGTGTGACGCATCTGCAGAACTGGTCACAGATGTGTTGAGCCAGCAAGACCTCTGCATCGAGAGCGAATGTGAATTGCTCGAAGGTCTCTTTTGGTGGGGCGAAGCACAAGTGAAGAACAGAATTGAGAAACCATCAGATGCTGAGGTGAGAGAGGCCATCAACAAACCTCTGCAGAAGATCCGCTTCCTAACAATGGAACAACAAGAATTTGCTGACTTCTGCCTGAAGAGCAGTAGTAACATTTTGAGTGTAGAAGAGAAATTTTACATCATGATGAGTATTACAACTGGATCTATGAAAAACTTCCCAAAGAACTTCAGCATTGAGAAAAAACTTAGAGCAACTGTTAAGTCTACTGCACCTGAAAAATTACTTTGGCTCAATTTGCAGGCCAATAAGTATACTGAAATCAATTGTGATAACAATTGCTTAGAATTCAGCGCAAACAAGAGGGTCATATTTGTAGGATTTCAATTGAAGTCGCTCTCTGCATATTATTCAGGAAATAATTATGGCTATAGAAAACCATACCTAGAATCATTTGAATTTACTGATGCACTGGGAGTCAAAATCTATGAAGGCTCCACTAAAGATTTTGACGAGAAACTGAACTTCTACAGAACAGGGTGGAAAATTGTTCTTGAGGCTGGTGCCAGGTACAAGATTATTGTGAAACACAAGCGCAATATTGCTAAACCAAAATACATTTCCCAACATTTCAAAAACTTGGTCATTAATGAAGGCACCTTGACTGTTCAATTGTATGGCGAATACTCTGGATCTGGAATTGACACTTTGATTTTTTCTTAATTTTTGTCTTTGAAAATAGTAATAATTCTCTCTGTAAATATACAACAATATTTTTGTCAATTCTCATTGTTCCATCTCTCCTTTAAGAACCATGAATTTGATAGACAGGTGGAGCCCCAAATGGAGATCGGACAATATCCTTTGGAATCCGTTCAAGTTTGTGTGTCACAAAATGATTAAATTTTGCCCTCATAAATAAACTAAATTTTTATGAAATACACTTTTTTCACTCATAAATTCATTCCGAAGGTAACATGTAAAATGAGTCTGATTATTTTACACAATTAATCTATTGTTAGATTCTGATTCTATGCTAGCTGCAAATTGAACAATGAAATGAAGGAAATTAATTTTAAAAATCTACATTTTTTTTCTTATTTAAATTTATACATTACCAATAATGTCTCTTAAAATATTAGAGTTGATTCAAAATCATAAAAATAATTTAAGTATAACATTATATTTGATTTAAAATTAAAAAAAAATGTTAAAATTATTACGTAAAGTTATAATAAGTATTATAATTTATAATGCTGTCGTTTCTAAGCATTAACAATATCTTATAAAAACAGAAACACCTCTTACTGACGCTTCTTGAGATGTCTGAAATTGGCTCCATGTTTACGCATGGGTTTAGAGAAAATTGGTTTGCTCAGCAGCCTGGCAATATTCCGTCGCTCTTCAACCACATCCACTTTACTACACATCTCTCATTTGTTTATTTTGGAAAATAGCTCGATTTAAAAATAGACTTGAGTTTGTTCATACATGTTACACAAATTATGAACTGATTGTGAGAGATCAAGATTTTCTAAAAAAAAAAATTATAATTTGATTTTGTTTTCTTCATGCGTTCTTAAGAGACACGAAATAAGTTTCGGCTAGAAAAAAATTTCCGAATTTGGATTTTCCATTTGGTGCTCAGAAGTAGCTAGAGTCGAGTCGAAGTGTCTCTGACGGCAAAAGCAGTGGGGCATTCCAATTATGTTGGCTGGTGCTGCAAATCAAATTACATCGCCCCCGCAGAGGATAAAAAAAGCGACGTGGCGCACAGCAAAATATTAAACTGCCGGGGAGAGGAATGAAAAAGTGGAGCGGAGGTGACCGCGACGTAGCTTTGCAAAACAGAGAGAGGCTGAATGCTGGGCGGAACAATAAAAAATAAATCTGCTTTGAATTAGAATGAATGAGGTTTGCTTCGCGCAAATAATTTGATTTGGGTGACAGATCAATATGAAAGGAAAAATTTAATTAAAAAATTAAAAAACGAGAATGAAAAAAAAATATTATTTAAGAATTTGATATATCTTTGTGTAAAGACTTTTTTTTAAATTCTTTGACAATTATAATGACAAAGAATGAAGAGTTTCAAAAAATTAAAAAAAAAGTTGTTTGCTGCTTGGGGGAACTTTAAAAGTTAATATAACTCCACATTTTTAAATAAAACTTTTACTAAAACTATACGCAAATTATAGATCAAGTTAAAAATTTTCTGAAAATTGTCAAACCCTTTAAACATTTGCGGCTCCCGAGATTAATTTTTCGTCCGAGACGATTGGATATTTGGAAATTGACGCCGGTGATGCGTAATTTGTTCTGGAAAAGCAATCCGTTGGGGGAGATGACGCGCGTCTGTTTTTTTTTTACGACCGGAGGTCAACGACCCTAAAATCACCCGATTAGTTTCCTTATCACCTCAAATAGAGCCCCATCAATCAAGCAGTGTCCAGATTCGTCCCGAATCCGGGATATTGCGTTTCATAATGGCTCTCAGGGTCAAAGTGGGAAACGATCTCTGAGGCAGCCCCTTTTTTTGAAACGCGACACTAATTCTCGGTTGGAGAGGTCGTTGGTTGTTTTCGCTCAGCCTGACTGACGGACTTTGACGTGATCAAGTTTCAAGGCTCACTCATGCGCTGCTCTCTCACACCGAGAGAGAGATCGAACAGCGTGTGATGTTTTGGCATTTATGTCAACTTGAAGGGACTGAAATTACGTTCGTGAAGCCTTTTCAAAGAGCAATTTTAGAGTTTGGCATTTTATGTACAATGTGGCTGAAAATTGCGAACTTTCACGATCAAGTTTCCTATTAACCGAGCGCTATAAACGTTAACACACAAAAGGTCCCAGATATTTCCATTCATTTCTGACATTTTTGATGTTTAAATTATAATTTATTTTAAATAATACAAAAAATATAATTAATTTATTATTTACACAAAAATTTATTTTTAGACTAATTTTTTCAACTCATACAGTGATCATTGATCAAGAAAATCTTCTCTAACAGTCTTAATGATTTTTGTAAATTTTAATTAGTTAATGATAATTAAAAATAAAAAGTTAATAAATTTCACTCTTTTAATGTAAAGTTGCAACGAGATGTGCATCAATCTGAATTAATCAGCAGACTGCAATATAAGCGCACTTAAAATTAATAATGATTGTAGCCACGCATCAGCATTCTAGCCCGTCTCTTCTCCTCACGGCTCAGCCAAGGGCACTTTTAAGGTTAAACCTGCCAAGAATTTCTAATGGGGTCTAGAGAACGCCCGCGGATCAAACGAAGAAAAGCTTCCCAAGCGGACTTTGTGTTGCGAATAATGCAAAAGCAGGAAGAAGCGCCGCTGCTATATAATGTATGCGTGCCTCCCACACAATGAATGGGCTCTCGTGGCTGTTGGTCGCCCAGAACTTTTGCAATAAATCACAACAGAGAGAGCAGAGAGGGAAATAAAAAACGAACAACCGCAAGTGGCTTTTTGATTAAATTTTCATTAAATTTACTCCTATTTCGACGCGACTCGCTATTATTTTTCCAAATATTTAAATTTCATCTTAGTTTCATTTTAGTTTGTAAATTTTTTTTAAAAAAATCCCACGTTTTGGGAGGATGGAATATTTATTTTATCTCGAATTTCCTTGACTATGACAGGTATAAAGGGCAAACGTAATTTTTTTGATGGAAATTGAAGCCAGTGGCTTGTAACTACAGGACCTGATCTGTCAAATGCTGTCAAAGTTGATAAGGATATTGCAAAAAACTCTCTTTCCAGAACTTTTCCTCCTTGATGTGACTTGAGCTTTTCAATCAGGCGCACAAGCGAGGTCGAGAAGATCGGTTTCCGAACAAAACAAGGAAAACCAGCAACTTTTATTTTGCGCACACCGTCGTCCTGGAATGCAATATTTCTGATCCACGTGTCACTCTTTGTTTGTTTCATCCAATCAAAAAGCCAGCGTCTCGTCGCCGAGAAGCTTTTCCTTGAAGGCCGAACTCTATTTTTCTATTTAAAGTTTTTTCCTTGTGGAGATTGCGTATAATTAATCTCATTTTCTTAATTCGAAGGATGGCAACGGAAAATGAGGGGCTCAATTTGTCCCGTTTTGTTTTATTCCCCTGCAAATGAACTTGATCTTTTCCTTGGAGCAAATTAACGAGCAACATATTTACACGGCCTTCTAATTAGCTTGTTAGCTCGAGTTTATGTGCGTTTCACTGCTCCAAGAAACAAAGACAATCCTTGACGATTTCTCTTCAGCCAGCGCCGGCAAATTGCTGTTGATTTGTCAACAAGCGATGCGAGCCTCATTCTAGTGAACTTACAAGATCACCAAGACCATTAACAGGTTGAGCGAAAACTCTTTAAGTTTAAATGGTTTCCCCGCACTTTGATCTACGTAAATCGGAGGCATGAATTTTATAGTTATTTTGGCGAGCATTTCTCAACGCAAACTAAACCAATTATTTTCAAGGAGAGTGAAAATAATAAAATTCATTGAATTAAAAACATTTATGTACTTGATTGTACAGATTGTTTTGTCTATAAAAGGAAAAAAATTGGTTTTTAAAATGATGCTTTTCCATCTTTAACTTAAAAATCCTTTAGAAATATTACTCACAAAATTTTGGTCATGTAAAGTATAAATAAAATATTTTAATTAAATATAGTCTGTTTAATTAGTGCTAATTAAGTGAATAAAAAACGTGTACGGCGTTGGATTTTCTAAGCTATTGCTCCGCCATCAGAATTTTTCCAGAAGAATGTGGAAATTAAAAGATAAAAATCTAGTAATTTCAAGAGCATTTCTCCCCCACGTCACCTCATCCTGCTTAATGGTATGAGTGATTAAGGGGGAGGTCAGCGACAAAGCGTGCAAACATTCGGTGAGAGTAAGGCAAACAACTTTATGCGCTTGTGCTGGCTCGTTATATCTAGGCTCGTGCATTTTAGTCGGTTTTTAGGGGTCAAAAAGTCGACTATTTTTAGTTGATTTTACATAAATTTAGTCACCTTTGTAGCTGGTTTTAGCCAAAATAGTCGGTTTTAGTCGATTTTTTAAATCGGATTTTTTGAGCCATAAAATACAATAAAATATTATTTTAATGATAAATTTTTTCGGATTGCTTTAATAAATCTCCATTTTCGGAAGCATAAATAAATATTTATCACCCATTTTTCATCATTTTTAAATTTCCTAGAGCAATTATGCAGAACTTAGTGATTTTATCATACGTTATATAGAAGGGATACAATTGCTGAAACCATTGAATTTGTGTAATATTGTGTTGAAATATATATTTTGAAGACAGTTGCACAGGGTAATTGAATTAAGTGCATGTTTTTATTAATATTTGTGAACAAAATTTATATTTTGTCGTAAAATTATGATTATAATGTTCTAAAAATGCTCAATAACATGTTTTTTCCATTGTTGAAAATTATGAATTTTTCATCCATCCCATGTTTTATTCCTTTTTTAATTAAAGATTAAAAATAGCTTTACTAAATGCTACTTTCAGTCGCTTGAAATAAAAGCTGTTTGACAAATTTTTTTAAACATATAAATTTTAGCTTTTCAAAATATTTTTGGAAAATTTTTTTTGGTAATTTTGTATCTGTCTGGAAAACATAGTTTTTGCTTAAAAAGTAGAAAAAGTCTGCATGCAGGCTGAGATTGAATGCAGGCTTAGATTGCATGAATAATGGTGAGCCGTGACCATTAATCCGATTAATGGTGACGCCGTGACCATTAATCTGAATAATGGTGAGCCGTGACCATTAATATGAATAATGGTGAGCCGTGACCATTAATCGGAATAATGGTGACGCCGTGACCATTAATCGGAATAATGGTGACGCCGTGACCATTAATCTGAATAATGGTGACGCCGTGACCATTAATCTGAAAAATGGTGACGCCGTGACCATTATTCTGAAT